TTAGAGAGGGACAACACGCCTTCTAGGCAGGAAAGAGATTTCAAAATCTTTGTCTGGATCTCAGACTCTAATTTAAGAAGCTGAGCGCCTTCAATGGAAACCAAAAGCTCATTTGTGTACTTCAGATGTTCTCTTAAGTAGGAGCACACTATCCGGGCTAGACTAGCCGAATGCTGAGGGGAGAAGTTCTTAAAAGCGACAGAAAAACTTTGACCAAGAGGGGTTGACAGAGGCATAAGAGGCAAAGAGAATAGCTTCAAAACAGCATCAATTCCTTTTTTCTCAACAAACAGGGAACATACTTCCGCATTCTGAAGAACTGTTTCAAAGAGACGAGCAACATTAGACACACAATCTGGAAGAAACTGCTCAATGTTTGCTGGAGTAGTATCAGAAGATGGTTGTGCCTCATCCGAAACGGCCAAGCTCTTCTCATCAGAATCAATTTCCATAGGAACGGTTGCAGCATCTGTAGGCACATCTGTTGACATAGAAGTGGAGGCCTCCATCCCAGATCCCATAATCAACATCGAATTGAGGATTTCAATGAACATATCGACTCCATAAGTGCGCAACGAAGATTGGTGTCTTAAGAGTTCATCAAGCCCACTTGACAAAGAACCAGGAGTATCGCCAGTAAGAGCCCGCAGATAAGATGCAGAAGTAAATATTTTCACGAAACACCTCAATGCATTTCGGTCCTTTACAGCTTGGAGACCGCTATTGTTGAGACACAGGGCATCCAGACACTGTGGAATGCATGTTATGGCTTCTGCAGAGCAGATGATATCATCAGATATAGCATCAAGGAAGGCAGAAGTTAGACCAGCCGAATCTAAAGCATTGAAACAAGTGGGGTCTTTATGAATGAGATCACTCATGACAGTGGCAGCAAGCGAGAACACTCCACCCCCGAAATCTTTTGCTCTCCGGAAGATTATGCATAAGCATTCAGGCAGCAAGCTCTCCTCGGAACCATAGAGGTTAGTGTTACCAGGAGCATAAGTTCCAAGAGATATTGCACGTAGCAAGGCTTTTAACAACAATTTCCTGTGATACGAAACTAATGCTTCGGAATAGGGAAGCTGTTCAGTATCAGGCTGATTAAGAGAGCCACCAACAACATCTGATTCCCTCCCAACACTATCTGAACTGCAACTTGTTTCTTTCACATCATCTTCAGTACGAGAGACTTCCAGTTTCAACCGAAAGATAGTATCATCTAAGCCACCCAAATCTCTAAACAAAGCAGCAGCTGGGTTGCTGTAATCCATGAAGGCTTCTAATATATGCACAGCAGTACTGACCAAATGCAAGTGCTGGGGATCTCTATCTTTGATGAGAGGCACAAGGGTCGGAATTAGACCAGCTTCTCGCATGGCTGAACACCCAGATGATGATGAAACAAGGACTGTAACAAGGGATAACAAGGCTTCCGCAAAAGCCAGAGACCACTTAGAAGTATTACAAATAACAGAATCAATTGCTCTCTGCATTAGGCCAGATAGCAAACCACGATGCCCTCCAGAGGTGACTGCAGTTAAAACAGCCGGCTGCCGGGTTCGATCTTGCGATAGTGCAACCAAGGAAAGCAAGCATAGGATCCTTATTTTCTCTGGAACAGTATCCTCACAGCTTAACAGCGTAACTAACTCATTTACAAACTCGGGCTCGCCATTAAAGAAAGAAACAACATTCTCTGTGTCACCACTTGCTTGAACCAAAACAATGAAAGCATATAAGCGAATGCATGTATACTGCTGCCGGGTAGCCAAAGATGAGAACGCCCTTGCAAATCTCAATCTGGTCAACAACGCGAATCTTAAACTGGGAGGAACATTGTGATCAGTGACTAATTTGTTCAGTAGTTCCAGGTCAGACTCTGCACGCATGCTGACATCAGGTACATGGATAACTTGTAAACCGCCGGGAAGCTCACTTGATGATTCATTAGAAGCATAAAACTCAAAATGAAGAGTACAACCTAGCTGGTGAGAAACCTGATCACAACTGTTTTCTGTGGCACACGATGCCAAGCCAAGACCTTCCTCTTTTCCCCCCCAGCCTTGCGCAAGGGAAAAAAGTTTTGAATTTAGAGAAGCATCTCTTATGGAGTATTTTCCAATTTGCCTCTTCAAAAAGGCAGCCAACGTCTGCAGACAGGCTTCAACGACATCTGCATCAGTTGATGCTAGCAGGAGAGAAAGATGCTGCTGCAGTTATGAAGGAACAAGTGTGTGAGAATTATTCGGGTACACATTTTGAACAATAAGCATATAAAGCGACATATCTAGAGGAACTACCAGAAATCTAACACAGAATATGAGTTAAACATTAGTAAACGATTGGTATACTGTGAGACCAGTTAGAAAGAAGCTAGGCAACTAAAGAATGTGGCACGGAATTTACCTCATAGGAACTATGAAAATGTTTGTTTGTGCAATTCTCTAAAACAACTCTGATAACTCGGAGAATTTGAAGAACAGCATCCTTGGGGAAAGAAGGAACCGACTCCTCAAAGTTTTCCTCAATCTGCAGATCCTTCCTTCCTTTTATGTGCTTCTCAAAATAAGTGTCAAAATGATTGAAGAGGTCCACCCAGTGATGAAAGTCGCCCTATGTAAAGGAAAAACAGACATAAATCAAACCGAGAGTAGACAGAAGAAAAAGAAACAGCGTCACAAAGTGGATTCTAAGGTACCTTATCGAATTCCCAGCGAAAACGTTGAAGGGGTTCTTGTATTTGCTCGAGCGGAACAGCAGTGACACTATTGATGAAAGCTTTGATTTTGGGAGGCTGATACAAACGAATGAAAAAAATGGTTAACACAGCCATCAAATGGAATAAAAGATTCAGGAACAGAAAACCAAATAGTCAAGGTTTGGCTTAAGAACTCAATAAACCAATCAAAGGAATTAGTCAAGGGTTGAAGATTATACCGATAAACAAACACCAAAACTTCAGAAACAGATAAGCCTATGAACAGCTCAACAATACAGCCTATGAATAGCGATAGTTCTCGAAAACTAAAGAGTAGTCTAGAAAGTACATAGAGACGAAAATGCACAGACAAAGATAGTAATCGAAACGATAAAGGGTTTAATTACGCAGTTTTGGAACACTTACCACTTCGGCAGCCCTCCTCCTTCTGAGCTTCATGAATTGAGAAAGGGCACTGATCAATTCTCAGCACGGCAAGGAATTGATCACTACACCGGTGGAGAAGTGGGGAATCACTTGTGAATCGAATCAAATTACCAACGGTGATCTGGTCCAGTATATGGACGGATTGCGATGGACGAACAAGTAAGACAAGGAGAAGAATTGACGATCCTGGAAATAACAGAGTCTGGAGCGATCCGAAACTAGGGTTTTGAAGTGGATCGCGTATAGAGGGATTTGATAGGGAGAGAGAAAGACGGTGAGAGAGAGAGAAGTCGAGAAGAATTCTATCAAGGTAAGGCGCTTTTGCGTTATAAACAGGAAGCCAAAATTGTTCCAATGCCGGTTTAGATTTTTCTTTTCTTTATGTTTTCCTCTTTTCTTTGATAATCTCAATATCCACAAAATAACTATATTTATTAATTTCCAAGCCAAAAAATATTACAAAATACGGTTACGAAGTTAATCACCTCGTAAAATAATAGAGATGTTTCTAAAAAAAAAACCATGGAACATTACAACTTGCATATTTTGTGAAACTATAAACAGAGTTATCGCTAGTATTTGTTAAATGAGCTTTGATATAGCATCTTTTAATCCTTAAACGAGTTGATTAGAGAGAGGCAACACACACACACAAAAAAAGGAGAATCATTGAGAAAAGGGGTTGAAGCAAAAGCTAAAAGACACATTGTGTGATTCTTTTCTTCACATAGCCTTTTTCTTTCTTCCTCATGATTTTATGATTATAATTTTATAAAATTTAATAATAATATACAATATTTTACATTTACAAACAAATTTCCCTCATATACATGAAAAAGGATTCATAATCAGTTGCACATCAACCACAAAGCCACTTTTGTACAATGTAGCACTCCCTTAAATAAATGACTCAATATTCTCAGTATCAGGTATGTCAAAGACGAAAAGTGATTGTCTTGCAATCTAGAGATCTCTTTATACGAGTCCTGCTTCTGAAAATAGATGATGATAGTGAAGACGGCATAAGAGTCTTTCCTTGCATTCTGATGTTGACAATGAAGCTCTTCTTATTATGGTTTCAGGTTCAGGACCAAGAAACTCTCTCTTTTCAGTGAATGCAGGATTCTTGGAATCAACCCAACGACGCCTTCAAGGGACTTATCAGAACTGGAGTCAATACTGTTGGATACTCTTGGCTCTTGTGATCTGTTAACAAGTGTAGCTTCTGCGTGGATAAAGCAGGGCTTTTGGTGATCCCGGAAGATGGAATTTATAGGCACAGACTCGGCAAGGTAGAAAAATTGAGACTTACGTTTAACCTATACTATGAGAGGAGCAAAAGTTAGCATTTGCATGCAGCAAGGTAGAAGTGCTTACTGTTTTAGCAAGCTACAAACGACGGACTGTGCAAGTGTAGATATCGGTTTACAAACTCGAAAGCTTGAAAAAGTCCTTAAACGGCACCGCTTGATATCACCATGTTTTTTTTTTTTTGGTAAAATGTAAAGATTTTATACCAATTTTTCAGTTTTTGACAGAAATTACAAAGGTAACAAGAAGGCAGAAAGACCAAAAAACTACAAGAAAAGACTCGATTACAGCAGCAAAATACGAAAGCGAACGAGCGACAAGCTAAGCACACGCCAAACCAAGCAGATCCCAGAGTGGAAACACCGATTCCGAACATAGAGCTCGAAAATTTGCATTGTTGCCGAAGTTCCAAGGAACTTGAGTCCTCATCGTTGTTACCACGAGCACTACTATCCGAAGCCAGTCCTCAAAACCTCAGCATTAGTAGCACCTACAGCTTCTCCGAAGACTAACACAAAAACGGAACTGCATCAACATCTTTTCATCCTCCGGCGGCAAGGGAGCTTCGGGCAGTCAGAGAAAGCCGCCTCTGACCACCATTCTCAGGCCTGCAAATCAACGAGAACAACTCCCACAGAAGAATCGAGACGCCAATAACAAGAGCCGCCGCCTCTATCCCACACCGGAAGACCACTGTAGTCGGATGGAGCTGTCCCCTGCCGGCGATTAACCGCTACGAAACCGCCAAATAAAGTCTGAAGATGAGCACCAGATGGAGAAGAAGGAGCCACACCGGAAACCAAACCAAGCACAGAAACCACCAATCGTCACCGACGGTCTCCGGGCGAAATCGAGCACCGCCCTACAAAACCACTGATGGGAACGAAAAGAGAGAGACAACGCAGAGAGCCACATCTCCGTCAAGCCGGAGATCCCCACGCCGCTGCCAAAGACGAGAACCCAGAGGAAGAAAGCCGCCTCCTTTGACGAACCAGGGGTGGAGACAAGTCCTCACAGCCTCCACAAACCACCACGCTGTCCAGATCTGACAGATCCGCCACCACGAACCGCCAAAAACAGAGACCGGCCTGCCACGCCGGAGGGAGGAGCCGAGACGCCACACTCCACCTCCGCACCGATCTTCCACCATGATTGACGGTGAACCATCCTTCACGGAGCTCGATCCGAACCAAACAGAAAATCCTTCCGCCGAAAATCGAGCAAGACAGAGAGATGCCGAACAGAAGAAAGGGAGATGGGGCCTCTCCCGGCGGTGGCGAGGAGTGCCGGCCGCCGGAGAGGATGAAGAAGCAAAAAAGTTGACAACTATGGGCGGCGGCGCTTGGGAGAGAAAGGGAGAAAAAAAAATTAGGGTTTTTTAGTATCCGATGAAATGAACTATTGAAATTTTGGAATTATTGCTTAGTAAAAAACTGCTAGAGAAATACAACTAACTTCTAGAAATGTCGAAAATATTATGTTCTATGTGTTCCCTCTTTTTTATCCATTAGAGCATCTCCAATGATCACCCTTGGAACACACCTTCAAAATAAGGGGTTTGTAAGTTTTGTTCTAATGGGAAACCCTTATCCTTACCCTTTAAAAATAATATTCCACATTTCATCTTTATAGTTGAAAAAAGACCCTTATCCTTGCCTCTTACTGTTTGTTATATACGGTTTATCCTAGGGATATTCCACATTTCATCTTTATAGTTGAAAAAAGATTACAGTATTGGATAGAGATATCTTGAACAAAAGCCGTAAAAAAAAAATCTTGAACAAAAACAATAGTCTCTTCATTTATTTACTTTTTCTTATTAACTAGCTTTTTCATTTTGATGCCATACAAACGTTGATTTCATTTTATTGAGATAATACTAGTAGTTTAAAAGATTCCAAGTTAGATGGAAAAAAATAAAAAGAGCGAGATATACGATTAGATTCGGGCAACCTTCAAAGTCAAAGGACGATGGCTTCACGTAACTTTAGACTAACGCAGACATGTCATTACAAACGTCACCTTTCTTCTTCTTTTCAACAAATTCTGTCTTTCTTAACCTCCTTTTATCAAATTTACAGACTGAGTCCGATTTTCTTGACTTTTTTCCCCCACAGTACTTTGCAAATCACCAAGATAATAATTGCTCTACATGTTTGATTTTGAGATATACACAACAAAAAGCAAACCTCTACTATGAATCTATTTGGCCAACAGATAATACTAATTAGTTACTTTGAATTAGTCCTTCAAGTAGAGAGATATAGTTTTCAACCAAATAAAAAAACTAGGAGGTTGATGGTGAATCATGGTATAAAAGTAGGTGGCACTAAAAACATGTGATGACTGATGAGCCTTAAATGTGTAGATAAGCAGACTGCTGTTTACAATCTTTACTACCAATCTAGCAAAAGAACACAGTTAAAAGCATCTTAAATGTGTTGTCGACAAATTTTTTTAGTTAACTATTTGGCACAAATTTTACTATACAAAAATGTAAAACTTATAAAATATAATCAAACTGTAATGAAGAAATTTACATGCGTGTTGACAAAAGGTTATTCATTTTCATTTACTGTAAGGATATTAAAGAAGACAAAATTTGAAGTTACCATGTTCTTGCCCAGAGGTCGCCGTCATCTCTCTTTATATAATAAGCTTTGTTCATCTTCTTCTCCACACAACCATTCGCTCTTCTCTTCCTTTCACATAACTGCTTCTTCCAAAACCAATTATCTCCATCTCCATCAATGGCACCGTGCATCGACACTTCCAGAACCCATATTTCTCAAAGCGATGATTCTGATTTCAGTTACCTGAATTTCTGTCGACCCGGCTTCTCTGATCGTATTTCACGCGGGAACCACACGAAAACCCAAACCGACGACGATGATGTCTGGCTTAAGATGCGAGAAGAAGCTAGATCCGACGTCGAGCAAGAACCCATTTTATCGAGCTACTATTACGCGACCATCACATCGCACCGATCGTTGGGTTCTGCTTTGGCGAGCATCCTCTCCGTAAAGCTCAGTAATTTAACCTTACCAAGCGACACGCTTTTCGAATTGTTCATCAGCGTTTTAGAAGAAAGCCCTGAAATCGTGGAATCGGTGAAGCAAGATTTATTAGCAGCCAAGGAAAGAGACCCAGCTTGCGTAAGCTACGTCCATTGCTTCCTAAGCTTCAAGGGCTTCCTCGCGTGTCAAGCTCATCGAATCGCTCACAAGCTCTGGACTCAGGACAGGAAAATCCTAGCTTTGTTGATCCAGAACAGAGTATCGGAGGTTTTCGCCGTCGATATTCACCCTGGGGCGAAGATCGGAAAAGGGATTCTGTTAGACCACGCGACGGCCGTGGTGATCGGAGAGACGGCGGTGGTCGGAGACAATGTTTCGATTCTCCACGGCGTGACGCTCGGAGGAACAGGGAAACAGTGCGGCGACCGGCATCCGAAGATTGGTGATGGGGTCTTGATCGGAGCCGGGACTTGTATATTGGGGAATATAACAATCGGCGAGGGAGCTAAAATTGGGTCGGGTTCGGTGGTGCTGAAGGACGTGCCGCCGCGTACGACGGCGGTAGGAAATCCGGCGAGATTGATTGGTGGAAAAGAGAATCCGAGAAAGCATGACAAGAGTCCCGGTCTGACCATGGACCAAACATCGCATATGACCGAGTGGTCTGATTACGTTATCTAAAACAAAGTGTATAAATTTGTTCTTCTTTAGTCTTTGTAACTTAAATCATGTCTTGTCTGTATGTTAAGATTAGTTTTGACTTTTGATTAAAACAGTCAACCTCTTAAGTTTTACCAGTACCAAATTAAATTGAACAGTTTACCAAAATACTGAACCGGTCTGGTAAGGCTAAACGCCGGGTGAGGGCATTACTGTCATTTAAATCATCTCGCTGTCACTTGCTCGACGGAGGAAAAGACGCCGCCTTTCTTCACTGCAACAAAGACACGACTCAGAAATCGCAATTCTCGGTTTCATCGTCTTTTGTTCAACAGATTTCTTCTTTTTTTGTTTATACATTTTTACACTCTATCAGTACACTCGCGTTCATCTATCTACCGCCGGAGAAATTTGGGTTGGTTGGGTCTTCGTTTATCATTTGCATATGGAACTTGATTTATCTATCGTGGGTCGATCTGTGATTGCCACGAGGAGGTCCTCGGGTTTCACGCGACTATGTCAAAATTCGAACTTTACAGTAAAGTGTATTCAAAGAAACAGGCAGCGCCCGCTCTGTGTCTCGTCGAGTTTGAGTTTACGTAAATGTCAATTTAGCCACAGAAGTCGGTTTGTGGTGTTTAGCGCGAGTAAAGATCATGTGGACAGTAGTCACCAGCCTCCCGATTCCGGCAAAGAAGTCGATTCGATTAAGATTCTGCTGAAGCGGGGAATCATTTTAGGAGCAGTGGCGTTTGGAGTTATGTTGTATGGATGCCGGAAAGTATTAGCTTCGACAAATGTGGTGGATGTTGCTTTTGGTCAGAGCGTATTGTTGTTGAGAAATTGCTGGCCAAAAACTTGTCAGGTTCTTAAAGTTGTTCGAGAGCAAGGTCTGATCTTAGCTGCGCTTCTCGGTCTATCAGCATTCTTCTCCATGGCAGAGACCTCCATCACCACTCTCTGGCCGTGGAAGGTACTAAATCATAAGCTGATCGAGAGTGCCTTGTTTTCCGAGATTTATATACTAGTTCAAGGTCTTGTTGACTCTTGATTGTTTCTGAAATGTGGCTCTGTAACGTAACGTATCTCAGGTGCGTGAGCTGGCTGAAAAGGAACCTGAAAATGGCGTTTTCAGAATGCTCCGTAGTGATGTTACCAGATTCTTGACAACCATACTTATTGGGACAACGTAATGCTCCCTTTTTATTTGTTGGAATCTTTGCTTCAGTTTTTTTGGTCTCTTAACTTTGGTCTATCGGTTGTTCTTAGTGTTGTGAATATCGCGGCAACTGCCTTGGTCACGGAAGCGGCAACAGCTATATTTGGTGAAGCTGGTGTTAGTGCAGCCACTGGGTTGATGACGGTACTTATTACTCCTGAGTCCTCTCTGAGATTGCCAATATGTGTACTTAATATTCTTGAGTGGTTTGTTTATAGGTAGCCATATTACTCCTGACCGAGATAACTCCAAAAAGTGTAGCCGTTCACAATGCTCAAGAGGTTGCAAGGATTGTGGTAAGTTTGAGCGTAATCATCAGCAAAGACTTGACAGACAGAACATGCTCATATCTTAAAAGACATTTTCTGATTTATGTTATCTTGCTTACTATGCATCTAGGTCAGACCAGTGGCGTGGCTTTCCTTGGTTTTATATCCAGTTGGAAGAGTTGTGACTTATATTTCCATGGGAATTCTAAAAATTCTTGGTTTGAAAGGACGGAGGTATGCAACAGATTTGTACTTATAATTGTAAGCTATGCATCTTCCCTTGTTGAGAGAGATAGAGAGAGTTGACTTATTTTGCCAATAGCCTATTCTTCTTTTTGTGTCAGTGAACCATATGTTACGGAAGATGAGTTGAAACTAATGCTACGTGGTGCAGAATTAAGTGGGGCCATAGAAGAGGAAGAGCAGGTATCAGTTTGTTAAATACGGACTCTCCATGTACCAGATACTTGTGAAAGATGATTCAAATGATACACGTACGTTGCAGGATATGATTGAGAATGTGTTAGAGATAAAGGACACACATGTTCGAGAGGTGATGACCCCTCTTGTTGATGTAGTTGCAATAGATGGCAGCGGCAGCCTTGTTGATTTCCATAACTTTTGGGTGACTCATCAGTACTCAAGGTCTTTAAATCTTCTGTAATGAACCTTTTTTTGCTCCTTGTGATTCTTTGTTATGCTCAAAGATTTTCTTCGCAGGGTGCCTGTTTTTGAGCAGCGAATTGATAACATAGTTGGTATTGCATATGCTATGGATCTTCTAGATTATGTCCCCAAGGTCTGGCAGGCTGCTTAATTCTCTGTTTCTTGATTTCATTGACACTTGTATTTGTGAGGGCGCCATAGTTGTTGAATGAATTTGATATCTTCTCTTTGGTTTTGAAGGGTGAGCTGCTAGAAAGTCTGACCGTGGTGGACATGGCGCACAAACCTGCATACTTCGTCCCTGGTAAGCATTGATGCATTCAAACCGTAAAACAGTATTTGTTGAGACGTAAGAAAAATTGTTGTTGGTTCAAAATTTGCAGATTCAATGTCGGTATGGAATCTTCTTAGAGAGTTTAGAATAAGAAAAGTTCACATGGCAGTTGTTCTTAACGAATACGGTGGAACCGTTGGAGTATGTTGCTGGTCGTCCTCCTCTATACTTTGTTTTTGTCTCTGGAAAAAAGGTTGTCTAATTTCTATCCATGCAGATAGTAACTCTTGAAGATGTGGTGGAAGAGATTGTTGGTGAAATATTTGATGAAAACGATTCAAAGGTAAGTGTCCTAGTTTCAACTTGCTGCTGGTAATTAGGAAGGACTTTTATGCTTCACATAGCTTCTCACGTCCATTGTTGTGGGGCGTGTAGGAGGAGATTCAGAAGAAAACAGGTTATATCGTGATGAGAGCTGAGGGTATCTATGACGTTGATGCCAACACTTCGATTGACCAGTTATCTGAAGAACTCAATATAAAGATGCCAGAGGTAATCCACTCCTTAATGCATCCCTGTAGAATCAGAACACATGTATCTTCTAATATATATATAATTCCTAAATTGTTGTTGATTTGAAAAAGCAGGGACATCAGTACGAAACAGTCTCAGGTTTTGTCTGCGAGGCCTTTGGGTACATCCCAAAGACTGGTGAGAGTGTGACGGTAGTCCTCGAAAAGGAAAACTGGGAAGAGCATGATGAACATGAAGAGGGTAAACACGAGCGCCAAGATCAGAAGGAGAAGCACCAAGTTTATAGACTAGAGGTACATACATTGCTCGACTCATAATAGCACTTGCCTCTGTACCATCCATATTCAGCAAATATTTGATCCTCTGTGGACAGATCCTAGCAGGGAATGCCAGAAAAGTGAGCGCAGTCCGGTTTGAAAGAGTTAGTGACATGAATGAAGTTTCAGATGCGAAAAACATGGTTCCCAAGTTCGTGAGAAAATGGGGCAGTGAGGAAGAACACGAGGGGAATCACCAAGCCAAAATTGCAGTCTCGGATGAGCATCTAACTACTGAAACTGCAAGTGTGAAGAAAGAAAACTAATACATAAGGGGAAGAGGAAGTGGAAGAGGATGAACGTTACTCTTGTAAATTTTGTAACAACAAAGTAGTTTCTTCTTACATTTTCATGAGTCAAATTTTGAATCTATTACACAATAATATCAAAAGAGACTTGAACACTTTTAGGGATCCCATCGCTCGGTGAGTTACAGAAATACTCATGCGTATTGGCTTAAAGAATGGAAGTAGTGGTGTTCGAATAATATCAGGATTTTCAATCAAAGAGAAATCGTATTTTGTGACGAGATGGTGAAGAAAGATGGCCATTTGAAGTCTGGCAAACTCTGCACCTGCACAGATCATGTGGTCAGAGCCATTGCTAAAGCAAAAAACTTTACTTAAATACTAGTGTTCGGGGTGGTCTGACTCAGAGGAGTGCCACGTTTGTTGAGCTTCGTCAAGAGGTAAGCCAACGCTACTTTAGCACCTAAGGCTGAGTGACCACGGGACAAGCAGAAGGCACCGCCCACAAGAAGCAGACCTTTTGCAATCAGTTTCTTTGATGGCTTTCTCAATAACTTGTTCTGTTTTCCGCCACTACTAGTTCCCATGGAGACTGTGACATCCTCTTCTGTCTGACTTTCAAACTCTGATGGAACCTGTAGGAAAGGATGTCAAACATATGAAACCGGTTACTTGATGCATATTCAGTTAAGCTAAACAAGTCACCTTTTGGATAAAGTTGAGAGCAGATAAAAGGGGCCCTTGAGGTCTATGAGTGATTGCAATGTAGTTACGAAGTGCCTTTTCCATCTTACAAACGTAACTCCATATGCCTTTTGAGAAAGCCAGCTTCGCCATCTCAACATTTAACCCCGCATTTTCCTGGTGATACATTTTGATCTCACATGCATTTCTACCAGGAACTGCACCCAGATTTCAAGTCATGAATCAAAGCTAAAAACGAATGAAGAAATGCACAAACAGACAAAGAAACCAAGGACTGTATTCACCAAACAACTTGCCTCTCCTGATGCGCCACCCAGATCTAAAATAGCTTACACGCACATACTTCCTCTGTCGCAGTACCATGTTGTGATCACATTCCTAAGTAAGTAACCAAAGAGCAGAAACAAAAAGACAAGTTAAGAAGAAGCAACAAACAATTCTGTAATCTAATCTCTGAGACAGACAGAGACAAGTTTTAATGACTTCATTTGACCTTGGTGAAACAGTAGAAGGTGTCCTTTCCCTCCCACAACTTCCAAGCTAGGACGTACTCTCTTGATGTCAACAATGGAAACTTTTTAGTGGTGCGACCAATCTCGATTCCGGTGTGACTGTCAACCTGCAGTTGCTCGTGCTCAACCACAGTCTTATCCCATTGTTTCCTATAGTCATTGTCCATGTAAAAGTCCCTCAATCTCTCTGCGGGGCAATCCTCAAAGACCGTAACACTTAGGTACTTCATAGGACCACCATCCTAAAACATAATAATATTATCCCATTAGTAATCAGAATAAATGTTATCATCCCCAAGTGGGGAGCGGAGACATTTAATAAGTCTGCTTGTTTACTTGTGGCCTGTAGCGTTTAGCAGTGTATGAAATGCGATTGTTGCTTTTGTGAATAACATTTTCCCATATCGCCTTATCTCTTTCCTCCAAGGTTTGGATCAGCCTTTTCAAATCTTCATCAGAAACTAGTCCGGATATGCTGCAAAGAGTCATAAGCAGGAATCTGATTTCAATTTTCAACACGCACACATAAAGATGCGAAAAAAGCAAACGGATTCTAGTGATCAAGACGATACTAAGTTTGATTCCTCTGTTACCAATAGCTCAACGAAACCACATGGAGCCTAAAGACAAGTTAAGACCTCAAGCAGAATCCATCAGAGAAAGAGAGAGTCTTAGAGTTTGAATATTTGAAAGCAACGCACTTTGAGCAGGTGAGAACCTAATCTAACAAGACAAGAGGAAACGGAAAGTAACAAAGCGAAGAAGAAGAAAAGTCAAAAGTTTTTACCCTGACTTGGCATGAGAAACTGAGTCCGTGGGGGAAGAAGAAGAGGAAGAGGAAACATAACTGAAGAAGCGATATTTACTGGAAATGAAGATATGAAAGACAAGGATTAAGAGAAGCGAAGCCAAGAAATAATAAGCAGCTCCATCAAAAACATATCGCCCGGAAAAATCGTCGGAGAAGAAAGAGGAATCCCAAATGGATATAGTATTCATCGAATCCCAAATGCCTGAGAAATCATCGTGCGGAGTTACAGTTATAATCCCAAATACCTTCATTGTGATTGTGTCGTGTACACACAATTTCCGGTTTCCGAGCAACATGTTCCAGTTGCGGAGCGACCAAGCCAACGGATTCGATCGGAACTCTGCTTTTTTTTCTCTTGCCCGCCACTTTTATTTATTCTTCTGTTTGACCCCCTTTGTTTTTTTCTACTTACAGTTTCACCCTCGCCGAGACTAGAGACATTTACAGACTCTGTCTCTATCTGATTTCAAACCTTGAACTATACCAAGCCGCATATCAAACCTTGAATTCTTTAATTCGGAATGAATCAAATCTCCCCAAATAGGATTCAAACCTACGACCAATCAGTGAACAGCCGACCGCTCTACCACTGAGCTACTGAGGAACAACGGGAGATTAGATCTGATAGAGTTCAATTCCCGTTCTCAACCCATGACCAATATGAACTCAAAGTTTCCTTCGTAACCCCCGGAACTTCTTCGTAGTGGCTCCGTTCCATGCCTCATTTCATAGGGAACCTCAAACGGCTCTATTTTATTATATTCCATCCATATCCCAATTCCATTCATTTAATATCCCTTTGGTGTAATTACAGTGGAAAGCATTTTCCCACTTACATATTACAGATAAAGACACTTTCTACTCCAAGAGACTTTGGGTTGTTTTCGAGGAGTTGGAAGGGTTAGAAAATTCAATTTTACCCTTAATGAAATTTGTTGTTTGAATGGTGATAAATAATGTTTTTTTTTGTAAAAAATATGGAGCTTCGTCTCTCCGACGGAAGAACGACGGTGATGAGAAAAGAGATCTCAAAACCAAAACTTAAAATCAAATTCCCATAATAAAGTTCAGGAAACTTCTAAATTGTTGAAAACCTTTTATAATTATTAAAGAATCACAATCTGCAAATCTATTAACCTAATATTAATCTCAATCTGCAAATCTAAGAAGGTTTCATAATTTATGTGTGATTCAGGCGGAGATGACGAATTCAGAGAAGAAGACAAAGGATTGAAATATATTTGAGAATGGTTATTGTATGTATGTGTGGATGGTCATTTGTGGATACACGATTATGGATGTTATTGTGTGTACGAGAGTATGGCTTGTAATATGTGTATGTATTAATGTATGGATATGAGTGAGTGGATATTTGCAATGGATTTTACATGATTCTTTGCCTCAATTTCTGCCTTTTCTGAATTTTTGGAAGCATAGTTTGGTTTCTCTAGTTTTTCGAAAGTGACGAATCCACATGGATACCTATTTGTGGATGAGAAAAAAGTTATATATATCCACATGGATATATGTACATAAATGAATATGGATATCTCTATCATGAACAAATGGGCACTAATAGGTTACAGTTAAACTCACAAACACACCATTTGATAACATTGTAATTCAAAAATGTTCAGAGTTTTTCTTTTATTCAAAATAACAATCTTATATATTACCAAAGAACAACTCACAACTTTTCTGTTACCAAAGAAGCATTAAAACGATAAAACAGAGATAAAAAAAAATATGTTTCTATTTAAGCTTTAGCCTCTTGCATCAACAAAACATGAGTTCAAATCTTAGTTTTTTTTTACCAATGTTCCCTCTATGTTATCCTTGTTTCATTTTTTTTGCTTTGACCTGAACTTGGTCAGACATATCAAATTGTTATCACTATCGAAGTTTAATCACAAATATATACAAAAAGTTAGCATATTCTTACATTGGCCACATGGATAATAATATAATATGGAATCTCAAATTCAGTAATCTATATGTATCAATCCTCAAATTGGTAATAATATAATATGGAATCTCAAATTCAGCTATCATATGATAATATGTAACCACATGGATGCATTTGTGTGGATGGAAAGTGAAAGTGCAAGACAAAAAAAAGTTCACAATCTCAAGAGTTTAATAGAACTATCCACATGAAATCATAAGACATTAACGTCTGCACAAGTTTTCTTAAAATCTGAGAAAACACAGTAATGCTCCACCAAAAAAAAGTCTTATGAGTCTTTTTTCTCACATGAGACATTTACCAAGAGCTACATATCTATTGTGGGTTTTGAGATGTTGTGGATATCTTTTTGATGAAAAAATTGTAGATATGTAGTAAATTCGAGACTAAACAATGAATTAGAGTGACAAAGCACATTAAACCAATATAGATGCAATAATGCAATTACATGGATATAAACTATTTATGGGATTAAGAGCCACCAGAAAATTAGAGATGACCTAAACATGGATGCATATATGTATATACATAACAATGGACAGAGCCATATGGACGGATCTGTTTGGATACAGAAAACAAATAACTAATTTAAATGCAATAGATCTATGAGATCATAAAAACTACTAAGATCATGAAGAGATCCATGACTTCATGTCCACAAAGTCATGTACACACAGACATGTCCACATACATAGTTTACTCAAGATACAAAAGATTTAAGCATTTTAGCATAAAAGATCGCCTACTCCAAATAACTGTTCTTCATAAAACAAATTGTTTATATTCCAAACAATAAAAACTGTAAACAAAAGTGGAAATGATGGATGGCTCACCAAAAACATCAATGTATTGAGAGGAGGTTAAAGTAGATATGAAGTTGAGAAGTAATGTAACACTCCACAGCTAACAACACAATAACTTTCGAATACAATAGCATCGCCATGACAAAATCTTGATTCTTTCTCACTGAGAAGCCTAAAATTCTTTCTTGGACTATTCACTTAATGAGCCTTTCTTCCATGTTTTGGATCAAGATGGAGGACGAGAGATTTTCCTGCACGTTGATTTGGAAGTTGTGCCATACAGTTCTGAAATCAAGGGAAAAAAAAATTTGAAGAACTAGCAAATATTAGAGACACATGGATGCAGTTTCGTGGACGACACTAGCATGGATGCAGTTTCCAAGAACTCTCTCGTAAAAAATAATTTGAAGGGCTATCCGCATGGATGCAGTTTCGTGGACGACACTAACATGACCATATACGTTTATTAAAGAAAAAATAGATGATAATCGTGACATAGTTAGCCATTTGGAATCAAGTGTATGGACGCAAAACACATGGATAGATGCACTTATGCAAGTATCAGTGGATGAAAGTAGTGTGATATTCTAAGAAATGAATAACTATCCACATGAATGCGGTTGCGTGGACATAAATAGCATAAACATATACGTTTTATGGAGGAATTAGTTAGTAGAACTAAGATAGTAAACATCCAAATAGAAACCCCGTTACTATGGATACAACAAAGTTTATATATCCTACGGGCAATCTCATATGGACATAATATTAATTTTGGCTTAATTATATTATAGAAACTGGAAAGTAAGCATCATGTAACATATTGAATAAAGGAAGAACTTGCTACATTTTTGGGTTACAATGTTAGCAAATGGTGTGTTTGTGAATTTTAACTGTAACCTATTAGTACTCATTTGTTCATGATAGAGATATCCATATCCATATACATATATCATGTGGATATATATAGTTTATTTTCATCCACAAACAAGTATCCATGCGAGAACATGCAACCGTGGATATAAGAAAGTTGAAACCATGAACATATGGTCATAAAACCATGGATACAATCAAAAACAACAAATCGTGAATACAATAAATTCTCTTGTATTACGTACACTCAACTAATAAGAATCACACAATTGAAAATCATATTCATACAAACCCGTCCACGAGTCACAATCCATGTGTTCAATATCTAATCCATATTACTAAAACACCATCTATATCACTTCTTCCATGATAAGCGGAAGACACATGTATCTCATCCCGTGGACATGAACTATCATTCATTAATGGACGCTTCACATGGTCGGTTTCACATGGACAAGTACAATCCATTACCAGATCTGTACTCTGTTTCGGATAAACAAGAAAACAACGGGAGGACACAACTGCTTAATTCGTCGGAGGGAGAAACTGCTTAAAGCTAACAGAGTGTAAGAGTACAATCACCTTTCATGAATTTTCGCAGAGGAGACGACGGAATAGGAATCCTTCAGAGAGAGAAGGAGAGGGCTGCTTTTTCTGTGAGGGAGCGATTGAAATCCGTAAATACTCGACGCGGTGGTACTGGCGAGAGCAAGAGGCGGAGAAGAAGGTCAGTGTTTCTAGGGTTTTCAGTTTCTCGTCGTTTGATTTTCTGGAAGAGAAGAGAGAAAAAACTAAAGAATGTGAAAAGTTTTAATTGTATTTAATAAAATAACACCATAAAAAGGGTGTTTTTGTAACTGCAACACACAGCAAGAAATCTAGTGTGGATAAGATTAAGGGCCATAAGGCATTCATTGACTCTAATGATTCTTTCACAGTCACCACCAATGCTCTACTTTGTGGGTGGGGAAGAAAACTACAAACAAACAAACAAAAAGTCCTTTCGATGAATATGAAATATTAATATTGGCATATCCCAATGGTTATTTACAAAAGAATTAAATCAAATGGAATTTTGCAGCGATTAGTGTACATCTTTCATTTGGCATATCTATACCCCTTTTATGTACCTCTTCCTCTCTAATCTAGCTTATACAGTACAAAAACTTCTCAGGTGACGACTCAGCTCTTCCATTTGCTTCCCCAAGAAAGAATGCAGCAACCATGATGTCTTGATCAGATGAGATGAGTCAGGACTCAGCAAGTGTGAGTGGCTTCAGCAGCCCTTTTCCGCATCATCTCCATTACAGCAGCTCTACGCCTTTTGTCTGACTGCTTCTGCTGTCTACTACTATTCGCTTTGAACTCTCTGTTGGAGAAAACAGTTTCAAACACCACCCATTAAGACTCAGCTCTATAGACTATATATATATATATATTAGCGGTTTGATGATATTAAACTCTCTACGTACCTGCACTTGAAGACGGTGCACTGGGAATCTCTACAGTGCCGAGCATGCAATCTGATTATGTTCCAAAGTTTCTTACAAGGGCGACAACCTGCAGGACTCTTACATGCTACACAATGTCTTAAGAGCATCTTCACCCCGTGACACCATCGGTTTTGGCACCTTGTAGAGCGGCATGTGGGTACATGTATCAGCACTTCTTTTATCTGCAGTTTCAACAAGCCAGAGCTTTATTACTATTTTCTACAAGCTACACACACACACACACACACACAAGCATTCCAAATATAGGTAGGTAATGTCCTGATCAGACAATACCTTCTGAAGCATGATTTGATAATTTTGATTAGCTTGCCCGTTCTCTTGCACACTAGTCTCCGTAGCAGATGAGCGGCTTATCAGGTCATGTGGATGGTTGAAAGAGGCCTTAGAGTAACAGGCATTGCAGACATCGTAGCTGGTGCAAACTTGGCAGCGCCAGCCTTGAGCGTTTTCAATCTCTTGCTGGCAGATTGTGCATGTCGTTGGAAATGCAGGGGCGGTTGGGTTGTGAAGATGATAGAGTATCATCATGGAAGAATGTTTTGCCCGCCTTAGTGTGTCGTACTGATAGTTGTTGCCTTGGCAAAGACTCAAGAAAGCTTGTCTGTTATCAAAGATTTCGCTCTCCATGTTCTCATCTTTCTCCTCAATCTTGGTGGGAACGTCTTCGATGGCAACCTGCAGAGCAACGAGATCCACAAAATAAAGAATGGAAATGAAACTAATTAAAGAGGTCTAAAACTAAGAAAGAAACTTACAGGAAAGAGTGTGTGCTTCTGTTTCTGGTTGATTGGATGTCTCTCTTCCTCTGCGCGCTTCTGTTCCCCTTCATTACACCTGCGGTCAAAAGAGGGTTGAATATAATATAGTTCAAATAAATGATTTTTCAAGTATCAAAAAATAAAATAACCATGCAGCAGAGAGATCTTACTTGTCACAGATCTGAAAGTTCTTGCAGTGATTGCAAACCCAGCGATTTCCAGAGACCATAGGAGTGCAACAGTGCTTGCAGCAATGCTGCAGATGAACCATGATGAAATCTTCCTTCATCGGACAGATGATCTCACCGAGCTACACAAAACAAGTAAATAGTTAAAACTTTATTAAAAAAAAAAAAAAAAAAAAACTAGAGGAAGAAAGATGATCCATGAATGATTGGAAAAAGTAGGTACTTTTTGCATCATGAGACGATCCTTGGAGGCATTGACAGAAAGGTCCAACTGGCCAACTGCTCTGAGGGCTCTTTTGGATATGACCTTTTTGGTCAATCCTTTTCTATTTAACTTGTTCGTCGTCGTCGTCGTCCCATCATCGTCTTCTTGGCTCATTTGTTGTAGCAAATCCTCAGCAACACCTGGCCAGTAGTCCCCATCGAAATATGGCAACCTTGCAGCACTTACATTAGCTCTACATTCCCCAGACTGGACGAAGAATTGATCATACAGGTTTGTGTATTCAACCACCACACCTTCCTTTGAAGCTTTCTTTAGCATTGCCAAGTACCTGAAAAGAGAGGAGGTTTGTGTATTCAGCCACCAAATCATATGTATACCTTTTAACTTGACAAACAAGACATGTGGATTTCATACCATTCCCTTAGTTTGTCAGTCTTGGGCGTCTTCTGGATTTCAGGATGACAATAAAGAATATAATCTTCACCCTTTAGTGGAGGGCATGCCCATATGTAGCAGCTTGTAAAACCACGTTTCTTACAGTAATCCAGATAACCAATCTGCAAAAGATCAATGCGTGTGAATCAAAACATGATAATAATCAACAGCTACAAGGTGGGAATAGAGGTGGAAAAAGTGGCTTACAAGAATTTGATGGTAGACAAACGTGCGGAGGGCTTCTCCAGAGACTGTTCTCACCTCTGGTCTGAAATACTTAACCGAGTCCAGATACGATATGTAGACTCTCCTCTCATTGGGAGCTCCACACTCTGTTCCAAATTCTTGTACGAACATCCCAAATAAGCATACCTCCACACTTTCTATCTTCTGAAACAACAATATCACCTAAAACATACAAAACCAAATAAATACATCTCCAAGTGACAATTGAAATTCAACAAGCAAATTAAAACCAATATCTACGTACCTTGGATTTGTAAGGGAACTCAGATGGATAGTTTTCTTCTCGGAAAAGCTCAAGGAAACGTTCCTTTACTTCCAATACTTTGTCGACCGATGCCACAACTCTGACAGCAAGTGATTCGGCTCCAGGGACCTGAGATATTCAATAATCAAAGGTAGATTAGATATGGTTTATATAACACTTACGAAGGTAGATGGACAGAGGAAAACAAACATAAGAGAGTTGGAGATTATAATACCTCCTCGTAACGTTTTCCTTGGAGTCTAGCTCTCTCATGTCTTTCCTTGCTCAAGTTTGTGAATAACCGCTGCTCTATATGGTTGCTAAGACTAGTGACTGGTAAACTATTTGCACCCGGGATGGCACTATGTGGTAATGGTCTTCTTTGCCCTTCTTCCACCTCTTGTATGTAGCAATTAGGGCAAGTGTACTTTGTGGCTTCCCCATGATTCCTTCGGCTGTTGAACAAACCACATATTTGATGCTGCCACGCTTCACACTTATCACATTGCACCCACTGCATCAAACCTCTTGTTCAGACACAAGTAGCCAAATAACTAATATAAATAAAATAAAAAAAGACACTATAAGGCATACATACCCCTTCCCCGATTTGTTCATCGTTTTTCTTCTTCTCCAGGCTTGTTTTCGGTATACAAGTTCCATCAACAGAAACAGAGTTCTCACGCGCTTCATTGTAGCAATGTGCGCAGACATGATGGCGTGACTCACCAGCCGCGGCACTATAGTGCACGGCATTTCTCTTGATGCGTACACCACAAGGTGAGCAGTATATAGGTATCGGCTCAAACACAAGCCTCTCAACACCACATAACTGGCAAGCATTCGCCGACATGGAGCACCCCATTGCTCTGTTTTTGTCTGCCTTGCTTTTACTCTGAACACAAAAACGAGCGTGCATCAGAGAACCAAGAAAGAGGCATTTCATCAAACATAACGAAAGTAAAACAGTTTGAATTGGTTACCTGTCCTACCCACTGGCGAAGACCGCGGATATGCTCCTGTACTTGCTCTGTAGTAAACAACTCAACGAGAGAAGAGATTTCCATCTTAGACTCATCTACAACCTCCACGTTTTGTTCCTTTGGTGCACTCACTTCATCCAGACAAATAGTTTTGTCCTCAGCAACATGCTTCTCCAGCTCCCGGGTGACGGGAACATCTATGTCCATAGGCTTAACCTCACTTTTGCAGTCATCCACTGAAGAAGAATTGCTCTTCATCTCAGGAGTAGTATTTTGGGAGGGTTGGTCTATTTTCAGGCGCTTAATCGAGGGTTGCAGATTATCATCAGCATTGCCTCTTTTCTTGTATGCTTGTAAACTTGTTGATTTTTTCTTCTTGTAAAACTCTTTGACATATACACAGACAGGGCACGACTTGTCCTTGCACTCGTTGCAATGAAGAAGCCACCTCTTAGTTTTCTGACAACGCGGATATGTGCAATCGGGGATCTTGCAGCGTTCCGTATGCATCACTAGCTTTTTGGCAAGAGAGCAGTGCTTGCTCGCACACTTGTCTTCCGTTGCGCTGCATGTACGTGCATGGATCATAAACAGAATCCACCGCCTCTGATCCCGAATCTCCCGATCACCATCTTCTCCGTTGACCTGTTTACCATCTAGAGCAGAAACAGCTTGCGCGCTAATTACAGGCGCTATGGCAGACGAGCAGTGATGAAAAACTTGAGGCTGCGTAGGAGTTGTCTGACACAAGTTGACCACAACATGTTCTCTGTCTCCGTTACTGTTTGTTTCTGATAGTTGAGCAGAGTTCTGTAGAGATGACTGTGGCCTTTGAAGTAGGACTGAAGCCGACTGGTTACGAGGAGGTGGTGGGAAAGATGGAGAAGACCCGAGGGGAGTAGCATGGGAAAGATGAGTACCAAAATATTGGTGTTGAGCAAGAGCGTTGTGTTGGTATGGCAACTTGGAAGGTTTGAAAGGGTTATTGGCGTGTTGCTGAAGAGCTTCTTTGTAGATATCCAGGCTTGGTCCAGGAGTAGCAGGTTGAGTCTGGTAAGCATCCTTGTATGGTAGTAAAGGATCTTGCTTGGGAAATTGACCAGGATGAGAATGCTCTACTCCTTGGTGCTGCTGGTGAAACCCATGACTCACCATGTTTTGATGGTAATTAGTGTAAGCAGATTGGAAACTCGTATTCCGTAGCAGCAATGGATTTGAATGATTAGTTGCAATGGGATTAGCGTCCACTCTCGGCATAGGATTGGGGTGCAATGGGATTGTATCCTGAGCAACTCCGTAGAGATTGGTTGAACAAAGAGGATCAGTCATAAAGTATCCTGAAACAAAATTCTTAATCAGAAGCATATATATAAGAACAAGCAAGAAAGAGTGTTAGGTAGGGAGATTAATTACTGTGCATTTGTGACGCAGCCTGAAACTGATCAACAGGTTGCATAAGAGGCCTAGGAGGAAGCGGTACGGTGTTCTTGGTAGTGCAGATCCCAGAAGTAATACTAGTAGTAAATTGGTGTGTATTATTTGGCCTTGAAAGTGGTTCAACCATCTGATGATAATTAGCAGTATGATGTCTCTGCAGGTCAGAGCCAGGTGTTATATTGCTGATTGGAAATCCTGCATTACATGTCCACCACGTCAGTCAAAATTTGTATCTAATTAGAGATGAGTGACATGTATATTGTTGATGATGATGTTGATGTACCTCCTCCAGATTGGAAAGTTGGAGGTGTAAAGTTGAGATTATTAAAAGGGGTGGTGGTGTTGGAAGTAGGGAAGGTGGCATGGATAGTTTGATGTGGTGATGATGAAGAGATGCCACGAGAAGCATGAGAAGAGAGTGCTCGTCCTCTATGGTCTCTCAATATTTGCTCTACGCGGAGTTCAAGATATCGTGGATCCGAGTAATCCCTCTGCGAAAACCATCAATCGAGTGATTTAGTAGAAAAAACATATATAATTAATAAAACTTGAGACAGTTTAGTTAAGGAATGTAACCAACCAAGGAAGTGGTCATCTTTAAGAGAGCATGCTCTACAAATTTTGTAATAGCTATATACTTTTGTTGCGAGGCACTAGGACTGTCCTTCCTTGCACTCAACTTCCGCGTTACGATTGCAAAGCTGAACACAAATCAAATATAACATATACACAAGATTATTAGTAATTTAAACATGATATCACCTTAATGAAACACAACATACATTGATTATGGTCATGATTCATGAACAAGTGATGAAAAGGAAACCAAATCTTACATCCTTGCTAGCGTAGCTCTCCGTAATTTCACAATGTAACTATGATTCTGATTCTGCTGAGGAGAAACAAGAGAATTCGGCATCTCCGGAGGCTCAGGAACAACATTCATATTCTCACCCTCTGCCATTCCCACACACCATGTACAATGTATTGTAATTTATTACGCCCCCTTTAGTCAAAACAAGGTCAAACCTTTAAACTTAATTTTATAATCCAACACCCGCCAAGCCTAATTACGCTAACCCGGTGCAAAACCTAAACAGACATCGTGCCAAAAAAACCCTAAACCTTTGAGAGTAAAACCAATTCAAACGAAAACGACGATGATCGGAGGAGCCGGAGACAAGTTAACGACAAACAAGGATGGTCGGTGTCTGATTTACCTACACGTGCGCGATTGTGGTAAAGCCTATGGGAACCAAAAAGCCGCTTTTTACACTTTGTTTTATACGCATCAAACCCCACCAAATCTCTCCTCTTTTTTTTTTTTTTATATTTGCTGACAAAATAAAATAAAGTACTTGGACTAGTTTGACTTACAATTTGAAGACACAACTCCTTTATCCAATCACAATCTCACACCTGCCTGGATTTTTCAATTTTGTTAATCAAAACAATATTTAGAAAAGGAAAAATGTGCAACTATTGATATTCCCAATCATATGCTGACACGTGATCGAGGAAGAAGAAGACTAAGACAGAACAACTCTCTGTTAGTCGATTGGGCCCGTTTCTGCGTGTTGGGTTTTAGAGCAAGCCCAACTACCCGGTTTACTCTCCAGTCGAACGTACCAAAAGTCAACAGACGAGCTGTGGTTTTTAGGATTTAGCCAAAATAGTAAAACGGCACGTAGTTGTTATCGAGGATGCACGCAGCAGAGAGCAAACGATTAACGATGGCAGCCACTGAGCCACAAACTCGCCGGAGGAGCAAATGAGCAGCGTTTCCATCGCAATGAAGGTCGCCGTAATCGGAAGCGGAAGTTAGTTTTCCTCACTCTCATTAACTAAGTCCGTATCTATCTGGGTCCCTTTGACTATTGTGTTGGGTCATTGTCATTGATTTTGATCATATGGGAGATGCAGTTTCCGGAGCCGTGTGCGCATCGACTCTGGCCAAGAATGGCGTTGCCGTCACAATCTTCGATTCCGGTCGTGGTCCCGGTGGACGCATGTCTCAGAGAAGGTTCCTTTTCCGTAAAACTATAAGTGATGGAAATGTCAGATAGTTAGTTTAGAATTCCGATGAAACCTGAAAAGTGTTTCCCTTAGGGAGATCGGCAAAGATGGCAAGGAGCTGATGTTCGACCATGGAGCTCCGTTTTTCAGTGTGAGCAACTCTGATGCAATGGCCCTTGTTCACGACTGGGAGTCGAGAGGATTTGTTTCTGAGTGGAAACAAGCCTTTGGGAGTTTCGATTGTGCCTCCAACAAGTTTCTGGGCATCCAAAGTGTAATCTTCTGTTTCCTGCTTAGGGTCGATTTCTTATGATTCATCGGTTTTTCTAAATTGACTGTCTACTGTCTAGGAAGAAGGGTCTGCCAACAAGTATGTGGGTGTTCCGGGCATGAACTCTATATCAAAGGCCCTGTGCCGCGAGTCTGGTCCTTTTTTCTAACCTTTCTACTCTCAGAGTTTCAACTCAAACCCCTGAAACATGAGTCTCTGTGATGCTGAATGGTGATGATCTTCAATTCTTCATCCTAGGTGTTGAGAGTATATTTGGAACTGGCATTGCCAAGCTGGAATGGTTGGAGGAAGACTTACCGTGGCTGTTGAAAGGCTCAAATGGAGAAAACTTGGGTCGTTTCCATGGATTGGTTGCGTCTGACAAAAACATTGTTTCTCCAAGGTTTACTCAACTAACCGGACTCCCACCGCCTCTGGGTAACATCTCCACAAACTCAGTCCTCTTAAAGTTACCATTTTTCAGTGTTACTGTATATCGCAATAGATCACTATTCACTTTTATATGCTTTCCTAACACAGACTTAAATCTAGTCCCGGAGTTGGCAACTAAGCTGCAAAATATCCCTGTTCTACCATGCTTCTCTCTTATGCTGGCTTTTAAGGAGCCATTGTCCTTGGTAAGATACTTGCTTCTCCAGTGTGTAATCAATCTAGTGGCCAAAGTATTTCCTTGGCTAAATTCTCTTGTTTGCATATTGAATCAGATGCCAGCAAAAGGCCTATCTTTCAAGAATTCAGAGATTTTGAGCTGGGCTCATTGTGATAGCGCTAAGCCTGGACGCTCTTCTGATAGGTATATATATATATATCACTCCAATAACCAAAACAACAACAAAAATGTATTCGTGTTATGAAATCTAAGTGCTTCTTATCTTGATTTGTTAGTGAAAGATGGATACTGCATTCTACTCCAGACTATGCCAACAGTGTTATTGCCAAGACAGGCCTCCAGAAGCTCTCGAATGAAACACTAGACATAATATCTCAAGAGATGTGCAAAGAGTTTCAGTGCTCAGGCCTTGTTACTTCTCTCCCCTTTTTCATGAAAGCCCACAGATGGTAAGCATCCTGCCTCCTGACTCTTAAGTAGTACTTGTGCTATCGCTTGTCAACTTATTGATCATCTGTTTGCTCTAGGGGGAGTGCGTTCCCAGCCAAAAGCATAGCCGTAGAGGACAGGTGTCTCTGGGATAAAAACAGGAATCTAGCAATCTGTGGAGATTTCTGCGTCAGCCCAAACGTGGAAGGTGCCATACTCAGTGGCTTAGCTGCAGCGTCAAAGCTTTTGCAGACTTCCAGCTCATTATAGGTACTCTATTAAATGATTCCGAATACCACAAAACAGGGTTAAAGATTCTTCCTCGTTAACTCTATGCAATAAATTATCCCATCATGTTTTTGATTAGTCGTAACTACAAAACCATGAGTGGTGTGTTTACATGGAAACAAATGGAACTAGGATGATATTCATAATTTCATATGTATAAAGTCTTGAGTGGTATTTTACATGAATCTAGTGGGTACAAGAGTGAGGAAATGTTTGTACAATCTGACACGCACCCGAAGAATTGTTCCAATCGGTGAATATGAGAATATAGCGATAATAACTCTCGTTACAGTCGACCACCAGCAATTCTAAACTCTGTGTTTGGAATTGCCAATGTCGGTCAAGAGGCTCTCGGAGCTGCCTTGTGCATAAATCTGTGCTTCTTTATCGCCGAGGCTTCCATCAATCTTTGTGAGCTGACTGAGCAGAGCTCTGAGAACCATCTGATCTGAAGAACAGAAGGAGTGGAGCCCTGGGAGCGTGGGTGAGGCTGAAGCATCAGGGTTCTTGCAAGGAGGCTTGAGTTCAGAGACTGAGTTGGTTAGGGTTTGGTTCTGTGACATATTGGAGAAGCAGGGCACTTGCTCGTTGGTGAGGAAGTGATGATCATCAGTGAAGTAAGAAGAGGGCTCTTGGTCAAAGTTGATGTAAGAATCCATGAGTGGAGGAAGAGAAGCAGAGGCTGTCTCATCAAAACAGCTTCCCATGCTGTCTCTACATAAAACTCCTTCCGTATTCTTATGGAACACTCTGCACAAGACCCAGTCTTCCTGATTTCCTCAACAAAAACACATGGAAACATACTCTTTACAGATTTGCAAAAACGAGACACTGATTGATAATTGATAGATGTTCAATAACATATATTTATCTGTGTACCTTTGGAGAATGAACGGGAGGGTCAAAAGATCCATGGAGACGAAACTCGTGCATGACCCAATCGGTTTTTCGACCTCGAGGAGCACGACCTTGATAGAAGACAAGTGTCTTCCTCATCCCAACAAGCTTTCCCTTTCTTTGAATGGCTCTGTCTTTGCCAGTGGCTTTCCAGTATCCGGTGGCCGTTGCACGGTTTGTTCTCAGCCCAGTCGCGTATTTCCGATCTCTTTGGCTGTAGAAATACCAATCTTTCCCTCCCACACACGCCATTTCTGATCATTTCAAACATACACAAACTCATTGTTAATTAAATACGTTTTCAGATAATGAACCGAGCAAATTTATTGGTTCGAAAGGCTCGCAGTTAATATTATGTTTTAACCGAAACAAAGAAGTGCGTTGGTTGGCAGAAAAACAAAGTTATAGGATAATTTTGATGACAGCAGCGAGATTTTTTTTCTTCCTCTTTCATATAATTCCATATTCATAATTATCGGCCATTTAGTAATTAGTATTTACAAATTGTATACAGTATAACATCCGTGCGGATTTTTGAAGTACACATGTGATTCTTCAATCGTATAAGCATCGAATAGGAATCCAACGCGTGTGCATGAAAGTTGGACGAATGGATTTTTTTTTTTTTTAAAAAAGAAAAAACAAATGTGGTTTGTCACTTTGTGTGAATAAAGAAAAATATCTTCATCAAATGAGTGACGACGACTAAAAGCATTCAATAATCACGCACGCAGTTGAAGGGTCAATAATCTTGATTTGGAAAATAATCAAGAATCCATTAGAGGCGTAAGCAAAGGAGAAGAAGAATAATAATTATGATCAAACAGAACGCATTTTCTTCAATTTTTTAACTTTATAAAAATGTCACACTCAAAGGCTATAAACTAACAAAATCTAGAAATTGACTTATTCGTCGTTATTAGCGTATTTTATTTTATCCAACGCTTTTTCAAGGATTTTAGTTGAGGATAATGCCAAGAGTGTCAACTTCTCGTATAATTATTTGTAAAAATGGGACTCTAGAGATTTCGCAATTATTACGTAATATATATGTGTTTATAAAAATTATTAAAAGTAAATAATATATGTATCTTCCCACTCCAGAAATTCCACATTTGTTATGGGTGGTGGTTATACAGAAACGATCATGAACACAAACGAACAACATATCTCATATATACTAATCGTGAAGGTAATTCGCTAGTCTTGACTCATGATTAGTGGACCAACCATATATGTAAATCCAAGTTAAGCACTGAATCATCTTTAAGGATAGTTAAAAAAGAAAACAAGAGATTAGAGAGTAGTAGACGTACTGGGGATGTCCCAGGGCTCGCACTTGTTGAGATCGACTTGGATCAAGAAGAGAGGAGGAGGTTGATTAATGTGAAGCGATCGTCTCATCAAGTAGTCGCAGACAAGCTCGTCGTCTTTCGGGTGAAATCTGAATCCCGGTGGCAACTTTGCCTCCACCATGCTTATACTACTCTCCTTCTCTTCCTCCGCCTCCATGATTGCCTCCCTCTAGGTTTTATTTGATAAAGGGTCTTTTATTGATTAGCTGGATGATTAATTAAGAGAGAGAGAGGGAGAGAAGAATGATTATTGGGATCATTTGGGCGTGTCCGAGGAGGAAGACCCTTTGGTTTAAGTAGTAATTAACTAATTATTGTCCCAAAGAAGCCGTCAACTTCTATCCATGTATTTTATTCCCATCAAGCTCGAAATTTTCTACTATTGGAACAACTACTAATTAAGTAGTATTATTTTAAAATGGCAACCAAAATATCATTGTAAACTTTGATGCTAATACAATTATATGTTGGCAATTCCATCAAAGACCAGCTTTAAAAACTACTATAGTGAAAAAAAATAATAAAAAGGATATAACAAGCGGTAGAGTTTGTTATGGTGGTAAGTATTGGTTTTGAAATATGAAAGACAAATAGTTTTGGTAAATTGGTGTTAAACCTTGAATGATGAATGCATTATACTCTCTGTATACATATGGGTTTGGTAAATTGAACAGTGGGATGGCTGCCATGAAACAGGAGACAGCAATTAAAGAATGCAACTGCGTCCATCTTACTATTCCCGTCGCTCTGAATGTAGAAAAATAGTTTTAGTAGTTTACGAAACACATGTCAGTATTTCTGATTAGTTTTTTTGCCTTCGTCACTGGAAGATGGTCTCGCATTGTAATCTCCGTCTTTAATACAGTATACAATTATATCATTTGTCGTAGTCATAAACACAATTGCTTCGTTTTAAAAACAACATAATCCGAGTAAATCAAATATGAATAATTCATGGCTACAGCTGGATGAGAAAGGCCCGCATGGCCCTAAGACGTGGACCATTCATCTTGCTCTCTGCCAAATCCTACGACTTATATCTATTTAAAATCGAAAACGGTGAATAACTTTAATCAATTAACCAATTATCATTACATGGGGTTTTAATAGAGAGAGATATAAATAATCAAACTTGGCCTTAAACATATGGATTCAGTATGCCTAGCCATTTTATAGACGTGCCACGTGTATGACTAACAAAGCCGGCCGGTGTCATCTTCCCCGTTACCTCAGATCATCATATGATATAGTTTAACAACAGTGGACATCTGGAAGATTTATTAGCGCCATTACAAAGGCGATGAAGTATAGGATGCTAAAAATAATGAAGACAAAATGAGAAGAATAAACCATCCCCAAAAAAACAAAAAATAAATGAAGAGAAGAAGAAGCTGGTCCATAGTCCATAGATGATAGATATATGTACAGATTCAATGAAAGCGTGGGGAATGTATTGGGTTCGATGTTGTCGTTTGTGACCTTGGGGATCGTCAGAAGTGGAAGTGATGGCCTCAACAACAAAACCTTTAAAGTTGACTTCGTCAAACTTCCAATTATTTTGAAATTTGGATGGAGACAAACGAAAAACTATTTGAGTTCTTGTTTAGTTTTCAATGTACTTCTCGAATTGTGTTGTTCCAGGCTATTCGATTGGATAGAAACAAAATATGTAGAGTATGTGCGGTTTTGTGCACTCCATTATGACACAATGCTGTATATTTTTAGCCCATGCATACGAATTATTGTTTCGGCTATCACAAGTTCTAAAGTAACACATATTTTACAACCTTTTTTTTTTCTTCTTGTTATAAGCGAATTACCTATTTAACAGGTGAAGCATCATCACTCAACTATATATACATCGGAGTCAAACAAGATTTTATAGATCATGATTCTCTGTTCAAAGAAGATGAGAAGAGAGCCAATATAGCCAAAAGATCCACTGCTACGTAGCTAAGTGGAGAACTTGAAACAAAACAAATATAAACAAAATTATTAATTGGAATGATTCACAAAATTATGGTTAGTGATGTATATGTAATATGTATATCCTTGATTGAATTTTGAATCCAGACAAATATTCGACCGGTGGGTGAGCTATCAGGTTTTATGTTCGATCCCAAGGTACACTCCAAGAGTCACTTTGATATCATCTTCAAATAGATTTAATTTACTTGATTGATAAATAGTAATATCAACACCGGCCACACAGCCTAAAAAGATTTGATATTTTCGGAGATTTAGTTTTCACTTTCAGCAAATTTACAGTTACGTCTTTATTATTGTGCAGAAGTTTTTAGAATAAAACCAAACATAAATCACAATTCAAACAGTGAGTGGTTTGAAGTTTTTCTTTTTGTAGCAAGGGTGATGGTTTCTTGTGAAATTCCCTTATAGACTTATAGTGAGAGATAGCACATGAATTTATTTGGAGCATCTGACGTTTAGATTCAAATGATGACTATGGAAGGTGTTTGCCGATGGCCAACAGGTTCATCCTCTAGAAAACGTGATTAATTAAATCTCCACACGTACGACATAATCAGAAAATATCGGGAAAACATATAAGGTTGTCTCAAAACACACTCATTAATACACAAGCGTGTACTTATAACTTATGTTCAGGCTCAATTATTGGTAGGTGACGACCATTATGGGACAAAATACTAATTTTCACACACAAAAAAAGCTCACGAGAACCAGATCTGAGTCCACCACATTCCCCCAATCAATAACATAGTTAAAGAGAATAATTAATATCCGGGTATCAATGATATTGGGCCCATTACATTGTTTAATCCGGCCCATTAAATAAAAACAAATCTCTCGGGTCGGGTCACGGGTGTAAACGAAAGAGCGTACGGTGTACCTGAGGATGAGCTGTATATAAATGCTTCGTCTCTGTCACTCTCACTTCTCTCCAGTCTCCACACTTAGGCCCTCACAGAATCTCTCTTTCTCTTTCTCTCTTCGTCTGCATATTTCCAGCTAATGCCCTTAACATTGCTCTTTTCCTGTTAATAACTCAAACTCCAGAGAGATATGGCTTCAGCCTGCGTTAAAACTTCCGGTGTTTCGCCGGCGGGGTACGGATGGTCGAGTCCTCGAATGTCAGACAGACGCTCTTTCTCCCTCGACGGAGAACAGTCTCAATCTGATTCGCAGACTGTAAACCAAGATCCAGTGGTTGATTTTGAGTTTTGTCACGAAGATCCGGTGTCAATGCTCTCCGCCGACGAGCTCTTCTCCGACGGCAAGCTCGTACCTTTGAAATTCTCCGGCCCGAAGACCAAGCCACATACGTCAACGGTCGACACGGCGGCAACCGAATCTACAGAGGTGCTCAGATCATGCCGGAGACTAGAGATGGAGATCACCAGCGTGGAATCATACCTCTTCTCCCCGAAAGCTCCTCGTTGCACGACCAGATGGCGAGAGCTTTTAGGCCTCAAGAGGCAGGAATCTGTTAAAACGACTTCTTCTTCTTCTTCCTCCTCGAACCCCAAAACGTCAGCGTTTAAGCAACTGCTTCACCGGGGATCTAAATCCTCCGCCGTCTCGTCTCCGGCTGATGCTTCTCCGTTGCTGAAAGAAACAGACATCTCCGAATCGATCTCGATCGCCTCTTCCCGTCTCTCCCTCTCATCCTCCTCTTCTTCGGGTCACGAGATTGACGAGCCTCCCAGGCTCTCGCTCGACCTCGACAAACCAAGTCCCAATCCCTTCGCTCCCTCTCGCACTCATTTACGCAGCGCCAACCAACCCAGGATCAGATTAGCCAATCCCAGGCGTCCCTCGAATCCTTCCGCGGACGGATCACCATCATCGTCGGCGAACATGGCCGCCGGGAGTGTCACTGTGACCGCCGATAGTCCGAGGCTTAACGCATCCGGGAAGATCGTGTTTCACGGTCTGGAAAGAAGCTCGAGCAGTCCCGGAAGCTTCACCGGCGGACCTAGAATGAAGCAGCACCATGGAATGCCCAGATCATACTCGGCTAACGTCAGAATCACGCCGGTGCTCAATGTTCCGGTTTCTTCCCTGAAATCAGGCCTCTTCTTCGGACAGCTATTCTCCTCATCTTCGTCCTCTCCGTCTCCGGGGAACAAAACGCAGTTACAGAGCAACGGCGGCAAGAACCGGACCAGTCGAACCAGGCTCGAACCGAAATGCGAGTAAAAATAAGTAAACCGGATCGAGTCAGCAGGTAACTAACCCGCTACGAATTTTTTAGGCAGATGGGTGAATCTTAACGCTTTTGTAATTGCGGGGCAGAATGTGTAAATTTACGATTTTAACTATTTACTTCGTTTTATGGGTTAATCGCATTCTAATTTTTCTCATCCTTGATTTTACTCGGAAATATCAAACAGCCATTAAACTACACTACTAGAATTATTACTCTGTTCATGACTTCATGTTAACGATAAACTCGATGAATATTAAAATAAAAATGTCTGAACAAAAACGATGATGTGCTTGCCATGTTCGGAGATTGCTTCAAAAGATTTCTTTATGTTAAAAAAAAATGACTGTATACACCTAGAAAAGGTTTAATGAATAGTCAAGAGGTAATTGAGTGATTTGTGTAATTAATGGTCAGGGTAGAAGTTCCCAGTTCTCTTTAATTATTTGAGTTACGAAAAAGAAAGAAGAAAAAAGCAGATGCTATACATGGGTCACTTTTTTGTTTTCCTAGCTAATAATGTGTTTTCATGTCAGTGAAGTTCCAAATCGCAAATCCCTCCGAGACTTGGCTTTGTTCAACTTCGAAATAGTATTATTCTAAACGTAATACGACAATTTATTAAAGCCAGAAACAAAAAAAAACTTAAGCAAGTGCAATAGTTTAAGGAGAAACAAAAAGTAGATATAATAAGTGTGTGATTGAAATGCATGTGTAGTTAGTAGAGTAGAGAGGTTAGGCTTAAATTGGTCGGTGGACCAAATCTAGAGGATCTCCAATGTCTTCACTACACTATTATAGACTCTTTACCTTTTGCAATGCTCAAAAAGTCGACAGCGTAGCTAATCAGTAATCAAACCTCTAAAGGATGTTTAGTGTCTTGTGATCAATACTCTACTGGTTAGTCTTCCCCTAGGCTCGGTTAATAAAAAATCTATCATTTTCATTAGATTTGAGCAGTCCCCTAGGCTCGGCTGCCGGAAAAAGAAAAGAAAGCCGATTAATTGATTGTTTACTATAAAGTCTAGACCCACCTAAATGGCAACTCGTTTTGGTTTGGTTTATCATAGAAAAAGTGCAATAACATGCAGAGATGCAGTAGTAATACTACTAGTAACCGAGTTTAAAACGTTGAACCTCAGTAATATCACATTCTTCTTGAATATGTTGTCTAGATTATGTTCAATATATATAGTATGTGTTAATCTGTGTGGTTGGAGTAGTCAAGAGGCAGTTAACGTATGATTTAAGAAATCAAGGAGACAGGTCTGGGATTATTGGTGAGTAATTACTGTTAAGGGTCAAAGCCTCAAGAGAGCTGTCATTCGTACTGCTAGCTAGCTGCACACTATAGTATGAATATCCAAATCAAGTTCGTTCCGTCGAATAATCATTCAAAAAGTTCAAAAGTTGCTCGCTCGTGATTCTCGAACATCTTTTCTTAAAATCAATCCCAGCCGTTGGATTCTTCTTCCTCAATCTCCACAATGTGACGACAAGAACTCATGCAAATATAATTCTACACCTTGCTTTGGGCTAAAGCACATTTACATTCTTCTTATAGATTATTTTAGGTTGAAGCAAAAAAAAAAACTTGTGAGTATTGAGTCTTGAGAGTTATCATCCCAACACCGACACGGGCACATAGACAATCACTTCATTTTGTGATAGTGTGAAGCAGTCGTTAGGCCAATAATAGGATCGATCAATATCAAATTTATAAACGACACAACACAAGTACTACTAGTAATATTTATATGCGCTATATTATCAATATAGATCTGAAATCAATGCAAATGGTTTGCCGTGTTTTGTTATTTTCTTACCCTATTCTTGTCGTTTGATTCGCTTAGCAAATACTTATAAATCCGAATTGGATGACATTCAAAATTATTAAATTCTTGCTACAATTTATCCACCAGTGGAGAATTTGTAATTGAAAAGATTAAAAAAAAGAAGGGAAAGATAGAGAGGGAAATGAATGAGAGAACGTGATAGCTCCCAGTGTTGTGCCCTCTGTAAAGATTCTCTCTCTCCCAATTGATTCTCACTCTGTCCTTTTTGCACCTGTCTTTATTTTTTATAAATAGCTTTTTATCATCATAATATCACGACAAATGGCTTATGTAAAAAAGGCCGACAAAGAAGAACAAATTAGTTGCAAAGAAATCGTTTCCTAATTTAATCGAATCCATGAGACGGCGGTTAAAGTAGTATACATACAGACGTGAGCTAATTATAATAACAAAATAGATATAAGCTCTTTAACAAACAGAAAAAAAAAATATGTATATATAAGCCTTTTTGTGTGTGAATGATATATTTGTGCTACGGAACATAGAGACTAGTTGCAGAGAAGAAAAGACAAGTTGAGCTGGGTTCTTAGCTGTTTGTTACAAAGAACCAGATGAAACATTGAATAGTAATAATTGAAAGTTTGTAATAAAAAGAGGTAAGAAAGAAAACAAACAAACAAAGAGAAATTTGAAAAACGTTTGTCTTGTAGGTGAATATAGAGTGTATAATATGTGTGTATTGTATGATGGTATAACAAGTTGCGATGACAGAGCCAATATTGGAAGTTTATTGACCGATGTGTAAAAAAGATGTGCAGGCCATTGTCTTGTCTTCTTCTTATGTCCCTCTGTACATCTACGTACTTTCTTGTTCTTGTTCCTCTCTCTCACTTGTCTCTCTCTCTCTCTCATTTATTCCTCTCTATCTCTCTCTAGCTCGTTTAAATTTTTGTAAAAAGCTATTCAGTTTTGTTTTAATTATAAGAATGCTCCGAGAAATAAATATCGGAGACCTAGGTTTGGGACCTTTTTTTGGGTCAGTGGATTTTTTTCGACCTTTTAACCAGGCTTTCTTTCACCTTAGAAGAAGTATGGAGTTTAAACTTTAAACTTTTAGATTGGCGTAAATATTTCGAAATCAGAAAAAAAAGTAAGTCTAATTCCATTACAACAAGTCTTCTGAATTAATAAAAGAGACTACGTCACGTTGTCCGTTTGTCACGTGACTTATTTTCTTTGGAACCGAAAAAGGCAACATATAGAGATCTTTTAGAGTTGCTTTTATTTGTTGTATTGGTCTTTTGTATGTTTGGCTTTTCATGGCGTTTTAGGCGTGTACAAAGCACAATTGTCTTCTTTACCGTTCTGAGAAAAAAATGTCTTTATTCCCATTTTCGGATATTCATATTTTAAAAAAGAAAAAAAGAAAAAGCAAGGTCCGAACCGAGCCACGTACGACTAACGAGTCTCCAGTTCAGAACGGATGGAGACAAAAAGCAAGGCCCATAAATTTAGATAGTAGAGTAGAGTAGAGTAGAGTAGAGAGAGACTCGCGAGGCCATTTTATAAAAGGCCCAATATCAAATTTATTCTTTTAAGACTAAACCGGATGGAAAGACGGGAAGATGAATCAAACCAAGTCTTGAATCGCAGAGCGGAGAGCACGGTTTGGGACAAGATGGCAATGAGGAAGCTTGAGATTTGTTATGGGTGAGGTATCGTGGCCTGTGCTAAACCATTCCTTGATATCTTCTGCTTCGTAGCTATGTCCATCAGCTGTCAAGTGTGGATCTTTCATGACCTCCTGCGAATCATATAAATGAAACAAACATATTATTAATCTTATAACGAGGTTGCCTCTTGTGCAAGTAATCCATGTCAAATGAGGCTTGCCTGTGAGATAGGGCAAATAAACGACGGTGGAGGCTGACGCTCTTCCGCTTGCTTTGTTGCCATCTCGTCGAATACAAGGAGAGCATTGTCCCTCTCTTGTCGCATCGCATCCGTTTCTTTCTTGGAAGATTCGAGTAGCACTTTCACAGTCTCAAGCTCTTGTTTTTCTCTAGAAAGGGCATCCTCTGTTTCTTTCTTGAGACGCGACTCTTGATCGTGCCTCTCCTGCCAAGTTCTGACCTGCGTAGTCAGGTTCTCTTGCTCTACGTTGCAAGCTTCAAGCAGTTGCTTCGTCTCTTCGAGCTCTTTGCTTTGGTTACGCAGCGCAGTTTCTGTTTCTTTTCTGAGACTCAGCTCGCCCTTGTACTTGCCCTCCAAAACCTCAGCCTTCAAATGCATTTTCTCGTTTTCATTTTCAAGCCATGCCACTTTAAGGTTTACCTTCTCCTTTTGGTGCTTTTGCTCCATGGCTCGAGTATTTAATTTCAGTTGACCTTGTTCTTCCTTGTGTAACCGATTCATCACCTCCATCTCTTCATTTTTGCTAGCAAGTGCATCTCCTGCTTCTTTCCTGAGCTTGACTTCTTCATTGTATCTCTTCTCTAACTCTTGAGCCTGTAAACCAAAAGCTAGGGTTAGGGATATGTATGTATTAGATTATAAAAGGATTCATTAGATTATAATTAGCAGCAGATCTCTAAGACCAAATAGTAAGAGTGGAAGATGGCAAAGGCAAACCTGAACTATGCTTCGAGTAGAGACCATCCTCTTCCTATTCCGTCGATTGAATTTGAAAACTTGAAACAGAAGAATCCGTACCTTCCTAACAGAGAGATTCCCCAAAGTACACATTTCTAAGCTCCATTCGGCATTTGTCTCTCAATAGTCAATTGGCAGAGAGATCCAAAAGCGTTTCTCCTCTTTAATATACCACTCGATGAATGTTAACAGATACACCATTTTGAGAGTATCTTAACTAAGAGATACACATATAGATACACATAGATTTGTTTATATTACAATATCTAATCATAATATCAATTCTTTCACAAAATATCCTGAGTACTAACTACATTTCGATAAAATCAAAATCATAAACACACTTTCTTGCTTGACAAATCTTCCAGAATATACGTTTTTAATTAAATCCGGTCATCTGTCTGTTGACCATTCAGGATATTTATGGAAATAAACTCTGTCTTGCTTCTGAATAAATAATATACAGTCGCAAAATAACTGGATCACAAATGGAAGCTAGAGTAGAGATGTATGTGAGGCCATTATTGTAGGGCCTAATATCAAAAATGTAAGTCTTAAGAAGACTAAGGAGGAAGAAGAGAAGCAACAAACTCCTGAATCGCAGACCGAAGAGTACGGTTTGGGACAAGGTTCTGATGAGGAAGCTTGAGATTTGTCATGGGCGACGTATGGCGACCTCTGCTAAACCATGTCCTGATAGCTTCTGCTTCGTACGTATGTCCATCGGCTGTCAAGTGTGGATCTTTCATGACCTCCTACACAAATATATAAACATATACAATAAAGCTAGTCTGTATAAGAAGAGTTAGTACTATAGCATATATTTTCAAAAAGAAGTTAGAGGCTTGCCTGTGTGATAGGGCAGATAAACGATTGTAGAGGTTCTCGCTCTTCTGTTTGCTTTAGCGTCAGCTCTTGCACCGATTTGAGAGCATTGTCTCTCTCTTGTCGCATCGCATCTGCTTCTCTTTCGTAAGACTCAAGTATCCCTTTGACTATCTCAAGCTCGTGGATTCCTCTAGAAAGAGCATCCTCTGCCTCTTTCCTAAGGCTCGACTCTTGCTCGTACTTGTCCTGCCAAGTCCTCACCTGCGAATTCAGCTTCTCTTGTTCTGGTTTGCAAGCTTCAAGCTGCTGCTTCGTCTCCTCCAACACTTTCTTTTCTTCGCAAAGAGCAGTTTCTGTGTCTTTCCTCAGACTCAGCTCGACGTCGTGCTTGCTCTCAAATTCCTTAGCCTTGGAACGCATTTTCTCGTATTCATTTTCAAAAGTTTCCAGCTGAAGCTCTGCTTTCTCCATCCTCTCCCGTTCCATAGCGAGCGCGTATTCCGTTTCTTTCCTAAGACGCAACTCCTGTTGGTGCTTGTGCTCCAAGGTTTGAGCTTGCAACTGCAGTTGACCTTGTTCTTCCTTGTAAGACTCAAGTAACCGTTTCATCAACTCATTTTCCTCTGTTTCTCTAACAAGTGCAACTTGTGCTTCTTTCCTAAGCTTGACTTCTTCATTGTAATTGCTCTCCAGCTCTACAGCCTTCAAATCAAGCTATGATTAGACTTAGAGATGAACGAAGCATATATATATAATGCTTTTGGAATTTGGATGGTAGTGGTGTGTTGTTACCCAAGAGCTTTGCAAGAGCTGCTGCTTGAAACTTGGATCAGAAAACTGGAAATCAGAGAGTTTCCCAATGGAGGTCAGAAAAAAGTGCATAGCGTCGGTATTCCTCTCAGGTGGAGTGATGGGATTCATAAGCACCTACAAATTAAATGCAGTTAACAAGTAAGTATCAGTCAGCAGAAACATTGGCTATTTAACTACACACTATACATTGGATTAAATAGACGACAGGGAAAACCTGAACTATACTCTGCCTTGTAGTTTCGTTGACCATATTATTCTTGAAAATCTCAGCCAGAACCCTCACGGTCTTAATGAATCTCCAACACTCTGATTCCTCAACAAAAACAAGTGGTGGTCTCTCTGTGTTTGGAGATGAGTGCTCAAGCTCCAGCCGGCACTTGCAAAGGAAGAGCCTCTCAAAAGTGGTAATCTGAGATGACTCGTCTGATCGAAAAGGTGGAATCTCGTTAAAAAGCTCTACGCATAGGCGAGAGAATAACACATAGGCATTGTCCACCATTGCCATGTCCAAAATGCAACACACCAGAGACTGCAAACCATTAGAAATAGAAAGCCTGTCAGCAAAATGATATACAAAAATGGAACACACATTGTGATTCAGAGAGAGAGAGAGAAGAACCTTGATAACAAAAGGGGAGGGAGATGATGTTATTGTCCGAGCAATCTCATTTTTGATCTTGTCGAAATTCCGTTGCGTCAACCAGTTGAGTAAACTAGCAATCACGAATTGAAAAACCAGAATCAATTGGACTGTCAAAAAGAAGAGGAAGAAGAGTGGAACGGAGTTAGAAAAGGCTTTTACCTCTTTGATTTATCCAACACTCGTTTCTCCTCGCTCAAATACGAAGGCGGAGGCTGAGAGTTCATCTTCAATTCCAAAGCGAAAATTAGAGTCGATGAGAAGAAACAAAATAGAGAAAAGAAAAAGGGGCAAGTGAGATGAGATGAGAGGAGGTCTTACATCGATGAGGCTCAGGCGAGAAGGGAGAAGAGAATCCATGCATGAACAGGAACAGGAACAGGATCCTACGATTCTTCTTCTTCTTCTTCACTCTGGTTGGTCTTGAGAATATAAAAAGTCGACCAAAAAATAAAAATAAAAAAGTCGACAAAACGTTTAAACTTCTCCTTGTCATCGAATCATCGTAGTCTGCACTGCAAGTATAACGTGTCACTCCCTTATTCGACTGTATTTAATTCGGCCCATAATAAGGAAACTGGACATATATTAGGCCCACTACTAGTATTACAAATCTAGAAGGAGGAACATTTTCTGATGTGCATTCAAACATCAACTATGGTATCAGAGAATCAAGTAATGAGTCCTATTTTGTTGAACAAATAGAACAACGTCAGGGTATTTGGCTCTTAATTGTGTATTTTGATTGTGAGCCAACTGAACGCTGCTGACACATCAACCCATTCACTTGTCAAATAATGTAATTTACGGGAAAAAAAAGAGTTTATGGCTAACAAAAACTGGTCTTTACATAAGCTTATCTAGAGTAGAGTAGCAAACAAAACAAATGACAGCAAGGGTCATATCTAGTAGAGCAGAGAGCGTCGTGACTCGTGAGGCCATTATATACACAAAATCAAAAATTCCGTTAAGACTAAACCCGGATGGAAAAGCAGAGCAAGGAATCAAAGGAAGTCGTGAATCGCAGACCGGAGAGTACGGTTGGGGACAAGGTTGAGATGAGGAAGCTTGAGATTTGTCATGGGCGAGGTATCGTGACCTTTGCTAAACCATTCCCTAATAGCTTCGGCTTCGTACGTGAATCCATCGGCTGTCAAGTGTGGATCTTCCATGACCTCCTGCCAAATGCCAATCAATGATATAAGAAAACATATTAAGATCTTCCATAAAGATACACTAGTGTGGCGTCGTTACTCGTTACTCGTTAGCTAGCAATTCTTTGATGTGGGTGGGGCTCGCGCTTGCCTGTGTGATAGGACAGAAAAACGATTCTAGAGGTTGACGCTCTTCTTTTTGCCTTCTTCTGAGCTCTTGGACTAATATGAGAGCTTTGTCCCTCTCTTGTCGCATCGCATCTGTTTCTTTGTTGGAAGATTCGAGTAGCCCTTTGACTATCTCAAGCTCCTGTTTTTCTTTATCAAGAGATTTCCTGAGAACCAACTCCATCTTGTGCTTGCTCTTCAACTTGTCCTGCCAAGCCCTGACTTGCGAGTTGAGCTTCTCTTGTTCTGTTTTGCAAGTTTCAAGCCGTTGCTTCATCTCCTCCAACTCTTTGCCTTTTTTGTCCAGCGCAGATTCTGATTGTTTTCTGAGACGCAGCTCGACCTTGTACTTGCCCTCCAACTTGTCAGCCTTGAAACGCAATTTCTCATTATCATGTTGAAGAGTTTCCAGTTGATGAAGCTTTGCTTTCTTCATCCTCCTTCCTTGTAAGTGCAATGTATCTTGTTGTGCTTCCTTTCCAAGCCTGGCTGGGTCCTCCTGATAAATGTAAGCGAAAGAGACGTAGTAGTATCATACCCAAATGATCATGTTTTTGGATTGTGTGGGTTACCGGACAAGTTTGCTCTAGCTGCTGTAAGTCAGCTTAGCTTGTTTCCAATGAAAACAAATTCAAAATTCATTGGATTGGTATTAAGAGAAAGAAAAGAAAAAAGGACTCATCACAAGCATGATGCACACACACATCACACATGACATGACCATTAACAACAAGTAAAGAAAACAGTTGCTTTCTAAAATTGAAGCAGATTTAAGAGGCAAGGCAAACCTGAACTGCACTTGCCCGAGTTGTCTCGTCGACAATCCCATTCTTGAAAGCATCAGCCAAAACCCGAAGGGTCTTGATGAATCTCAAACAGTTTGAATCCTCAACAAAACCAGGAGGTGAATTTTGGAGAGACATTCGGCATTTGCACAGCAAGAGGAGCTTAAAAGTGGTAACGTGAGAATCGTCTGATAGAAAAGGGGGAAGCGCGTGGAATAGCACAAGGGAGAGACGAGCGAGTAAGACATAGGCATTGTCCACCGTTATTACCATGTCGAAAATGCAACACACCAGAGACTGCCAGTTGCATTACACACAAAAGAACAAAAGCCTCAGAGAAAGATGGGACATGCAGAGTGAGAGAGAGAAAGAGTGACATATAGGAACAACCTTGATAACGAAAGCGGAGGGGAATGATGTAATTGTGTGGACAATCTCGTCCTTGATCTTCTCAAAGTTGTGTTCCATCAACGATTCCAGTAAACTAGATTGAAAAAGGCAGAATCAATCAGTCAACTTTACCACCCCAAAACAGGAAACTTTAGAGTGGACCTTGAAACTTGAAAGTAAGATTGAGGGAAACAGAGTTTGAAAAAAAGCATAATTTACCTCTTTGATTGATCTAAGACTCGTCTCTCCTCGCTCGAATTCGAAATCGAAATCGAAATCGGACTTGCATAAGGAGAAGAAGGGTGAGGTTTGATCACCGTTTCTTGGCTCCTTTTCCTTTTCATTCTCGACGACAAGCAAGAAAATACAAGTTTCTGGTCTTAGCTCTCTCATTTATGCAACTCTGATACTGAGATACTTTCCTTTATTTAAGGTGGTCGGTCTCCAGAAGATAGATAGATATATATATGGGTTCTCGCACTAAAAGTAGGCCCATTATTATTGGGCCTTAAATAATGTCGTTTATCTTCTAGTTCAAAACCCTAGATGATAGATAGATACTTGATATGTGTTGTGACTGCTGCTCTCTCCTTTTATCCCTTTAATCTAGAGAAGAAGAAGAAGAAGAAGAAGCAGCAGTAGCAGATTCCCCAACAATGAGAGCCAAGGTATGTAGTAGAATCTCGTCTCTTTCTTTCATGTTTTGCTTTTCGCCATGACTAGAATCGATTAGAGGAATACATGTAGGACGAGGAGATGATTCATTATAGGCGAGAAATGGGTGGTTTTGTGTGTCTTGTATTGAAACTCTGGTTATCCAATGTTGAATCAAATGTGGTGTATAACCCAATTTAGGAGTTGAATAAAATACAGGTTTGGCATTGCTCCTTTCGACAATGCTACTGCCCAAACTAGCTTTGAGATTCTGCATCGGTTAATCCTCTGTTTAAATAAATCTCTCAATACAATCTAGTTGCATAAGCTGTATTATAGTGATCTGTTAGGTTAGGTTGATGTGATATCTATTTGAAAAGTAACGAAATGATGTGGTAATTTTCGCAGTGGAAGAAGAAGCGGATGAGGAGGCTGAAGAGGAAGCGTCGAAAGATGAGACAACGTTCCAAATAGATTCAAAGACCTGTCTCCTCATTTCTCCTTTCTCTCTGTTTTTCTTCCGTTTTTATTCAGACTTAATTTCTGCTTTTAGATCAATTAATACTTGTGGAGTTGACACATTTTGGGATGTTATGTACAACTTGCGCTCTTCATTTGTCAAGCTTTTGACTGACTGATACTTAATTTTGTTAATCATTTTGCAACCAGAGAGGAGAGGAGTGTTGACGATAATTAACTGTATTGGTTTGTGGGTCTTAATAAAAGATTAGATTATCAAAAACTGACATAAATGGACGAACAAGACAAATATAAGATAGAGAGTGTAAATTAAATGCTGAAATGGATAAAACTGGAGTTCATACATGCTTTCGTAATTGCCTTTGCCTCATCTTATTAAATTAAAGACGGAACAAAAAAAATGGAAAGATAAAAGAGGCAAATACACGGCGACGCGAGAGAGCCCCAGAACTCCTCCACTAATCATTTCACCGAGGAGGATGGCGAGAGCAGCTTGTAACACCGTCGTTGCTGCTTTGACTTTGCTGCCCTCCAAGTCTTCCCTTTGTCGAAACCAGTTCCTCTTTTCCGGCAAATCCAAGTCGGTCGGAGTTTTGACCTTGGACAAGCGATGCTTCTCCTCCAAAGTCAGCATGAGCTTGAAAGCCGGTATCGTCGGTCTTCCCAACGTTGGCAAGTCCACCCTCTTTAACGCCGTCGTAAGGGCTTGCCTTGCTTCTCCGTCTTCCTTTTTTTATCATTCTCTCTCTCAGGCATTTTGTCAAACACCTTCTGTATTGTTACTATCTCATCTAACAGGTGGAGAATGGCAAGGCTCAAGCTGCCAATTTCCCCTTTTGCACGATTGAGCCGAATGTGGGCATTGTTGCGGTTCCTGATTCGCGTCTTCAGGTGCTCTCCAAGCTCAGCACTTCTCAGAAATTGGTGCCTGCTTCCATTGAGTTCGTCGACATTGCTGGTCTTGTCAAGGGTGCCAGTCAAGGCGAAGTCCGTTTCCCTTTCTGATTCTTCTTCTTCTTCTTCTGCTCTCTATATCTCTCTGAATTGATTTCCAAGTTTGGTGTTTGTAGGGTTTAGGGAACAAGTTCTTATCTCACATCCGAGAAGTCGATTCCATCCTCCAGGTTCATATACATCTCTCCTTGTTGATTTCTTTCTCATGTTCTTAATAATGTAACTTTTGCTTGCTTGCTTGCTTGCTCTTCAGGTGGTACGATGCTTTGAGGACAACGACATTATTCATGTGAATGGCAAAGTTGATCCCAAGTCTGACATTGATGTCATCAATCTCGAACTTATTTTCTGCGACTTGGATCAGGTACCCTCTTTTCTCATTCTTGCTGCTCATTTCTCGAGCTGTGACCACATCTTCATCATGTCTGGTGTTTATACAGATTGGTAAAAGAATCGAGAGACTTAAGAAAGGCAAGGCTAAGGATTCACAATCCAAACTCAAGGTAAACTTCCCCCATTATCTACTGCCTTGTCAAGCCCGGTCTGCTCTGATTTTATTTACAAGAGTTTTGTTACATTATTATATATATGACACAGGAGGAAGCCGAAAAATCTGCTTTGGAAAGAATTCAGGAGGCCCTTCTTGATGGGAAACCTGCACGCTCTGTTTCATTGACTGACCTCGAGAAGGAGGTCGTAAAGCATCTCTGCCTCCTTACGATGAAGCCTATGATCTACGTCGCTAATGTTGCTGAGACTGATCTTGCCGAGCCTGACAAGAATACTTTCGTTGAACAAGTCAAGGGTCTCTGCTCTGATTTGCAGTCTGGCCACGTGGTTGTCTCAGCACAGGTCAGGATCATTGTCTCTTTACTACATGTTGTGATTTCGTGCCTGATTTTTACTTGAATAAATCATCCATCCATATCCATGGAAGCAGGTTGAGTCTGAGTTAACCGAACTTCCTCATGAAGAACGGACGGAATATTTGAACTCTCTAGGTGTCAGTGAGAGTGGCCTTGGGAACCTCATCAGGGCAACATACAGTCTGCTAGGTTTGCAGACCTACTTCACTTCTGGTGAAAAGGTGAAGAACGCATAGAAACTCAAAAAGAAAAAACTTATTCAGTAAAACATGACTTTAAAATGTTTGATCCCTCTCATTATGGCAGGAAACAAGAGCATGGACCATACACGCAGGTTAGTTTCCAATCAGTATCAAGTAATTATATTTCCTGTGGACATGAAGTAATTTTGCTAGACAAATATGTATGGATACAGGCATGACTGCACCACAAGCTGCTGGTGTTATTCACTCTGACTTTGAGAAGGGTTTTATTAGAGCTGAGACTGTAAGCATTTTTGCCCCTTAATGAATCTAGTACTATTAGCTTAGCTTTCCGTATGAACCAATTCAATTGTTTTTGGTTCAGGTTGCATATGAAGATTTTGTCACAGCTGGCTCTCTAGCCGCAGCAAGAGAGAAAGGACTTGTGAGTTTCTTCCCGATGTTCCCCATTGCTTTGAGCTTCTGATAACTCTTTGCTCACTCGAGGTATTCTTTGACATTGCAGTTGAGATCAGAGGGTAAAGAGTACATAGTCAAAGAAGGAGATGTGATGCTTTTCCGCTTCAACGTGTAACAGAACCCTGAGATGACATCTCTCTCAATCACAGAACATGACATGACATTCACAGGTTGTGTCTTTTATAGCATCGAGTATCATTGATCTTGGTTTTGCAAAATATAGTGATATCTTTCTTTTATTTATTTACACCCGGAGAAATTCCATGGGATAATTTATTATAGCCTTTTGTATGAATCTCATAAATTGTGGTTTTGAAGATGCAGCATAAACTTGGTTTTGGGCAAATAAGAAGAAACTTGATAAATATTCAGTAGAAAAGGAAAAGAATGTAAATACAAATACAAATATCAAACGTAATAGATAACCTTCCTAAGTAGGTAATCAGAAACAATGAGAAATTTACATGAAAAGAATCAAAAGAGATGAGATCCGCCTAGCGTTAGACGATACTGTCGAGCACGCAGCAAGCCAAAAGTGCAGTACAACTGCAAAGAGAGAGCAATAAAACCAAATTAGTTCAATGTAACGGGAGAAGATTTATATAAGGAAATGATGTTTATGGGTGAACAAAAGAGAGAGGGATATTATTGTACCATCCACGTAAAAAACCACCGCTGCCTTTGCTTTTTGTCTGATGAGTCTGCTGCTGCTTACACCTAGTCTTGGGAGAGTCATTCACCACCACCGGCGCCTCTTTCAGTGTCTGCTTCATTTCTGCATATTTATACAAACACTCCAATTATTTACTAAAACCTTAACAACATATATATGTCAGTCAAGTCAACAACGCTTGTATATATGTATTGATTAAGTTAGAATGAATGTCTCACCGTGTTGCTGCTGTTGAGATTGAGCCATTTAGTTTTGTGTGTGTTTTATATTGTGCGTCTGGAGAGCTGGAGATGAATCATTTGATCTTTTGAGTCTTTCTTTTTATACTAATTGATAACGTTTTCAACAGTTTAAGACTTTAAATTATTTCGAAGATGGTTCCTAGAAGCGCTCACATAAGGACCACAGAAACGCGTTTCATAATAAAGCGACGACATATCGCTGATTCTGGTCGTCCCCCAAGTTGACGAGTATACTGACTTGTTCTCGCCGGCATTAATTTCGGCCCATAGTTAGAGTTGTGTGGGCCTCCAAATTTCGAATTCCCACCACGTTAATAAATCATGAAATGGATATAAGAGAAGGCAAATCAGTTTTTTCGGTTTATATAACTTCCATTCTTTTCTACTTCAAATCCGCAGAATGGTTCACTTAATCACAAACTCTAACAGATAAGACATTGTTCTAGGCTCCACGACAATCCCAACAATTACATACACATTCTCATGTTCGTAAGAACTATAAACCCTACCGGTTTAGCATGGCGATAAGCAACCTCATGCTTGCATAAGCTAATGAACGATCCAATGGAAAACAGAACAAAAGCAAGCAAAAAAAACAAAACAAGAGCAAAATATTTGCGAAGACATAATTAAAGTAGGAAGTTCTCAACTAAAAAGTAAAACACATTTAAGAGAGGATGGCCAGAGATAAAGTCATCAATCCATCATCATCGTACCAAAATAGTAAACCAAAAAAGCAAAGACCAAAATTCAAACAGAGTAAAATAAAATTGTTCAGAGTAGTAGAGAGTGAGATAAGAGAGAGGGGAGGAGAGGAGGTGCTTGAGCTGCTGCTTAAAGCTTGTCTTCGAAATCGGACAAGGGAGTCATCTGTTCCTTCATACCCTTCCTCTTCCTGATGTCAGCCACCAGAGTCGAAGCCTGAGAACCAACCTCGAGAGGGTCGGACGACATCATCTCCCAATGATCGAACACACACTGCGGGAAGGCCTGTCCTGAGGTTGCTGCCCTAAGCTGACTCGAGAATCCAAATGACTCCACCACCGGCAAGTACGCCTTGATGTTGTACAGCGGTGTTCCTGGCCTCTGCATCTCCTCGAACACGTGTCCACGCTTCTGATTCAGCACGCTGTAGATTCCTCCGAGAGCTCCCTCTGGCGCTTGGATCTCCACCATGTACACGGGCTCCAAAAGTCTGGGCTTGGCAGTGAGCTGCGAGGCGTAGATAACCCTCCTCGCGGTTGGGATAACCTGACCACCTCCTCTGTGGATAGCATCAGAATGGAGAACCACATCACATACCTCAAAGCAGATTCCTCTCATGTTCTCGTCACACAGAGGTCCTTCCTTGGACGCCCACTGGAACCCAGCCACCACTGAATCCTTGATTTCGTTCAGGTACTGCACTCCCTTACACATGTCCACAACCATGTTAGGCCCGGTGGTTTCTGGTCCAAACGCCCAGATCTTCTTCGCTAGATCCTTGTCCCATCCAAACTCCTCGGCCAAGATCTTTGATCGGATCTTGGGGTCATCTCTTGGGCCGATACGGCCATCATCAATCGCCTCCGCTAGACCATCCTCCAAGGGCCTGGCCTCCATGTACAGACGGTTATGCTTGTTGGGGGATTTGCTCATCACTGTGCGGACAGATCTCTCCAGGACAGTCTCACGGAATGAGACAACAGGGTCCGACTTGACGATCTCAGCACCTCCCATGAAATCATCCTGAAGATCCTTGAGACAGATCTCAAGATGGAGCTCTCCAGCACCAGCAACAATGTGCTCACCCGACTCTTCCATTGTGCAAACAACCATAGGGTCAGACTTGGCCAGCCTCTTGAGTCCCTCAACCAGCTTGGGGAGGTCAGATGCGACCTTGCACTGAACAGCAACACGGACAACAGGGGACACGGAAAACTTCATGGCACGAATAGGGTGGGCATCCACTTCCTTCTCATTGGTCAGGGTAGCATTCTTGGTGATGAACTGATCGAGCCCAACCATGGCAACGGTGTTACCACAGGGAACATCCTCAACAGTCTCCTGCCTCTTTCCCATCCAGATGACAGTTCTCTGGACACTCTTGACATAGAGATCCTTCTTCTCACCAGGGACGAAGTTGGGACCCATGATTCTGACCTTCATTCCAGTGGACACCTTTCCAGAAAAGACACGACCAAAGGCAAAGAATCTACCCTTGTCTGAGGCGGGAATCATCTTGGAAACGTAGAGCATGAGAGGACCATTGGGATCACAGTTTCTGATGGCAGTGGCATACTGATCATCGAGGGGACCTTCATACAAGTTCTCAACACGGTACCTCTGGGCAGTGTGAGGAGATGGCAGGTGAAAGATCATCATCTCAAGTAGTGCGGTACTTGCGGGCAGCCACGTCTGCATGACACGCTTCATCAGAGGCTTGGCCATGAGCTCCTTCTCATCAGACTTCATCTGGACACCAAGCTTGGCCAACATAGGCCACAACTTGTCCTTCTGGTCGTTCATGCAAGTAGCAATGATCTGCTTGATGGGTTCATAACAGAACTGAACAAACCCACGCTTGCAGGTGGCAGAACCGGTGTTCTTGCTGCTCCATTTCCTGGTGGCAGGGTCAAAGAAGTTCTCACCCCAGAGCCTCTCCATCATCTTAGTTTCGTCAACACCGAACTTGGAGGCGTACATCTTGGCGAAGTTGGTAAGAGTGAAAGCCCATCCGTGGAGACCAGCAGAGAAGGCAACGGTACCTTTCTCAGGGTAGACCTGGACATCACCAAGAAGGGGATCCTCGTAGGTGGCCATGATGACATTGGCGTTCTCAATAACCCTCTGGAAATTCTGGTAAGCCTCCTCACCATCAACCTGAAGCTCAAGGAAACACCTGTCCATCTTGTTAACGGTCAGGACAGGCCTAATCCTCTCACCAAGGGCTTGACGGAGCACGGTCTCGGTCTGGACGCAGACTCCCTCGATACAGTCGACCACGACGAGAGCACCATCGGTAATACGAAGAGCAGCAGTGACCTCAGATGAGAAGTCAACGTGCCCAGGTGAGTCGATGAGATTGATAAGGTACTCGTTACCGTCTCTGGCACCAGTGAAGCTCTTCAAGGAAGCGTCGGTCATCTCGTAGTAGAGAGAGATACCGGTGGACTTGATGGTGATACCACGCTCCGCCTCATCAGCACGTGTATCAGTCATACGCACATCACCAGCAACCTCTTGCGCAATGATACCAGCAGCAGCAACCAGGGAATCAGTCAGGGTGGATTTCCCTGTTCATCACCAATAAACATTCATTAGAGAACGACTCAAACACTCAGCAAATAGACAAGGCTAATGATAATTAAATAAACAAATAAATAGAAGTGGTGAGTGAAGATCGTACCGTGGTCGACATGGGCAATAACGGACATATTACGGATATTGTGTTTGTAGTCCATAATTCTACGAAGCTCATCGGATGTGAACTTCACCATCTTGACTAACTTTTGTTAGCAACCTACAAAATCTCTGCGTACACAGTAGCAAGGATTAGACAGATGAACATCAATCATGGTGGAACAGATCAGATCATAGTTGAAATTCCAAGGAAACAAAGATAGATATAATTTTGCAGTAGAGAATAACTTTTGCGAAGATATAACCAGAAAAGAAAAAGTCAAGCCATCCACAATATTACTGAAGGATAACAGCAAGGGTCAAAAACGAAGAGCGAAATATTCAAGGATCTCTAACACCAGATCTAAAAAGACAGACTCAACAGAGCAACGATCATCGGTAACATGAGCAAATAAATGAATCCAGGGACTGGGTATGACAATCAAAGGCGATAAGCATAGATCAGCAACAAAACTCAATGAAACAGCTAATCTAACCATTAAATAAGAACAAAAAAGGTAGCTAAAGCTATGCAAATCGAACACGAAACAACAATCGGAAGAAAAGTCGCAGTAGAATGGGGACGAAATCGAGGAAACGGACTAACCTTAGAGGGAAGTGATGGGAGGAGAGAAAGCGAGAGAGAGAACCAAGTAGGTGCAAGGAGGCGTTAGAGGAGATGGGAGCTGAATATATAGTGGGCGAGGAGATGCCATGAGTATATGCCTTTGCTCCGCTAGGGTTTTCGCTCTATTTTCGTGGGCCTGAGGCGGCGGCTTACCCTTGGCCCAATATTTTTATGTGTGTTTAGTATCCGTTGACTTTTGTTTTAATATTTCAAGCAAGCAAAACGAATGTTCTTCACAAGCCCATTCTTGATTCTTGTGTGAGCCTTGAGATTCAACTGTTTTGTTATAAAAACGTTTTATTTATATGGACGTTTTTGTAAAAGCACCGTCTCTATTTACAATGAATGTTGTACTATTTGATCATTCAAGGTGATTTATCCAAGTTAACAGTTCACTACGTAGACCAAGACCTTGGTAAAGTTTGTGTACAAAACATGGATACGTTTTATTTAAACATTTTCATCTTCTTTTTCTTGCTTATAAAAACGTGAATTTATGTTAATATGCAGCTTGGATGGATATTTGACGCCTTAGGATCCTCAAATTTCATTTCCCTCTTTCAACATAACAAGCACATGAAAGAAGACAAGACTTGATAACTTTTAATACAAAATCAAAACCAATACAACTCAAATCCTAATAGAAAGAGATCATTTGCCTTTCCTCTTACTGCACCCTTCCTTGTTTCCTTTACTTTTTCCTCCTTTGTTCTTTTTCATACCGTTGTTATCTCTGTCATTGGTTTTTAAAGAAGCAGAATGTAGCAAATGAAGAACACCAAAGAACGCTTTGTCGTAAAGTTATTTGGTTTTCATATGTTCTGTTTATTTATTTAGCAATGTTATTCAATCTTTCTTTCGTTTTAAAACGTACATATATATATAAACTCTTGGCAAAAGGAAGAGAGCAGCAAAAGGTTTCAATCCTAAAGAAATCACTTTTCAACATCCATCTTATCTTTAGGTACTTGCAACAAACAATCCATTATAAACCCGCCAAAAAATTATCTGATTTTTATTTGATGGTTGAGCAATTGAAAGAGGTAAGATGTTACAAATATAAAATCAAGTTGTGTATGGATGGTGTGTGGTTCAAAAGAAACCAAGTGTGATTTTTAACGGCCGCTAGTGAGGAGTCCTTTAAAGGATATGTAAAGATCATTCTTGTCCGTCCCGAATATCTCTTCCGCTTTCCGCAGCGTTTCCTGGCGCATTGACACCATTTTTCTTGTTAGGAGGATTTGAGCATTATATATAACTATATATATAAACACAAAGTAAGGAAATGATATGAACTATACCTCTCGGCTCTGCTTTCGAGCGTTGAGTTCCTTGATGTTAGCCAAAAACGCACTGAACTGTTGGTAAGACAAACGGCTCCTGCAAACTCAAAAGCAAAAATGCTAAATTTATCAATTATCATTCTTATTTCCACTATTAGTTGCTAGCTAGCTCTAGGAGGAATATATTAGAATACGTACCTGGCTTGTCTAAAGAACTCTTTCCCATCAATCCGGGGATGGCGAGCTGTGTATTAACATAAGGTGATTTTCGGAGTTTGGAGATGTATATGCTTTTAATTACCGTGTAACTAAACCTTACCTGAAGCAGAAGAATGTGAGCGAGGAGGAGAGTTTGGTAGAGAAGATTGCTGGCTTGATGAAGACCAGAGGCGGATATCATAATGTGAAGATGTTGGAGATGCAGCGCCAGAGTATTGCATTGGCGATGAAGCAGCTGAGTAGCTTCTCGGTGGAGTCAAAGCAGGAGACAAGTGCGGTGTCAAAGAGACTCTTTCCCTCGCTTCACTTGAACCTGTTTCATTCATACAATACATACACACATGAGAATCAACACAAACGTAATTGTTTGCTGCATATTAAATGCAGCCATCATCCATCACCTTCGTTGTTTGGGTAGGAACCGTGTGCTACTGCTGATGATGATAAGCCATTTGAATGATCCTCTGCTACAACTCACAGAAAGAGAGAGAGAGAGAGTGAAATAACATTCTGAGACAAATACATAATAATAAAAGAAAAGACTTGTTACAGTACCTTGGTCTCGAGGAACCATTCTGACATCACTTGTCTCGGATTGCTGTGTAAAAGAAGAAGAAGAAGAAGAAGACGAAGAGGAGATGAGATTTCTTGTTTTTCTTCTATATATAAAAAAGAGGAAGTAAAGAGGGAGTGATGTAGAGCATACAGATGGATTCTCATCATTTAATGACTGCATCAGTTGTCTCTTGAATGCTTCGAGCTACAAAATCCGAGTTATGATCAATCAACAAATGATCAAGATAGGGGAGAAGGTAAGAATTAAGGAACAAAACGAACCTTGGCAAAATCACGACCGAGTTTCTTGGCAGTGATTGCGAGTGAATCTCGCTCTTGAGTAAGTTTCATCTTCAAATCGAGTTAAACAAAACCGAGTCAAAAATGTGTCTCAAGTCACAAATGAAATGAAAACATAAGAGAACAAGTGTGATACATTTTCATCGAGGGCATTCTTGAAAGAGGAGTCAGCCTCGTGGTAGAGACTTTCCAGGGAAGAAACTCTGCCCTGGAGCTCATGGACAAGACGATCTTTCTCTGCAAGCATCTGCCTGAGCCCGGAGACTTGGGACTCTAGATTCGAAACCCTGGACGCGATCGCCATGGAAGTGATCTTCCTCGCCAGATCGAGTTGATCATAGGGGTCCGTCGGGATCACGGCGAGAATCTCGTCGGAGAGGCTGAAGTCAGGCCCGTCATTTTGCGACATCGCTGCTTGCTGCTGATCGCTCGGGTCCCTCGGGATCTTCTTCCGCTGTTTTATTACGTGGCGGGCTTTTATTGGAACCTCCGCACTTTTAATTTGTCTTTGTCGGCGACAGAAATATATTTACATATATTGGCCATGAGACCCTCATCTTTTACCACTTTCCTGTTTTAACCCCCTAGCTCCTATTTGTTTTCTTTTTCGGAACTCTCTCTAATAATCAACTTTTCTTATTCTCGGAGAAGAAATTTGGAGACGAACCCCTGACCCTGTGGCGTCTTCGATAACCTCGTTAGCTCTTCAATATCTCGATTTGGGTAGAAGCTTCCAGAGCCAAACCCATCTCTCCCGATCCAGGTTTGATTCGGATGCCCTTCTCTTTTTAATGGCTCGCAGCTTCCACTTGTTTTTGAATTCGAGCCTGGTTTCGCTTGCGGATTTGTCTTGGGTAAATCCCAGCTCGGGTCCTGGGTGTATAATATAGTTTGCTTCCTAAACTTACCCAGCTCCTCCTGTACTATCTCATATTTCGAAGAAAATGAGTGTAGCTGTGTTTGATTTTGAAAACGAGAATATCTTATCACAACGGGAGTTACTTGATCTTCTCAAACCAGATGTGAATCAAGTTTATGCTGATTCAAATATTTGTTTACCTCATTAGTCATTACTTCAATCATAGATTTCTCATATGTAATTACACCCCGTTTTCATGTTTATCTGCCTTCGTCCTTGGATTTGTTGTTCGTTTTTCTTCCTCTGTAATGCTTGGATTTGATGATGAATGGGATAAGTTAGTGTAAGGCGTACTAATTGATTGATTCTCACTTGGTTTCAGCAACATGTCAGTTCTTATTGTGACAAGTCTTGGGGATATCGTCATTGATCTCTACTCGGATAAATGCCCTTTGACCTGCAAGAACTTCCTCAAGCTCTGCAAGTAACTGCCTCTTTGCCCTTTCTACATATCAAACATTTCTCTATGCTACTCTACTCACTAACTCACTGATATTATGGCTAGGATCAAGTACTACAATGGGTGCCTCTTCCACACTGTGCAAAAAGATTTCACAGCACAGACGGGTGATCCAACTGGCACGGGAGTTGGTGGAGATTCTATCTACAAGTAAGATGTTGTTTTCTTTGTTTCTAATGATATGTGGAGTGCTTTTATATTTTCTTTACTCTGTGTTTGTGTTTCCTAGTTGTGTTCGTGTTTTCCCATAAAATTTATCAACTTCCCTGAACCATCTCGTGCATGTTATGTTGCATTTCCAGGTTTCTGTATGGTGAGCAGGCTCGTTTTTTCGGAGATGAGATTCATCTGGATTTAAAGCATTCAAAGACCGGCACTGTTGCAATGGCCAGTGGTGGAGAAAATCTCAATGCTTCCCAGGTAAGCCGATTCTTTTTCTCAAAATAACTTTCAGTGTCTTGTGGTTGGCATGTCCTCATGTGGTTTTGTCTGTTTTCTTTTCAGTTCTATTTTACACTTCGTGATGACCTGGACTACCTTGATGGGAAACACACTGTAAGCACAAACTTTCCTACTCTGCCTGTGACTTTCTTATGTATATACTACCGGTTAACATGCAATATGCCAATTCTTCAGGTGTTTGGGGAGATTGCGGAGGGGTTTGAAACTCTGACAAGGATAAATGAAGCTTATGTTGATGCGAAGAACAGACCATACAAAAACATCAGAATCAAGCACACATATATTCTTGAAGATCCGTTTGATGATCCCTCACAACTGGCTGCGATGATACCAGATGCTTCCCCTGAAGGAAAACCCAAGGAAGAGGTCAACGATGACGTGCGGATTGAAGATGATTGGGTTCCAATGGATGAAGAACTTGGTATTCACGAACTGGAGGAGGTTATCCGGGAAAAAGCTGCCCATTCTAGTGCTGTTGTACTTGAAAGTGTAAGCATCGTCCCTGATTCAGCTGTCTTGTAGTTATATCATCACTCACTTTTTAAAAGCTGAGCTTGTATTGGTGTTGCAGATAGGAGATATCCCAGAGGCTGAGGTAAAGCCTCCTGACAATGTGTTGTTCGTCTGCAAACTGAATCCTGTGACCGAGGTAGGTGCTTGCCTGCCTGATATATCTATCTATCAAAATCATTAAAAAAAAAAAGAAAGAAGCAAAGGCTTCCTGCGCTTTCGTCTGACAGTTTGTTCTTGTTTGTCTTATCTCGTGCAGGATGAGGACCTCCATACAATTTTTTCACGATTCGGAACTGTCATATCGTGAGTTATATTTCCTTGATTCTTTATTCATCGACTGTTTTGCAGTGTTGTATTTATGTATTTAATGTCTGAAATTGGCAGGGCGGATGTAATCCGGGATTTCAAAACAGGTGACAGTTTGTGCTACGCTTTTGTAGGTGAGTATAGTGATACTATATGGTTACTCTTGGAAAGTCTTGATATTTTTCCAGCAAGTGCGTATATTGATGGAGAAATTTGTATTTGTTGTAGAGTTTGAGGACAAGGAGGCATGCGAACAAGCCTACTTTAAGGTAATGTAAAAAAGTGTAAATAACAGTAGCATACAGACACGAGGATGTGAAATGAATGATGAACTAATTTGAGCTATATACAAACTTGCTGCATTGACAGATGGACAATGCTTTGATTGATGATAGAAGAATACACGTGGATTTCAGTCAGAGTGTATCCAGACTTTGGTCACAGTTCCGGCAGAAAGACTCGCACAAGGGTAAAGGTATGATATCCTCTCTATTCTCTCCTCCTGACTAAACATGGAACTGCTGTGATAAAAAAAAAAAAAAAAACTAATGGGGGAGATGATGTTGTGACAGGGAATGGATGTTTCAAATGTGGCTCAACAGACCATGTTGCCAAGGACTGTGTGGGTGATAATCAGGCTTCCAAGTTCATTGTGAAAGACCAAAACAGACAGCACGGGGGAGGCCAAGGATATGATATGGTGTTTGAGGGTGATGCAGAGAGGGAGAAGAAGATTCCAAGTCGCCATGGCTATGGTGAAGGCAAAAGACAAGACAGACATTATGAACGTGACACGGAGGACAAGGCAGCTATTAAGAACAATGGCAGTAGAAGACAGCAACGGGAAGATGTAAGAGACAGGGAGAGGGAGAGGGAGAGGGAGAGGGAGAGCAGGTATGATGAAGGTGTGAGCAGGGAGAAGAAACACAGAGAGAGAAAGGAAAGAGAGAGTAGGGAAGATAAAGAAGAAGAAGACAGGAGAAGAAGAAGGCGCCGCGAAGAAATGAGAGATAGAGAGGATCATCGGAGTGATAAGGGGAGGAGAAGAGAGAGAGACGACAATGAGAGAAGGGGCAGGTGAAAGCATTTGCGCTCTCTCTAATCTTCTTCTTTAATTTTATAGACGTTGGATTTAGCTTCGCTAGTAGTGTAATGACTTACAAGAAGATGAAGATTGTTGTTTGACTTTTTTTTTTTTTAATGAATTAAGCAAAAGTTGTTTTCAATTTCATCTCTGTTCACTTCTAAATCCTAAGGAAGGATAACAATAAAACAACAACAATCGTAAACACACGGCAAACCCATTCGTCTCCGATTACATATGCAGCTGAACTAAACCCTAAAGCTAAACCCATTTCCCTTTTTTGTTGAAAACCATTGAACTGATTCCAGCAGCGACACCGCTCTGTGTCGTCGTCAAATGTCAAACAACATCGTTGTACTTGACAACGGCGGCGGTCTAATCAAAGCCGGGCAAGGCGGCGAGCGTGATCCCGTCACCGTCATCCCAAACTGCCTCTTCAAACCTCTCTCCTCCAAGAAATTCCTCCTCCCTCTTCCTCTGTCGGACCTCGACGTCGACATCGATCTCACCTCCGCCGCCGTCCGCCGCCCCATCGACCGCGGCTACCTCATAAACCCGGAGCTGCAACGCGACATCTGGTCGCACCTCTTCACCTCTCTCCTCCGCATCACCCCTACCTCCTCCTCTCTCCTCCTCACCGAGCCACCGCTCTCCATCCCTTCCGTGCAGCGCGCCACCGACGAGCTCGTCTTCGAGGATTTCGGCTTCTCTTCTCTCTACCTCGCGAATCCTCAGTCCCTCGTCCATCTCTACGAAGCTAGTCGGCAGCCCGATTCCGTGCTCTCGCGGACTCAGTGTAGCCTCGTCGTCGACTGTGGCTTCTCCTTCACCCACGCCGTCCCCGTCCTCCACAACTTCACCCTCAATTACGCCATTAAGAGGATCGACTTGGGTGGCAAAGCTTTCACTAACTACTTGAAGGAATTGGTGTCTTATCGGTCCATCAATGTCATGGATCAAACCTTCTTGATGGATGATGCCAAAGAGAAGCTCTGCTTCGTCTCACTCGACCTCAACCGTGATCTCCGCCTTGCTCGGGAGCGACGAAATGCCAACCTGATCAAGTCGACTTACGTTCTTCCTGATGGTGTCACTCATACCAAGGGTTATGTCAAAGACCCTGAAGCTGCCAAGAGGTTCCTTAACCTTTGTTTAGGGGTTGACCAAGGATCTAACAACAACTCTGATTCCATGGATAAGAAAGCTGATGGGGAGAGGAAGAAGGCCGACGTGAACAAAAACGTAACAGATATTCAGGAGATTGACTTGACTAATGAGCGTTTTCTTGTGCCTGAGACGCTATTCCAGCCCGCAGATTTGGGTTTGTATTGTTTTCTTGCATCAACAAGATTACTAGAATGCGTTCATATTATTAGAAGATGAAAGATGATTTTGGTAAATTTTACTTATGTTTTTGGACAGGGATGAATCAGGCGGGACTTGCAGAGTGCATTGTCCGAGCTGTAAGCTCATGCCATTCTTACTTGCAACCAGTTTTGTACCAAAGGTTTGTTACCTTACCTTCTTTTGATGAATAATGAGAATCAACTGCTGAATTTGGTTGCTGCTTGTCTAATGTTTGATGCTCTGTGGCAGCATCATCTTAACCGGTGGAAGCACATTATTTCCCCAACTTAAGGAGAGACTGTAAGTCTAAATTTTATACGATGAATAAGTATCAGTGGCAAGTAATATACCACCTGTTAGACAAGTGTTGATGTCTGTCTGAGATATTGCAGAGAAAGAGAGCTTCGACCACTTGTCCCAGACCACTTTGATGTCAAGATTACAACTCAGGAGGAGTAAACATACTCATCCCTTTCAGATTGATTTGTTTGCAAACTCTCTCTCTCTCTTCTTTTTTTTTTTTTTTTTTCTGTTTTGTTAACTCTTCTCAGTTTTGATATTTGGTTGCAGCCCGATACTAGGTGTATGGAGAGGGGGTTCACTTTTGGCTTCGAGCCCAGATTTTGAGTCCATGTGTGTGACCAAGGCCGAGTACGAAGAACTTGGATCTGCTCGATGTCGGAGAAGATTCTTTCATTGAAGACAACCGGAAAATAATTTAAATGTTTCAAATGAGATTTGGTCGTATCTTCTTCTCACATGTCCAATCATTTTGTATCGTATTGTAATATATGACGAACAGAATCAAGTAATGCCCACCCAAACAGCCAGGGAAATTTTATGTGGTCTTAAATCAATTTTACACACAAGAAAAGACAGCTATGGAACAGTTTAGAGTACAACAAATAGACATAGACAAACATTGTAGACAGTAATCCCAAAACTTGTGCGCGAGTTCCGTTGCCTCTCATCAGTCGGCGTAAGGTTGCGAGTCCATGCACAAATGGACCAGCTTTCTCTGGTACTGTTGAAAGTATTCGCAAACTGCTGCTACTTCTTCCTTGCCAGGTTCTAGACCAGGCAGATCGGTCATTACTGTATCAAATTCAGACTCTTGCTGTTGGTCTTGGCTTGATATCTCGGTTACGATTTCTGAATGAATCTCTTGACAGGCGAGCACAAACATGGCTACTGTGTCGGGCTGTTGCACCTCTCTCAGAGCTGCAAGCGCTTCTTGCAGGGAGCCAGCAGCCACATATAAAATAAGGGCCCTGCATCAAATATTATGTGATTGCTTTTCTCATCATGTGCCGAGGAAATAACGTCTTATCGAAGGAGAGTGAGTGAGTGTATGATAGAGGAGTACCTCCAGACATTGTGTTCCGCGTGGAGGACATGATCAGCCCACCTCTGCAATACCCTGAGTAGAGAGAGAGAGAGAGAGAGAGAGACACTAGTTAGAGCAACATCCCAACAATTAGAGTAACCAATCCTAAGAAATTCAAAACCAGGTTCGAGAATGAAACAGGTAAAAAAGAAAAGACCTGGCATAATCCGATCCTTCTAAATGTGTGGCAGCCAAGGTAGCAGCATCGGTCCATCGACCAGAATCTTGTAGCTGCATATATTCAAATTATTTAGCGTTGCCTATCATTAAACCAAAGCTGCATATAGGGCTGGTGGAAGCATAGCTCGGAAGAGTATACCATATTTAGTATTACAAAGGAAACAGGGAAGCTAACCTGTGAACAAGCTTCTTGGTGTCTTCCAACCGCGCATAGAAGATGAGTACCAGAGAGCGAGTTGTCCGTCTGTACCATGTTGGCTGCAACAACCTACGTATGTGTGCAACAAAAAAGTGATGATCGGTCGGATTTGTTCTTTTAAAAGGACACAAAAGATTATCAAGTATGGCAAAAGAAGATACCTTTAATGCGAGGTCCAGAAGAGATTTAGACACAGCTGAAGAGAGTGCAACAGCTCGGAGCGCATTTGGATAGAAGTATGGAGAATCAGGAGCAGAAGAAAGCAGCAAGCTAACCGCACCTTCCAAATTTCCAACTGATATCAGCCTGATCATAAAAGTTTTCCAAGTGAATTTTGAGTGTGAAAAATTTAAAGCGTGGAAACTCAGGTTCTACTAATTTAAGCACAATTTTTATGAATATAATTTAAACAAGTTGACCAGAATTTCAGGTGATAAAATGAAAAGATAAACGATAAAGACTAGCTGTAGGTGAAAAACTAACTCGTGTACTTGTTTCTGAATGCAATCTTCCCCCTCCAATTTCTCATGCCAAGGGATGCGTTCATTGGCACGTGTCCACAACTCTTCTCGCTCAAAAGCCATTAATCTAAGTGAACCATCACACTGTTCATGAAAAATGTGTAATATAAGCTCCCCAACAAACACTAGCAAATGAATATATAATGATCTAAAGTCTAAACCGACTACGAATAAGATAGCTCCACTACGCTAGCAGACAATTACGAAGCAAAGGAACTCCATTTCCAAAATAAAAAACATCGACTAAAGATCATTTTAGAAGGGAATGCCATCTTTAGATAGAAAAGAACAATTATTTTAAAACTAACCACAGAATCTATTTTCCTGGCTTCAGGTGCCGATATACCACTAGATGATATTTTACTCGGCATAGATGCTTCATCAATTCCTGAGCCCAACGCTGGGGAAGAGATCTTCTGCGGAGACCTTTTCATCAGCTTGTTCATCAGATGGCGAATGGCTTGGGGCAGTTGCAACCAGAAAAAAGTTTCCGAGGTTTCACCAAAAACTGCAGCTGCAAAAGCAAATCTTGCAGCACAACCTTTCTTGACCACATCAGCATACAGTTTTGCTCTTTCATCATCCAGCAAGCAACCTAGGATGAAAGAAATTTAGAGCAGGTAAGAAGTTAGAATACTTAAACAGATATCCTGAAAGAGAGATGTTAGTCTATGCCTCTGTGGTGATACTACACTAAACAAGTGAGAATAACCTTCTTTCCGATATGGTTCTAGTATCTTCAGCAGCATTTCTGGCACTACTGGGTCTCCTAAAGGTGGTAACTGAATCATGTAACTCCGAAGATCCTTAGAGGATGAAGCCATTCCACGGATCAAATGAGGCCTTTTCTCTAAAGTGGTGCTACACGTATTAAACCAAGATGGTTTTACTCCCAACTGTAAAATCATCCGCAGTGCCTGCATGATCTCAGTCGTACACCAAGATTGAGTACCACAACGACTTCAGATCAAGAAGTATTCTTAAGTAAAGAAAGTTACCAGCGCATGTGGTACAGGAAGTAAGATAGGGGAGTACATAGGCATAGGACGGAATCTCTCCTTTACAGATTTAGACCGGGGCACAGAGCCAGCCTTCTTTTCATTTCTACAAAACCAGAAGAAAAAAGTTGGAAATATAAGATAGTAGAAGTAAGTGATTGTAGCCGATTTAAACTTGGATCAATAGTAATGGCAGATCAGAAACAAAATACTCTTTGTATGCCTAACCTAGATATGCCTAGCTAACCCCTGGGGACAAGGGTGGTCTAGTTGTCAACCCCTATACACCACCCCACCTACACGACCTTGTCTCAGGGTGTTTAAGTACCTTTCTACAAGTGTTTAGGGTGCACAGCCATCTGGTGAACAGAATAGAAAAACATAGACATTCGTATCCTATACAGTTTAAGTTAAATGGGGAGAAACAACAGATAATGACCTAAAACTTTTGTGTGAATAAGATCAACATGCTGATAAGAAACTAATCTTAATTTGAAAGCATTCACAGAACTATGAATACGAAATCTTATACACATACACAATAACTTCAACAAGCCGGAAGGTGCTATCAGCTCCAGCAATGCACAGAACAAGTGGATCATTTTTATCAGTTCTCAGAGGCAACCAATCAAGTTCCAGTACAAGGGTCCCCGGAATCTGGGGCTGCAGAAGCGACTGGGCTACCGGATCTGGTGAATCCTGCAGCAAAATTCAGGAGCAACTGTCAAAAACCGTTATTTAGGATTCACATGGACATTTTAAACAACAAGCATCGAAAAAACCAGGATTGTCCTTGTTTTCTCTTCACATTGTAGAATATTAGTACACCGTTTTTGATAACACAAGACACGTGTCCAATAGGAAATAGTGAATCCTCTTAAATACTCACAAGATCATATACAGAGAATGTATTGTCATTAAATAGCACAGCTACACGCCCTCGGCTACGATCTCCAGCAACAACAGGTGAGAATTTGATTCTACGTATTCCATCTCTGTGACTATTAAACGCAGATGACTGTCCAGTTGTTACATCCCACCATCTTATGTTTCCTGATCTATCTCCCATAACCTGATAGAAGAGAGCAAAATATGATCTCCCTGGGGAAAATAAGAGAGATAACTAGAAGGAGAAAAGAAACAAACCACGTGAGGCAAGCGATATGCCATAGCTGTAACCAATCCATCTGAAGGAACAAATGATGTAGATGGCCATTTTGGTCTAGAAATAGAGGCGGGATCATCTATATGTCAGTACATATAGGAAGAAGATTACACAACAATCAAGGTTCAAGACGGTGATTGCTAATTCATGTGAAAGCGGCTGATAGAAACTATCAAGCACTGAATTGTCTGCACTTATCTCAAATTGGACAAGGAAGATCATTATCTCTCAACTTTTCTAGAAAGAACTTAATGACAGAAGGGATTAGAAACAAATCACAGAACAATCATAGAATAAGGAGTTTAAGACTCTGCAGCCGGTTACCAATAATATGCAATCTCTATATGAAATTTTCTTCTCAGAAACAGAGAGATATTCAGCAACCTTAAAACTACAGTCTGAATTGTGACAAGAAATTTAAACGCAGGTATAAGGGATTGCCGCGAAAAGAAGAATTTCTGAACAAATTGAGTAAATGGAACCATCCATCTTACCTGAAATCTCGAATTCTACGTCCTTGGACTTCAAATACTCCGAGGGCACCATTTACTAGTGCAAATGCAAAACTCTCTACAGTTTCTTCATGCGATCCATCCGAGCCCACAGGCGCTGCAGATATGTCAATTACCAACCTTTAGAAAACGATGCATCAAAGACTGGGTTATATGCAGGATAGCACAGATTTAATGTCATAAACATCTCACTAGAGTCTGCTGACGCCATTGCTGGACCGCCTTGACCTGGGCGTGGAACTGCTGGAAGCGTCCATTCTACTACCGTAAAAGGAAGAGCTAATGATCTAAGCTACACAATAAGAAGAAATAACAAACATAAAATGATCAATTAGAATACATAACCTCGGAAAGATTATAAGGACTCCAAATGTTGGACATGACGTATATATAAACAAGCCTCGAATGCAAATTATACGTATGCCTGTTCTGGCCCATTTTCCACACCAGATACTTTTTCACGTACTTTCTTCTTGCAGGAATAGACATTGACATGGCTATAAAGACTTTCTAGCACTTGGAAATGGGGAGAGGCAAAAAAAAAAGGCAGCAAATAGTATGTTGCTTTTAACGACTCTCGTCTAATTTCTAAAAGGTACAAGCTTTATCCTTGCAAGCATAAACGATCTCATTAGGCATTATGATGATCAAGACCCAACATGAGCCAGCCTATTATATGGTGCCAAATTAACCATCGATACTCAAGTTTCACATGCAAAAAGCGGAACCTGGTCAAGGAGATATTAGTTGAAACTAAATGGACATATGAAGAAAATACATAGAGATGAGAAATTATGTAATGTAGGTACAAAATTAAAGTCATATGGATGAAAAGTAACAGAATGTAAAAATGCAATTTCTAAGCTTATAAACATATGAGAAAGAAAACGTTGTTGTCATCTACTCAGCGGTACTAAGTCACATAGAAAAAGCAGAGATACTTGGAGTTTTGAGCTCACCATGACTGGATGCTTGGTCATTGCCCAAACTTCTACAGGAGCATCACGGAATAGAATTAGAAGATACCTGCAAGAGGACAGAAAAAAGATTTTATCAGCAACCGAGGAGGTATATAAAATATCTGGACCCAAGTAATAACTTCCACTTTTTACAATAGTTCCCTAACCTTGAAATGGTGAACCAGTTCTATAATCTACATTTGACATTTGTCATCTCATAATGGAATAGAATTTCAGTACCTGAATGAGAGACACTGTTTCTAAGCTTAAACTATCAATGGCATACTGATAGATTTAAGTGCAAATAGCAGTCATTATGTTGTCAATAGGCATCCATTATCTAAGCAAAATGAATTACATTAAAATCCAACCTTCCGGAAGAAGAAGTTCTAAGAGCTCTTATAGGAGTACGCTCTGGCTTTTGTAAATCCCGAAATGGTTTGTTCAACCCACTCCTAAGGCAGGTAACAACAAGCTTATTTATGTAGCCTCTGCTTTTGTCATTCACCTGAAACCACAAACCGATGCATGCTGTTGGATGTCAAACCACAAACCACAAGCTACTGGAAATAAAACTAAACCTAACACTCTTCTTAATCCTGGAAGAAACCACTAGGAAAAAACCAAAAGAAAGCAATAAGGCGTAACATGTTCCACTTTGGAAACCGCTAGGAAAAACCTAACGAAAACAATGAGAGGTAACATCTTCCACTTTTAAATATATTTGCACACCTGACTGTAAGAAAATGAAACTAATCTTGAATTTCCAAGCCACCGAAGTCCCCTAACTACACCAGTATGAACAGAAGTGCTTGCAGCAACAGCATTTGTCGATACATCAACAACATCAATTGTTCCGTTCTGAGTTCCCAGAGCAACCAAAGGAACAGCTGCCGCTGGACTGTTACCACCTCCTTCGTTTGAAATAAATTTGTAAACCAATCAGGATAGTATTCCTAGGAAAACTTTTAGTATTAAATATACAAGGGAGAACAAAACTAACTCGCTAGGGTTGCTGTAAGAGAAGGAGATGGTACAGCAAGTGTAGAGACTGTGGAAGAAAGAAGCTGAAGCTGTCCAGTCAGGCTGATCTGCATTGATCCATGTAAACGAGTAAAGGCCAGTACACAGAACCATAAAGATGAGGAACAGCTATATATGGAACTAGTTAATTAACCCAAAAACCTTCCAGCCACCAACCTTAAATGATAGGTCTGATTTGCCCGAGGAGGAACTTGACGTGTGACCTCTGCTTCGATTTGTAGGAGCAACAACTAGTCCATCATCCAGATCTGTGGAATCTTTTTTCTGGATTGCTCCAGGAGTTGCTGCTTCAGTGCCTTCCGTACCCATGTCCAAGTCTGACGCACTTTTCAGAACATCTTCAACCCCTTCAGCACTTAAGACCCACTTCCATATTTTACCGTCATCAGATAGGGAGATAAAAGTCGTCTTAGAAACAAGAAGGCTTTCGTCGTAAAAGTCAAATGGGTTATCAAAATCCACAGAGGTAGTTCCATCTGGGTGAAGTTTTGTAATGGTTTGCATGGTAGAGTCCGATTGACTGAGGAGAAGAGCCAAAGCTGACGGAGAAGGGATGGACATTCCAATAGATGGCATAAACTCTTCCATGGTACACATGACATGCACCTGTTCTCCTCTGCAATGATATGTAACCAGCAGTAGTTTAGATGAATATCCAAGTTTAATCAACATAACAAGATAGGAAGCCATATTCACAATATGCTTTTGAACCATGAATCTCAGAAACAGTTCAAATATGACCAAATAATTTATTGAGTTGTTCCTTTCCCAGAGATTCTGGAAAACCTGCCTATTACCAACCCTATGAATTTATGACTGCTGTGATTTCAACAGGTTGGCTTTCTCAAAGTCTGGCATGGACCATCAAACATGAGCTAATATACCTTAGGAAGCTTCCTATTTCAGTAAGTTCCACTAAAACATTTCACGTCTAAAGAAGAAAAACAATAAAAGAAACTAATCGAAGCAGATAACCAAAGTCTACTAACACCCCATTACCCTGAAATCTTCGAAATATAAAGTACAACTAAAGTAGAAAATCCGACTCCCCATCTTTTCTCAGTGGTATCCTTAAGAGAGGAGAGCGCGATTTTCAATAGCCTTTTCCTAAAATCACTAATGCGCATAGACTCTTTGTGAAGGATGATATGCGTGAACCATCTTTTGGTTGTCAAGAAAAAGGAAACTCAATCTGATTAAAGGAATAGCTAATCCATGAATGAAAGTAACCGGAAACAGAGCAGTGGCTAAACAGATATGGGACAGGGCAGCGATATCTTACTCTTTTCGACGCCAAATGCTGAGTCTACCATCGACATGAGCACAATAAAGCAACTCCTTGTTCGGATCCGGCAAGACATCCATAAACTTGGCGCAACCGCGAGGTAAAGGCGTGGCCGAGAGAGCCGTCTCATATTGCAGATCAAACACCAAGAGCTCCCTCGGAAACGTCACAAACAGTATATTCTTCCAGTGTGGCGAGAAGGCAAATCTGGCCAAGTACAAGGGAAATGCCGCTGAAGCAGGCGAAGAAGAAAATGAGGAATTGCCGTTACTGGCCGCCTCTCTTTCCAACCTGAGCAGCTCACTGAAATCCGTCTTGATCTGCATCTCCTGAATCACGACGTCATTCTCGGTGTCTCCAAGTACCTTGATCGACAAGAGGAATCCCTTGAGGCCAAGGACGCAGAAATGGCGGGAATCATAGGGGTCACGGCGGAGGCAGGAGAGGATCTCCGAGCCGGCATCGTACTTCCAGAAAACACCGCCAGAGGTGGAGGTGGTGTAGATAGAGAGGAAGGAAGAGCCAGAAATGGTGGCGAGGACATGAGAATCCTGGCGAGCCTGAACCCAGCAGAGGTCTTGGATGCCAAGCTTGGGATCGGAGGAGGGATCAAGCCAGACGACGACGGAGCGAAGATGGAAGTCAACGAGGGCGACGCGGCCGTGGCGGTCGGCAACGGCGAGGAGAAGGTGAGAGACGGAGGGCTCGGTGGAGAGCAGATCGCGGGGGAGAGGGAGAGGGATCCAGCGGACGGAAGTGACGAAGGGGGAGAGGGCACCGGGAGGAGGAGGGAGAGGGATAGTGGAGACGAGCTGGAGAGAGCGAGAGTCGACGACGGAGACAGAGGAACCAGAGGCGAAGGCGAAGAGACCGGAGGGACTGAGATCGGCGGATCCGAAGTTGTTGCGGCTAGGAGGACCAGGGAGAGTAGAATCCCATGTATCAGTAGGAGACGGCTTGGATGCCGCCATTGTTGCAGCTTTCTTCTGCTCTTAAGAAGTTCAATTTCAGGTTTTTAATGTTTCTTCTGCTCTTTTTGAATTGACAAACAAACAAACAAGAAATGTATTTAGAGAGAGAGAGAGAGAGAGAGAGAGGCAGTGAAATTTTGGAAATGGAAGAGAAGCGAGAGCTTGAAGGCAAATACTTGATAAGTTTTCCTTAGTATTTTTTTTTGATTAAACAAGCTTTCCTTAGTATTTTTTTCAAAAAATTGCATCTCTGTTGATAAGTTCTAAATCAAATCAACTTTAAATGATATCCTCACTGTATAATTGAATTCAAAAGAGCAACTGTAGAGCAGTTTATATGTATGTATGTACTATGTACATCATTGGTTGACGAAGAGAAGAAGGCACCATTTTGATTTGACAATGGTCCTCTGTATATTGTGTGTATCAATCACATTCACATGTAGTAGACTCTCACAGTTTCTCTCGGTTGCACTTTGCAGGCCATCTAATGACAAGTCTGCTTTCTAATGCTTTTCCACAAACAATATCAATATGAGGATGATGCAAGAAACCATCCCATGTTCTTCTTCCTATCTACACAATCTTCTTTCTTCTCACTTGACAGGACGCACCCCGACTGTTCTGACACGGAATCTGTACTGAGGCCGAGAGTCGTCACTGTCGTCGCTGTCTTGATCATCATCTTCATCACTGGAATCGTCTTCAACTGTATCCCAACGGGCGTAGTCGAGTGTTGAATGACCCTTGGGCTTAGGGATGGCTTGCCATCCATTGGAGTTGGACAAGGCCCCTTCTTCCTTGCTCTTAGTGTTGTCTTCTCTAACCTCTGGTGTTTTAGGTGCAACAGCTTCCACCTTGTTTCTTGTGGTTGAAACTACCAACTCTCTTCTCTCATCTCTTCTACTTTCCTTTTCTTCATTGTCTTGTTCATCTTCTTCGTCTTCTAACTCTGCTTCAGATTCAGGAATCGGAGCAAGGGACTTTCCTTGACCAAGAAACAAAAAACACAAGACACGCTTCTTTAACCCTACAGGACAGAGCTACCACTTACTATACAGCATAAAGGGAAGCAAGATAGAGAGCATACCAGCTGCGTCCTCAAGCGAGCCTCGAGGTTGTGATAAACCTCGGAATCAGGGTTCAACTCGAGGAGTCTGCTGACATCAAAAAGCGCAGATTGGTATTCCTTAAGGGTGACTAGTGTCTGCGCCCTCAGCATCAGAGCTCCGCTGTGTTTCTGATCAAGCTCCAGCACCCACGTGCATTCCTCTGCTGCCTGACAAAGATGATAAAAGATATGACTCTGGTTACAACAATCTTCACAATCAGTGGCTCTTCTTCTAACAATTCTCGATTCCATTTCACATCATACGAGTAAACAAGCTTGACGTTGCTCTTGATATTCATTACTTTATTCACAAACTGATGAAACAAATGTTTGTGTACCAAAATTGGAATTCTCTTTTGATTGATTTCAATTCAAATATAGACAAGGAGATCCAAGGAAGAAAAAAATCTAAAAACCTTATTGAATTCGTGCAATTTCAAATAGCAAGCAGCGCGGTTGCTGTGAAGAGCGATCTTCTGCGGCTTGGTCTTTGCCGCCGTGAGAGCCTCCGTATAGAAGAGAAGCGCCTCCTTGTACTTGCCGTCCCTGTAGAGCTGGTGCCCTTTCTCAACCTTGCCTGAAGCCGTCGCCGTCGCCGTCGCCGCCGATGCCATACACCCGGCGATGATCCCAATGAAACCGTAGATTTTTAGTAAATCGAAATTCTAGAAAGAGAGGGAGAGAGATCCAGAGAGGGAAGAGGAATGATAATGGCGAATGAAGCGTAATAAGACCTGGATATGAATCATCTTCATTTCCAAATTATTATTTTTCTGACTTTTACATTTACGAATAATTAGGGCATTTTTTTGTCTTTTTTTAATTGATTTCTTTTAAAATGTTTTAAGTTATCGTATCCCGCCAAGAAGGTCCATTTAACAGTCCACTCAGGCCCAACCGAGATAGTTCGTTTGTTTCCTGGGGGAGAAAACAAGTACTGGCATGGACACTAATTATCTCACAAATTAGCAAATTAAAACATATGAAAAACGATAATAATCTGTAAAATACATTCATATTAATTACGTAAATCTGTAAATGGTGGACATGTCTTTAAAAGATGAAGAAGAAGTTTTATTTAAATTTGGGTAAGCATAAACATGAAGCATGGATGGACGGACATAATTAGAAACGATCGATAATGCGCATAGCAGCAACCGAGAGTTGGGCATAGATAGTGATGATTTGCCTAAAAGATGGGGAAAACTGAAACTTGGAAGTTTCGAGATTTTCTCTACATTGCAGAGGAAAGCCAAGCGCAAGCTGTATCGACTGTCCGGCTTTGTTGTAGTCACCGGCTTCCAGACAGTTTTTGGCATCGGGCACTAATGTCATAGCAACCAACAAGTCCTTTTTGCAATCCTTCAGAGCTGCCTTCATTTCATCATGACCTTTTACTTTCTTTGACAATAGTTCCGTAATGTTGCTGCACAACACAAATATATAATAGTTACAAACAAACAAACAAAAACAACTATACATTAGAAGAAGACATAAAAACAACTAACCAAGGCGAAATAAAAAAGTCGCTGTATGTGAGTATTATTTTTATTATTATTATGTAAGAGAAAACTTGCTTGATGAGGGTATGGAGGTGAGAGTCGAGACAGTTTATGACGATCCCGGCGATGGCAACAGAGCCGGCAACGACGGAGGCTGGGTCTGATTCGAGACATTGCATGCATACGGTCGGGAATTGTGCATTGCGGCATTCCCTCATCATCAGCTCCTTTTCGGCGTAAATCGAGATTGGCCGACTAGAGATCACCACAAGTGTCAGCACAAGATACTTGGTCATCATCATCATCATCATGCTAAGTAACTAAGTAAGTATTTTCCTTTACTTTTTCTTGTTGTTGGTGTTTTCTTGATTGATTTGTATGAGGATTAAGGTGAATTGCTCGTTAATATAAACTAATAATCTGGCAATGTGACTGGTCACGAGTCACTATCTATCGCCAATGATGGCTGGTAGCTCTATTGTTGTTTTACACGTCTAAATGTGTCTCTGAGTCATAATGAAGATAAAATTAACATGGAAGCTGCTCCTCTTCTTTTTCTCCATTTGGCTACAATGCATATATTACATGGCCTCTCTACTAAGTATTTACCAGTCTTAACAGTTGTAAGCGCTGATTCGTCATATACCAACCCACTTTCTCGTCTTTTGTTTTCCGGATTAAAATTATGCACAACGATAAATTTAGTCTAATCTTTAACATGAAGGCCTATTAAAATACAAACTAAAACATTTTGAAAAGCAGGTTGAAGATAATGGACTCGTACGTAACAGAGGGACTTAAACCTGCTACACGAGAAACATAAACAGCCTAAAATGATGGACAAACTTACGTTATGATGTTACCAAATCGTTTTTCAGACAAAAAAAAAAAGAGATACCAGCGTTGCTAACCAAAACAGTAGAAAACATTTTTAGCTCAAAATATAGAGTACAGGGTTTGTAATATTGCATTATAATCCCCCTATTCGTCGTCGTCCTCGCTCTTAGACTTCTTCTTCTTCTTCTTCGACTTGCTGTGACCATCATCAGTCGCATCGTCTCCTCCAGCTTTACTCTTCTTTTTCTTCTTCTCTGATTTCTCATTCTCATCCGCTGTCTCCATCTTCCTCTTCTCCTTCTTCTTCTTTTTCTCTGACTTATCCTCTTCAACTGCCTCTTTCATTTCCTCATCTAAAGGAGGCACCGATCAAACACAGAGTCAACCACCAAAACAGGAATTTGTATGGCACACAAAATTTGTGAAATCAGGACATACCTTTGTTTTGGAGATTCTCAATCACTTCCTTCATAACGTCCACGTTCTTACGTGGGGCAACACCTTTGTCATAAAAGTCAAGCCTTTCCTCAACTTGCTCGCGAAGCTTCTCACCAAAGGCCGTTGTGGCTCCATCTGCATAACAAGACACCAGGGCACATGATTAAACACTCTAAATCATATATATCATAATAATATAAACAAATGTTATTCTCGAGGGCGTTTCCAGATAATTTACCAGCAAAACAATCAATCCGAGACGCTATGGAGCACTTGTTTGCAAGGTAACGAGCAATACGGCCCTTGTTTTTAGCAGATGCTCTGCCAATGAAGGACGAATGGAAAATCAATCCATACTTGGGTGTATTTCCACGTGTCTTAAGCGCCCTGAAACACCACAACGGTTCATTAATGTCACACGCAGAAATTAAAGGAAAATATAAAGAGAGCTCTCTATGATACTGCACCTGAAAAGGGCCTTCTCAGCTCCAAGAATCTGGAGGGTGGAAGATGGGCATTTAGCAAGGTTGGTCAGACTCCCAGCATGTGAAATCAGACGGGCTCCAACCATTTCTCCAATCAAGGCTGCCAAATTGGGGGCAATGTCTCCCATCTTAGCAACTAGGTAATCATAGAGCTTCTTTCTGTAGTCAGCGAGGTCCATCACTCTCTGTGCAAACGTCTGTACGTTGATCAAGTCAATCGGTGATAAATCCTGGCCTGGAAACCATATGTCGTGGTCAGAAACATCGACTTATCCATAGCTACCAATATAAAAACACAGCTCAAAACATGGACTAACCCATGGATGCTTTTCCAGCTTCGACGACCTCCTTCGCCTTATCTTCATCCCCTAGGACTTCAGTAAGCATTGGGATGTGGTCTTCAGTCAACTTCGACTTGTCCTCAATCATCTTCGAGACGCGGGCGTAAAGATAGTTATCATTAACAATCTTCACAAGTTCGGGGAAGTGCCACGAATACCATTCCCTGTAACACCATATATATATAACAACAGTTGGGTTACGAATCTTTCTCAACTGGCAAGACATAAAGTAAGTGAAAAGGAAAGGTTCAGAACAAACCTGACTCTCATGGCAAAGGAGTTGATATCTTTATCAAGCGTGTCAAGGAGGAAAATAGCTTGGATAACCATGTTATCCACTCGGTTCACATTGAACTTGACCTTTGCTCTGCTGTAGCTATGAGCTAATCCAAGTTGAGACTTTTCCAGATCACCAGCCTTTATTACACACACACAAATTCATTTAAAAGAAGATCACTCCCGAGTACACAAAACAAAACAAAGCATAGGAGATGTATATGAAAGAAAAAAAAAGAGAAAGAGCACACCTTTAGGTCCTTGATGAACCTGTCAAAATGCTGGCGTACACCTCGGAGAAGCTCGAGTATGAACTCATTGCTCTGGCACGGGATTTTAGTGGCTTCGAATATATGCGAACCCAGTTTAGGCTCGGCCATTCCTAAGCTGAACTTGGCCTTCTTGCCTTCTTTGACTTTCGGAAGATTCAACTCCAGGAAACTTCTTAGCTCGTCAGTCATAACCCCTGCGCCACCAAAACATCAATCATTTACTCACAAGTCACAACCTTCAAATGTGGTGATAGCACAAGACAACCAACCATACATTGAAGCAATTTCAATTGAACCAAAAAACAAGGAGGGTATTTCAAGTTTCAACATCAATAACGAAGCGACGATAAAATACTTGCGTTTATTAGCTACAATCTAAGGAAAAATCACAGTATCATAAGATATACGCAAAAAGAAAAATAAGGCAGACAGAGTCATGTTCGAGTTCCCAGAAACACTACAAGATAATATACCTTCAGAGACGGCGTTAACTTGGTTGAGAGCATCGAGCGCAGACTCGAATGGGTGAAAGGCGGTGAGCTGGACAACACGGCCAAAGCGACTGAGGTCGGAGACGGAGCTCCGGACGGCCTCAGTGTTCTGTCCGATCTCATCGAGCCCGTGCGCTTCGAAGAGGCCATAGCCAGATGAAGATTCGTACAGAAGATAGGTAGCCATTTTGGAGGAGAAGCTAAAACCCTAAAACCTATTTATGACTATTGACTTGTGTGCGAGCGAACATACATGGAACTCTCAACTCACTCAGGCAGGAGAAGAGAGGGAACTAGGGTTTCAGGGTTTAATAGGATGGATTTGTTGCTGCTTTAAAAATGGGCCGGGCCCATTTAATAATAGTTCAATTAGATCACAGAGGTCTGATTTAAGCCCATTTAGGTTATATATACAGCCCATCATGCATCATGATGACGAGACAACCGCTTGAAGATGATCATCATTAACTTCAAGATTAAAGCATACAGACAAAATTATTCATATAGGGAAATATGTTTCTCCAAACCAAAGAAGAAAATAGTGATCTTCAATTATATAGTCAATTAGTCATGCTCATACACAAACACACAAATACAGGCATTATATTCATAGAGGAGAGAGGAGACTTTTCATGTCAATTGTCATCTCCCCTCGTTGATCTTGACTCCAAGCATTGGCTTAAAGTCGCTCTCTCTAGGGGTGACGAAGCTCGTGGAGTAGGACGCAGAAGCGCCTGTGACGCTGAAAGAGGAGTTGGAGGTGTCATCAAATCTCCAGTCGGTTAGGTGGGTTGGCTTAGAAGTGACATGACTGATTTCAGCGTCTCCTAAAAGCATGGCCACCACTCTTGACATTTGTGGTCTCAGCGCATGAGATGTTTGAGTGCACAGCCAAGCAATGCCTATCATGCGTTTCACTTGTTCCATGTTGAAATCACTCAGCTCGTGATCAATTAGTTCAGCTTCACGGTTATTCTCGTGTAGGCTCCATGCCTGTATTGTATTGTATTGTAATATTGTAATTTGTATACAATACACCACCACGATTGATATATTATTGAATATTTATAGATCAATTTTCTTGAGTAACAAGCAAGGTCCGAGGACGTACCCATTCAAGAAGATACCGTTGTTCACCTTCCAGCTTCTCATCACAGTTAAGCCTTCCACTGATAAGCTCAAGAGCCACAATGCCAAAGGCATACACATCCGTTTTCTCTGTTAGGTGTCCACGCAAGGCATACTCTGGCGCAAGATATCCACTTTTGCACGCATGTATGGGTTGGTTGGTTGTTGCAAAGAATAATTCCATAATTAACATAACAAAACAAAAAATGTTAAGAGTGTTTGGACTCAGATATAGATACTTACGTCGTCCCTGCCACTCGAGTGCTTATGTGGGTTTTCTTGTCATGGTAGAGTTTGGCAAGCCCAAAATCAGAAACTTTTGGGACAAGTTGAGAGTCGAGCAAGATGTTGCTGGCCTTGACATCTCTGTGTACTATGCGAACACTCGCTTCCTCATGGAGGTAGGTTAGACCTCTGGCTACTCCCAGGCATATCTCATAACGGGTCGACCAATCAAGATGTAAACTCTTGTTACCAAAAAGGGTATCATCAAGACTTCCATTAGGGAGGTACTCATATACGAGCAAGCGGTGATCTCCTTCATAGCAGCACCCGTAGAGCTTCACTAGGTTGCGATGCAGAACTGCAGATATTGCTACGATTTCTGCAACAAACTGTCCCTTCCCTTGTCGGGATCCAACCGACAACAGTTTCACCGCCACCTCTCTTCCATCGTTCAGCTTTCCCTGTAATTATTAACCAAATGCATTACTCTTTGCAGATTTACATATTTTGGGACTTATAGTAATAATTACCTTATAAACAGGCCCGAATCCTCCCTCTCCAAGCTTATTTGAGGGATGAAAATCTTGAGTTGCACTTTTAAGTTGAGAGTAACTAAAAGTGTAAGGCTTTACGTCCATACTAAGTATCTCTGAACCAATTTCGAAACATGTTAATTAATTTTTTAGTCAAGATTATTGTCGTGTTAATAACAACTGTGTACCTTCATCATCTGTGTACCGCTTTCCTCTTTTTCGGATGATGAAGATAACCACACCTCCGAATATGCTCAAAAGTGCTAGGCCAACAATAACACCCACAATAGGACCACTCCTCTTCTTTCCCTTTGACGGTGGCCTGTTACTCACAGTTGGCGTAAAATCTGAAAAGAACAAAAAAACAAAAAAACATTAACTAGTGAAACTCAATAAAAGAAGAAAAGAACCAGGTAACCATTTGTTGTTGTGTTACCTGGTGTTGCACTAACGGCCGATATTAGAGGTCCATAAGCACCTTGGATAGGAATACAACAAGTTCCTTTGCCAGCCCAGAAAAGATGGATTTCCAAATTATTTTCTGATACGTTTGCTTTATATACTCTCTCAACTGCTCGCACATCAGAGTCACCAGCTGCTCTTCGTATATCGAAATCCTTTTCAACAAGTCTTCCCTGCAAAAACAGAGCCAAAACCAAGATAAATATTACACCAAACTGTTAGCTTGTATATCAAGTAATGCAGACGCACCTGGACATAAATGTCGAAGTGTCGTCTTCCTACCCCTCTCCATGTGTTAGTAGAAGAACCTTTTATTTGTATCTCAGCAAACTGAAGCGTTACGGTATAGCCTCCATTTTCTAGCCCCAAACCATAATACCTTAAGGAAGATGCAGAGAGCCTTGCTGACTGAAAAAGCTCCGAGTCCGAAGTGTTGATAAATTGTGACTGTGAAGCAGCTATGTATACATTGTTGCTACTCCCGGCGAAAAGTCCTACACTACTGGCTGCCCATCTCCTAACATCACTCACGACAAATGAAGCTGGTCCAAGTTCCTCGTCATCCCTCTCAAATACTGCTCCACTAACAGATTTTATTTGTGGGCCTCCACAGTTGATGGAAAAGTCAGAATCTAGACACACCATAGTCAATATACAGAGAAAAATTTAGAACACAGAGTTTCACAGTGGTTATGATGGTATCTCTTTGTCACACTTACAGATTCCTTTGCCTCGATTGCATGGAAAGTTCTTCTGCAGGCAGTCCAATCCTGATAAAACCCTTTTACGTACCAATAAAAGAAAAGAGATTTTAAGGAACTAGTCTCTCTATACAGCTTGTAGAGATTTATTGCATGAAAGAAAAAAATAACATATTGTATTAATTACTCTTTCAAGCAAATAATTTAAGAAAATCACCTATTGTCAAGACCTCCAAGAGTGAAGTTGTTAGCAACTAGATTGCTGCATAAATAAGGTACATTTTTGCTTAATGAGTTATATATACATGCATAAGGGAATCGATCCAGAGATTGGTTTCTTATCCTGTGAATATATATGTATAGGGAAGAGATATGTGTTTATACTTTATAGTGGTTTGTTTACTTACAATGTCAAGTTTTGTAAGCTGACCCATGACGGAAGACTTCCAGACAAATCGTTGTACGACACATCTCTGCAAGTATATAATTAAGTGAACAGGCAATCATTAGGATGTACAGAGAATATGTTATAGATTCCACAAAATTATATTGGCAAGTCTTTCATGCCACCAAGAATGAAAGCTTCTTCAACTTAAATAAGTAAAAGGTGTACATATGAAACTCGAGTCTATATGATCACGAGCGTCGATCTTTTAAATATTGAAAATCTTTTGTAGGATTTTGTTACCCACATATTGCTCAGAGACTGCGACTTTTGAGTGGGCAAAGAACCATTTAACGTGTTGTTTCCCAGAAACCTGATATGAAGACAAGGTTAAAGTTTTCTTTTCAGGATTATCAGTGTGTTAGGTACGATCATAAAGACCCAAAACAAGTAGAAAACTTACAAGTGAGTAAGTCCACTTATGTTGAAAAGTGAAGCCGGAATTGGTCCATGTAGTTTGTTGAAGCTGAAATCACTGGAAACACAAACACCAACTATCACACCAAGTATAGCAATGAATGAGGCAAAAAAATAAGAAATTTAAGATGATCATTTCTTAATTATTCTCTCGGTGACTTTCACAAATCATCCCACTCCTCTTACATAAACAGGTTTCAGAACATTTGAAGAAACACACTCACATATGTACTTACACTTGTTGCAGACTTTTGTATTCTCCGAGATTAGACGGTATTGTCCCAGTGAGATTGTTGTTCCTCAATACTCTGCGATATATTTACATTATCATTGATGTTAAAATGCAAGAAACATTTCGCGAATTGTTGCCTTACAATACACTTAGAGATTTCATGTCTTTGATGAATTCAAGGGTAGAGCTTCCATTGGATATATCACCAAGCCTCCTACATTTATTTAGAAAAGGATTGGTTATTGATTGACTATGTGGAGGGAGGAGGAAAAGAAAGCGAAAGAAAGAGTTAACAATAAGCCAATAAGGAATGAATGATTCTGATTTATGATGAGACCAATTAGCATATGCAACAACACACATACAGTTCTTGCAAAGAAGTTAAGTTGGAAAATGAGGACGGAATCGGACCACTCAAACCAGTTCCGACAATTCTCCTGCAGTAAAACCAATCGTACGTTGAAGAAAGAGTAAAAGACAAGCAAGCTAGAGCAATGGAAAAAAAATCCGTGAGATCCTCTTACAAGGTGGTAAGATTGGTCCATTTTCCTATAAAGTCTGGTAACCGACCTGTAACTTCCAGATCCATAATCCAACTGATATAAACAGCATTAAGGGGGAAAAATGTAAAGCAGTAAATGGATTCTTAAACAAACAAACAAAAAGGGTATATAGCTGTAGAAATGAGAAAGCTAAGGATAAAGCTTAAACTCGAAATGAATAAAAGCTTACGCGACTTGGAGGTCCACAAGATTAGCAAATGATGAAGGTATTCTCCCGGTGAGTCCAGAACTATCCATGTAACTGCAATACATGTTACAAGCAATCATCAGCTGCGCAAGATTTGCAGCAGGAAATAAAGAATACTTGACAAGTATCACACTCACATTTGCAGTAGTTTTGTACAACTCCCAATCTCCTCTGGTAAAGAACCAGAAAAGTTATTTGAACTAATACCACTGCGCACAAAATTAACAGAGATAAGTAAGGAAGCATTCAGATTGATCATCTATAAAGAAAGAATGAAGAAGAAGAAGAAGAAGAAGCTCACAGTAATTTTAAATTTGTAAGCAAACCAATTTCCTTGGGAACAGGGCCAGACAAAGCATTGATCCCAAAAGTCCTAGTTGATAAATTAACAGTTGGAGCGTGAGAGACAAGAAACAAACAAAATGAGAGGGAAGTAGAAGAAAGTTTCATTCAATCAAGTCAATAGCCTTTAATTACATCCATTCCATTCGAGTCAAATTCCCAATCGCAGGAGGAAGAGAGCCAGTGAGATAATTTTGACCCAGGTTCCTGAAAGATGTGATTGTTGAGGTGATAAATATCTGAAACTTGTGAAGAAAGAAAAGAAAAAGGTAATAAATTAGTCAAGGGAAGTCTATACAGATTTGTGAGGTAAATCAAAGTCCAGAGCTGAGGAGGTATAGGTCCTACAACATCTATCGCATAAACCTTGCTGTGAAAATGAAAGTGAAACAACAACATGACAACTTTCGATTGGTGAATGCAGTGGCGAAAGTAGGTGAAGTGATACGGTGTCAAATGACACCATATGATTATGAAATTTGTTTATAGTTTATTAAGGTTTAGTAGTATTGACACCATGTTAAAATTATAAATGAACCCATAAGTTATTTCTTTTCCCAATCTTGTCTTATTTAGTCTGAACCCATAAAGAAATTTTAGATATTTAGTCTATATTTTATTGTTGGATTTTCATATTAACATATTTAAAAAGACTTAAAGTTGGCTTTTAATTTAATTTTAACTACTACACATAATATTTTTTTTAAAAAATCTTCTTTGAAACTTTTATCATATTTCCCACCAAAATTCTGCAACTAAAATGTTTTTTTTTTAGAATTATGATTTGAACCCGGTTAAAAATATTCCTGGATTCGCCACTGGGTGAATGCACAAAGAGCCAAAAAAATAAAATAAAAAAGGAAAGAAAGAAAGAGGATCGAGGCTGTACAGGGCGGTGATGCGACAGAATGTGGAGTTGGCGAAATTGCATCCGCATTTGATGAAAGGGTTATAGGGTTTGTCGTCGATGGTGATGCTGTCGTCGATGGCGGCGCCGGAGCAAAGTTCGCCGCTGATGTTCCATTCCTTGGGCGCCTGGATCTTCCAAGCCGCGAAGATGGAGTTCAGAGATGTCGCTGTGTTTGTTAGGAGTCCACAACACAACACAACCGTACGTAGACGTCAATTTAACAAAACAAGCAACAAATAACTCTATGTTTTTGATTCAAAGACAGACAGACCTTCGTCGGGATCGGTTCGGTTTTGAGCTCGAACCATGTGAACCGAACCGGAGATACACACGAGGAACCAGGCGGTGATGAGCAGCAGACACGTGGGCATCTTCGACGACGGAGGTTATTACTCTCTCTTTTTTGGTTCAGAAGACACAAACAGTGGTTCTCCTTGCTTACTTACTGCTACTAAAAGTTTGTGTGTGTGGGGGTCCTTTAAATTCAGTACTCTGCATTGACTTACTATATTCATTGACTTGTATAATTGTATTAGTGTGTAGTGTGTGGACCAACCAAAAGTCCAAAACCATAATTACGGATCGATCGGTGGACCACCGTGTTTGCACTCGCACTCGCACACAACACATGATTATTAATTTGATTTTGTCCTTTTTTGTCATGGGTGTTTGTTAACTTGCTAGAGAAGACTTTTTAAGTCTTTTCTTGGCGAGACTTTTCAAGTCTTTGCCAACTTTTTTCTCTCATCTCATTAATTACCCATCATTTTATTTTCTTCGGTCCCTCCCGGTGTTACGCTCGCTAAACACTATTTGAGATATTCTTGTGAAATACCCCACCAATGAAGATTCTCTTATGGGTTTTGGGAACACAACAATGACTTGCAATCTACTATTCTTTTTCTAGCTCTTCTCTTCTGTATCAGTCTCTTCAAAATGAAGAGCTTGGATATTTTATTGCATTAAAGAAGAAAAATATTGATCCTCGTATATACAAACATCTCTATAGGCACACTATACGTAGTTATAAACTTGTAATAGACAAGGGTGGGTCTTTGTCATCTTCCCTCATTGATCTTGGTTCCAAGCATTGGCTTAGCGTCTGCGTTTCTGGGTGAAATCTCGGAACCAGGTGTCACAAAGCCCGTGGAGAAAGATTCTGTGTTTTTGGTTTGAAAGCCGCTGAGAGAGGAGCTTGTTGTGTCATCAAATCTCCAGTCGGTTAGGTACCCTGGCTTCGAGGTTATATCACTCACCTCAACATCTCCTGCAAGCATAGCCACCACTCGTGACATTGATGGTCTCAACGCATGAGATGTCTGAGTGCAAAGCAGAGCAATGCCTATCATGCGTTTCACTTCTTCCATGTTGAATTCAGACAGCTGATGATCAATTAGTTCAACTTCACGGCTTTTCTCATGTAGATTCCATGCCTGTACACAACTCATATCAGATTCTTCTGCTATTCGTGGTTGAAGTTGTGTTCATAACCGATAGGGGTTGAAGTAGATCAAATCAAATTCTATCTAACAAGCAAAGGACGTACGTACCCATTCAAGAAGATATCTTTTCTCATCATCCAGCTTCTCATCAGAGTTTGGCCTTCCACTCACTAGCTCAAGAACCACAACACCAAACGCATACACATCGGTTTTCTCTGTTAGATGCCCACGCATGGCATACTCTGGCGCAAGATATCCACTTTTGCATTGGCACGTACAAACAACAACATCATATATAAATAATTGTCTTGCAAAGAACAAAAAGTCAAGGGTTTTGGGATACTTACATTGTCCCTGCTACTCGAGTACTTATGTGGGTTTTCTTGTCGTCGTATAGTTTTGCAAGCCCAAAATCAGAAACTTTTGGGACAAGTTGAGAGTCGAGCAAAATGTTGCTGGCCTTCACATCTCTGTGTACTATGCGAAGCCTCGCCTCCTCGTGGAGGTAGACTAGACCTCTGGCTACTCCCAAACATATCTCATAACGGGTTGACCATTCAAGATTTAAAGGCTTATCCCCTGCAACAACGCAATCAATGGCAAGCGCATAATGAGTGCTTTTTTTTAGCGCACAAGCACACGGCTCAATAAAATCATGTTTTTTTAGCGTACCAAATAGAGCCTGATCAAGACTTCCGTTAGGAAGGTATTCATATACGAGCAAACGATGATCTCCTTCATAGCAGCACCCATACAGTTTTACTAAGTTGCGATGTTGAACTGCAGAAATTGCTACGATTTCTGCAACGAATTGCCCCTTCCCTTGCCGTGATCCCACCGACAACAGCTTCACTGCTACCTCTCTTCCATCACTGAGTTTTCCCTGTTTCATGTGTTATTGGAAACAAAACATATTAAAAAGGTATTACTTATACTCTGTACCTCTGATGAGTATATTCAGATATTTTGTCCATTTTGGTATGAGACTTACCTTATAAACAGGCCCAAATCCTCCCTCCCCAAGCTTGTTAGAGGGATCAAAATCTTGAGTTGCACTTTTAAGTTCAGAGTAGGTAAAGGTGTAAGGCTTTACGTCCATATTAAGTATCTCTGCAACAAAAATGTCGGTCCTTCTAAATATGATATTCACGTCTAATTATTAATCAAGGTCAAGGATGTGTTTGTGTTACATCATATATACCTTCATCATCTGTGTACCGCTTTCGTCTCTTTCGGATGATGACGATAACCACACCTGCAAATATGCTCAAAAGTGCCAGGCCAACAATAACACCCACAATAGTACCAGTCATGTTCTTTCCCTTTGAAGGTGGCTTGTTGCCCACAGTTGGTGTGAAATCTGAACATCGATATGTAACACTTGGTCATCCGGAGATAGATAGAATAAAAATCAGGCAAAATAAGAAAAAAAGAGAATTCGCCAGTTGTTGTGATACCTGGTTTTGCACTGACTGCCGATATTAATGGCCCGTAGGCCCCTTGGATAGGAATGCAACATGTTCCTTTGCCAGCCCAGAAAAGATGAATTTCCAGGTAATTTTCTGATACGTTTGTTTTATACTCTCTCTCAACTGCTCGAACAGTAGAGTCACCAGCTGTTCTGCGTACATCAAAATCCTTTTCAACAAGTCTTCCCTGCAAAAACGGAGATCTATCTTAGATTTCATCAGAATCAAATTTAGAAGAAGATAATAATAACATCAACAAGTTAACTTGGAAACCTGGACATAAATGTCGAAACGTCGTCTTCCTAAACCTTTCCATGTGTTCGAAATAGAACCAAGAATTTGTATCTCAGCAAACTGAAGTGTTACTGTATAGCCTCCATTTTCTAGCCCCAGCCCATAATACCTTAGGGAAGATGCAGAGAGTCTTGCTGACTGAAAAAGCTCTGAGTCCAAAGTGTTGATAAACTGTGACTGTGAAGTAGCTATGTATATATTTTTGTTACTGCTGGCAAAAAGCCCTACACTACTGGCTGCCCATCTCCTAACATCACTCACGACAAATGAAGCTGGTCCAAGTTCCTCGTCCTCCCTCTCAAATACTGCTCCGCTAACAGACCGTATTTGTGGGCCTCCACAGTTGATCGAAAATTCAGAATCTAGAGACCAGTCAATAGAGAAAATCATAAATCAAAAATGTTTTACAACAGTATATACATGCAAAGTTCATGTCGTTGCTCATAGGTCATAGCACATGGAGAAGGAGGAGAACAGTTATGAGGATTTATCTTTGTTTACACTTACATATTCCTTTGCCTCGATTGCAGGGGAAATTCTTCTGCAGGCATCTCAGTCCTGATAAAACACTTTTAACAAAAAGAAATGACAAGTCGTTAATACTTGCATCCTTTTGCAGGAAAAAAGAAAAGAAAAGAGCTATCCGTTAACAAAAAGCATCAATAATTTACATATATATATATATATATATATTAAATTTATATAATATAAAACAAAATCACCTATTGTCAAGACCTTCCAAGGTGAAGTTGTTAGCAACTAGGTTTCTGCACAAATAAACATACAAGTTTGTTATGATTATAATAAATAGTTCTTACAAAAAGGAAGCTTTATGCTGGACATGAAGAAGCCTAATGAATATACACGAGGAAAATATTTCTAAGATTGAAAAACAACTTGAACATAAGTAGTGTGATACAGTGGTAGTTTACTTACAGTTTCAAGTTTGNCCAACAATAACACCCACAATAGTACCAGTCATGTTCTTTCCCTTTGAAGGTGGCTTGTTGCCCACAGTTGGTGTGAAATCTGAACATCGATATGTAACACTTGGTCATCCGGAGATAGATAGAATAAAAATCAGGCAAAATAAGAAAAAAAGAGAATTCGCCAGTTGTTGTGATACCTGGTTTTGCACTGACTGCCGATATTAATGGCCCGTAGGCCCCTTGGATAGGAATGCAACATGTTCCTTTGCCAGCCCAGAAAAGATGAATTTCCAGGTAATTTTCTGATACGTTTGTTTTATACTCTCTCTCAACTGCTCGAACAGTAGAGTCACCAGCTGTTCTGCGTACATCAAAATCCTTTTCAACAAGTCTTCCCTGCAAAAACGGAGATCTATCTTAGATTTCATCAGAATCAAATTTAGAAGAAGATAATAATAACATCAACAAGTTAACTTGGAAACCTGGACATAAATGTCGAAACGTCGTCTTCCTAAACCTTTCCATGTGTTCGAAATAGAACCAAGAATTTGTATCTCAGCAAACTGAAGTGTTACTGTATAGCCTCCATTTTCTAGCCCCAGCCCATAATACCTTAGGGAAGATGCAGAGAGTCTTGCTGACTGAAAAAGCTCTGAGTCCAAAGTGTTGATAAACTGTGACTGTGAAGTAGCTATGTATATATTTTTGTTACTGCTGGCAAAAAGCCCTACACTACTGGCTGCCCATCTCCTAACATCACTCACGACAAATGAAGCTGGTCCAAGTTCCTCGTCCTCCCTCTCAAATACTGCTCCGCTAACAGACCGTATTTGTGGGCCTCCACAGTTGATCGAAAATTCAGAATCTAGAGACCAGTCAATAGAGAAAATCATAAATCAAAAATGTTTTACAACAGTATATACATGCAAAGTTCATGTCGTTGCTCATAGGTCATAGCACATGGAGAAGGAGGAGAACAGTTATGAGGATTTATCTTTGTTTACACTTACATATTCCTTTGCCTCGATTGCAGGGGAAATTCTTCTGCAGGCATCTCAGTCCTGATAAAACACTTTTAACAAAAAGAAATGACAAGTCGTTAATACTTGCATCCTTTTGCAGGAAAAAAGAAAAGAAAAGAGCTATCCGTTAACAAAAAGCATCAATAATTTACATATATATATATATTGTATTAATTACTCTTTCAAGCAAATAATTATAACAAAATCACCTATTGTCAAGACCTTCCAAGGTGAAGTTGTTAGCAACTAGGTTTCTGCACAAATAAACATACAAGTTTGTTATGATTATAATAAATAGTTCTTACAAAAAGGAAGCTTTATGCTGGACATGAAGAAGCCTAATGAATATACACGAGGAAAATATTTCTAAGATTGAAAAACAACTTGAACATAAGTAGTGTGATACAGTGGTAGTTTACTTACAGTTTCAAGTTTGGTAAGCTGACCCATGAAGGAAGATCTCCAGACAAATCATTGTACGACACATCTCTGTCAGTAGAAAAGAACAATAATTAGGATCTACAGAATGTTATTCCAAAACTGTTTCCTGATTATCTTGGCAAGTATTCCTCGTCACCAAGAGTAACAGGTGTACAAAATTTGAGTCTATATGAGAGGATCTGTTAACAAACCCTCCAATGAATTATAAAAGACTTTGTCACTCACATATTGCTCAAAGTCTGCCTCTTTTGAGTGGGCAAAGAACCATTCAACGTGTTGTTTCCCAGAAACCTAATTTGAAGACATGAGCGTTTTCCCACGATTCTCAAGGTACTGTAATTGTACACAAAGACCCAAAACAAGTAGAAAACATATCATCTTACAAGTGAGTAAGTCGACTTAAGTTGAAAAGTGAAGCCGGAATTGGTCCATGTAGTTTGTTGAAGCTTAAATCACTGGAAAACACAGACACCAAGTTAAGTAGACAAATTAAACCATTTGTGCTGAGCAATGGATGAGGAAAAATAAGAAATGATTTTATCAGCAATTGGATCATTTTGTCGGTGACTTTCAGAAATCCTCTCACTCCTCTTACAAAAACAGGTTTCAGAACATTTGGGGAAACTCACTGACATATGTACTTACACTTGCTGCAAATTAGAGAATTCTCCGATAGTAGATGGTATCGTCCCAGTGAGATTGCTGTTCCTCAATACTCTGCGACATATATTATAAATATTAAATACACGGAGGAGAGAGAAACAGCTCAGCAATACATCAATCTGATCATGAATAGGATAAGAAGTTGAATCGAAGTTGCCTTACAATGTACTTAGAGATTTCATGTCTTTGATGAATTCAAGGGTAGAGCTTCCATTGGATATATCACCAAGCCTCCTACATTAATTTAGAAAAGGAGTGGTTATTGATTGACTATGTGGAGGGAGGAGGAAAAGAGAGCGAAAGAAAGAGTTAACAAAAATGATCCTGAGACCAATGCAACAACACATACAGTTCTGTCAAAGAAGTTAAGTTGGAAAAAGAGGACGGTATCGGACCACTCAGACCAGTTCCAAAAATTCTCCTGCAGTGGAACATGTAACGATCGTTGATTACTTGATTCCCAAATTTAAAAATAGTCATAGAATTCTCCAATTAACAGAGAAAGGATAAAAACAAGAGCTGTGGAACAAGTCCATTATTCTGTAAAAATAAAATAAGAAAAATGGAAACATCTTACAAGGTAGTAAGTTTGGTCCACTGTCCTATAAAGTCTGGTATCCTTCCTGTAACTTCGAGATCCGTAATCCAGCTGGTGAGAGACAGAAAGAAAATGGTAAAGTAAACAGTAAGTAGAAGTCCAAAGAGAAACAAAACTTATATGGGAATTCAATAAAATCTTACGCGTCTTGCAGGTCCACAAGACTAGCAAATGATGAAGGAATTGCCCCTCTGAGTCCTGAGCTTCCTATGTACCTGCAACAAATCATTAATAAAGGCAACAGTTTTTAGTTGTTGGTGAAACACAAGATGAGTTTGAAGGTTAAGCTTTCATGTAAACAGGAAAGGAATACATGAATGACAGATACACTCACAGTTTCTCTAGTTTTGTACAAGTCCCAATCTCAGGTGGTATAGAGCCGGAAAAGTTATTGGAACTAATCCCACTGCAGAATAATCAAGAGATAGGTATAAGGAAGGAAGGAAGCAAGCAAGCAAGCATCAAAATCGAAGAGAAAAAGGTGGAGAGAGAAGCTTACAGGGATCTTAAATCCGTAAGCAAACCAATTTCCTTAGGAACAGGGCCAGACAGTGCATTGATCCCAAAAGTCCTAGTTGACAAAAAAAGCAGCAATTGGAGGGTGAGAGATGAGAGATGTTAGGGATTTGCAAACATGTGTGTGACTTGGAACAAGGAAGGTTACATGTATTGCATTCGAGTCAGATTTCCAACAGCAGGAGGCAGGGAGCCTGTGAGAACATTTTGACCCAAGTTCCTGAGAAACACAATTCAAGTGACAACATTCTCAACAGGGAAAGGTGTGAAAGCGAAGCAATCGATAAGATAAGATGGTTGTGATTTGTGAATACAGATTGGTGAGGTATTGCAAAGTCCAGAGCTGTGGAGGAATAGGGCCTACAACTTCCAACGCATAAACCTTGCTGCATATAATTACACAAAGAAGTAACAAATGAGGAGAGGAGAGAAGTGGATAAGCAAGGTAATGACAAAGAAGCAACAGATGCGATAAGCAATGACGTACAGGACGGTGATGCGGCAGACTGTGGAGTTGACAAAATTGCAGTCGCATTTGATAAGAGGGTTGTAGGCTGGGTTTGTGTCTGTCACACTGTCTTCGATGGCGGCGCCGGAGCAGAGTTCGCCGCTGATGTTCCAATCCGCCGGCGCCCGCCTCCCCCAAGCCGCGAAGATGGCGTTCAAAGCTCGCGCTGTTTCATGTTTATCAGCGCATCATATATGTCAACAAAATACACACTAATTACAGTACTCGCGAACCATATGGAGCCTAATCGAAACTAAACCGGGATTATTAGAAACAAAAATAGAAATACGCTCTTATGATAGCGATGCATCATCGGTTTTATCAAAATTAGGATCCGAACCAAGGAAGCAGACTCGTTTAAGGCCTAGCTACAATATATGCACACAGCCTACAATCCAATCAAATTATCGATTGTTGGTCAAGTCAGACAGACACACCTTCTTCGGGATCAGTAGTGGCTCCGGTTCGGTTTTGAGCTCCAACCCGGTCAACCGAACCGGAAATACACAACACGGCGAGGAGCAGACAGAGAGACCACCGGAGCCTGAGCATCGTCGATGTGAGAAAGAGAGAGAGAGAGAGAGAGAGAAAGACGGATGATGCTTTCAACAACACCAAAAACACGACTAGCAGGGGATACGACTAAACTAGTAGTATTACCATGGTGTTTATTATGTGTTTGACTTTGTAGAGAAAATATGCGTTTTGCTTAATTTGAATTAACTAATGCTCCTCTCATTAATTAAAGGACCAACACGCTAATCCTTTCTTTGGAGTGCACGCGCCTCCGTCGACTTCAACAATGGCGGCTGTGTTGAAAGTTGCAACCAGCACCAGCACCACCACCTTGTTCTAGGGAAAGTATAATATAATGTAGAAAAATGGGACCAAATATGTGTACTAAATATTCAGTCAGGGGACAAAGGTTTGCTGCTCCTCGTGTTGCTATCAGTTTGCATATGAAGATGAGAGACTTGAGGTAGAGAGAGAGTCTGTATGTTTCATTCATTTACCAAGCACAACCACACCACGCTTCCTCTTTATTGTTTGTTAAACTGTGAGATAAGATTACAAGCCAAATAAATAAAGCTACATGTCTCAAGTTTCATCAAGTCCTCGTCCATGTTCAACTTGGGACTTGGAAGGATTGTTGTCAGGCAATATCCAGCTCGAGCTCGTTGAACCACTCATGAAGCTCATTGCATTCTCGAATGTTCTCTCAGACACGTACCCTGGCTTCGCATTGGCTTCCGTTACCTCCACATGCCCTGTCAGCATCCCCACCACTCGTGACATTGCTGGCCGTATCTCATGATCTGTTTGTGTGCACAAGAACGCTACCCCTATCACACGTTTCACTTCTTCCTCCTCGTACGCTGTTAGCTCCGGATCCACCACTTCCACGTCACGATTCTCTTGGTGTAGCCTCCATGCCTGTCAAATACAGAACAAAAAGACAACGAACGTTACGCTACATTTCCTTTCCTTTCACCGATCATATATAATAAGTAAGATTAGATACCCACCCATTCGAGAAGGTATTGTTTGTCGTCATCCATTTCCGGAGAGGAGTTGGGCCTTCCGCTGACAATTTCCAGAGCCACTATGCCAAAGGCAAACACATCCGTCTTCTCCGTCAGCTGTCCAAGCATCACGTATTCTGGTGACAGATATCCTCTGCATTGTAACAATCAGCAACACCAGTCGTTAGTCTTTTATCCTTAAAACCCATTTGACACACAATACAAATCGTTTTTATTTACATTGTCCCTGCAACTCGGGTACTTATGTGCGTCTTCTTATCATCAAACAGTTTGGCCAACCCAAAGTCTGAGATTTTTGGTATCAGATCCGAGTCCAGCAGAATATTGCTTGCCTTCACATCCCTATGCACTATTCGAGGGCTCGACTCCTCATGCATATATGCTAATCCTTTTGCTACTCCCAAGCATATCTCCAAACGCTCTGACCAACCAAGCTGCAAGCTGTTTTCCTCTGCGACAGTCATGCAACTCTGTAAGAGACAATTACTGGTGGCTTTTTAACTAAAATTGTTCATAAGCATACCGAAGAGAGCTTGATCTAGACTTTTGTTTGACAGGTATTCATATACAAGCATACGCTGGTTTCCCTCAATGCAGCATCCATACAGTTTTACAAGGTTGCGATGCTGAACTGCTGATATAGTGGCAATCTCCGCAACAAATTGACCTTTGCCTTGCCTCGATGCAACTGACAATTGCTTCACGGCTATCTCTCTTCCGTCGTTCAGTTTTCCCTGTACCACTCGATATTCTTAGAATACAACGAACGGAGAAATTACATAACCTTGTATTACACTATCGTTTCATCACATTCTGCAAAGGGTCTTACCTTGAAAACAGGTCCAAATCCTCCCTCCCCAAGCTTGTTGGAAGGATCAAAATCTTGAGTTGCAGTTTTGAGTTCTGAGTAAGTAAAGGTGTAGGGCCTTATGTCCAGACTGTGTAGCACTGCATACGAATATTTAGTTGTAAAGAGCCAGCTTGAAGGTTACAGTTGTTCACCATTCGACTTTAATATTACTGCCACAGCTTAATTAAGACTCTTTCTTTACCTTCTTCATCAGCCGCCCTTTTTCTTTTCCGACGGATGATTAAAATGATAGCAATCACCAAGATACTTACCATTACTGCTCCTAAAGTGGCCCCTACAATGATACCAATTTTTGTCTTGGATTTCGAGGGCATCTTATTATCTACAGTAGGTACGAAATCTGCAGAGAGCAAAAGCAGGTAGTGAGAAGAGACATTTGACTCTACCCAAGATAATGAAAGTCTTTGGTGTTTACCTGGCGTTGCACTGATAGCTGAGACTAACGGCCCATAAGTCCCTTGAGCAGGAATACAACATGTCCCTTTTCCAGCCCAGAAAAGATGAATGTCTATGTGATTTTCAGTTACATTTGCTTTATATACTCTTTGGATTACCCGGGCAGTAGAACCGTTTGTCGTTCTGTGCATATCAAAATCCTTTTCAACAAGTTTCCCCTGAAAAACAAAAGGAAATCAAACATCTGAAACCGTTTCAGAGAGAAGAGATTTCATGAAAAGTTGAGCCTTATAATGCTGCATCTTGAACGAAGTCTATACACCAGACATTTGATACAAACAAATATCTTATATGCCAAGGATTTCCTCTCTCTTATTCAAGATGTTACCACGTGCATATTTTCATGTTCATTTAATTTCGCAAAAACAAAATTATTAATTCACAGACAAGAAGAAGTCAGCGTTTGAAAGAATATGGCCGGAAGCTCAGTGAAAGTAGTAGAGACCTGGACATAAATGTCGAAAAGTCGCCTTCCAAGACTTCCCCAGGTATTAGAACCTTGTATTTGTATTTCACCAAACTGAACCGTTACACTATAGCCTCCATTTTCCAGCCCCAGTCCGAAATACCTTAGAGAAGATGCAGAGAGCCTCGCTGATTGAAAAAGTTCGGAGTCCCGAGTGTTTGCGAATCGTGTAGCTGAAGTAGCTATGTATTGATTACTGTTACTCCCAGTAAACAGTCCTACATTGCTGACTGCCCATCTCTGCGTTTTACTTACGAAAAATGAAGCTGGTCCAAGCTCCCCATCGTCCTTCTCATACAGTGCTCCACTACTGGACCTGATATCCGGGCCTCCACAGTTGACCGAAAAGTTGAAATCTGGAAGAGAGACGCATCTTAACCAACGTATTCTCTAATATATGAATCCTAACATTGTCAACGCCAAAACTGAAATAAGTTTCAAAACACCATTTAGATACACTTACATACTCCTTTCCCTCGATTACAGCGGAAATTCTTCTGGAGGCAGTCCAGTCCGGGAAAAACCCTTTTAGAAAAGAAGAAACAGTACTATATGAGAAATATGGCATGTAGATAAACATTTGTATGCTTGATAAATAGAAATCATGTAGATTTATGAAGAGCGCAAGATTGACGAATTTTACCTTCTGTTCGAACCTCCCACTGTAAAGTAGTTGGCAATCAGGTTACTGCAGAGTAACACACAAAAAGGCTTTGTTTCAGCAAAACAGTTAATTCTGTGCCTTGAAATCTAAGCACATAGTTCCCGAACATACAGTTGCAAGTGTGGTAGGCGAACCCAAGAAGGAAGATTCCCTGCTAGATCGTTGTATGACACATCTCTGCACATAAAGCACTTTAAAATAAGTTGACAGGTGTAGATGGTACTCGGAGAGAAGATACATATATCTGCTACTCACAGATTGCTAAGAGAGGGACTCTTTTGCGTGGGTAAGGAACCACTCAACTTGTTATTTCCAAGAAACCTAAATGAAGGTAACAACATTTATACTTGGTTAACCAGAAAAGTTTGAACAAGAGCATGTTACGGGAGAAAAAGAATATATTCTTACAAGTGAGTAAGTTGCCTTGAGTTGAAAAGTGAAGCTGGAATTTGCCCAGTTAGGTTGTTAAAACTCAAATCACTGGAGAGAAAATAAAGTAGATTACTTGAAGTTATATTGGGTCTAGGTGCTTTATGTAAGAAAGGATATCATCTCAGTTTAGTAACAAAGAATGCATAGGGCAATTTTTGAGCATCATCTTAAGATCCGGAATAACATTTGGTCACATACTTACAGTTGTCGCAGCTGAAAGTCATCTCCAATATTGGAAGGTATTGTGCCTGTGAGATTATTGTTCCGTAATACTCTGCATGATATCTAAAAATGTCAAAAGAATACAGGGGAAAGGGAAGAGCTGAAGGAGTTCAAAAGTCCATCAAGATTAGGAAAAGGTGAAAGAAGTCCTTACAGGACACTCAGAGATTTCATGCCGTGGATGAATTGAAGAGAAGAATTACTATTGGATATTTCACCTAATCTCCTGCATATTGGATGTCTATCAGTGTGGAGAGAAAGAAGAAGCTGAAAAGTGAAGGAGAAGAGAACATAGATCCAGCACTTACAGTTCTGTTAACGAAATTAAGTTTGCAAATGTAGATGGAATTGGACCACTCAAACTAGTCCCCAGAATTCTCCTACACCAAAGCACGTGTGAAACGTTGAGAGTAAAGCCTTGAGTATATAGAATAGTGTAACATCAAGTGTTTGATTGTTAAAACCGGCTCTATCCGTAGATAAAGAATTTGAGATAGCATAAAACAAAGAAATAAGATTGAAGAGCTGCAGTATGAAATTTCTCACAGAGTAGTAAGTTTGGTCCAATTTCCTATAAAGTCTGGTATCTGACCTGTAAGATGGATATCATTAATCCAACTGAAATGACATGAGAAAAAAAAGAAGAAAAAAGTCAATCCGAAGTTATGAAGATGCTTATGTTTCAAAATGAGCTGCCATTGGCAGATGCAATACTGTATATAACAAGATACAAGTCTTACGCTTCCTCCAAGTCCACAAGATTGGCGAAAGATGAAGGAAGTTCACCAGTAAGTCCTGAACTTCCAATGTACCTATCAGAAAAGCGAAGGAGTGTTGAGGCTGGAAATACTAAAAAAGTTGAATGGAACAGCAAAGCATTGCAGAAACTTACATTTTGACAAGCCTGGTGCAGTTGCCAATCTCAGGTGGTAGAGAGCCGGAGAAATTGTTCATATCAATGGCTCTGGAGAAAGAGAGCTAATAAATAAATAAAATACTATGGGCGAGAAGTAATATAAGGAAAAGGGGATGAGAAAGTAGTTACAGAGATCTTAAATCAGTGAGAAGTCCGATTTCTTTGGGAACAGGTCCGGACAATGCATTGGCCCCAAAAGTCCTAATAAGAAGAAAGAAATGGAAATGCTCATCATACACATGTTTGTGTGGGAAATGGAAAACCTAAAGAGTGAAAAAGGTTGAGAGGCCTCACATCCACTGCATGGAAGTCAGGTTTCCAATGCCAGGAGACAGGGAACCACTCAAGAAATTCTGATTTAGGTTCCTGCGGAGGAAAGAAAATCGGGAAAATAAATTGGAGAATGCAAAGAATGATTGGAAAGCAGGGTGATGCAAAAGCGTACAGATTTGAAATGTAAACGAGACTCCAGAGCTCATCGGGAATTGGTCCGGCAATGTCCATACCACGAGCCCTCCTGAGATACACACACACACACACAACGTACAGCAGTAGTTGTATATTTCAAACATGAGAGTGGGTGGGTGGGGCAATGCGTCGAACAGGTGGAAGACGGAAATGAAATGAAAGGAAACGTACAGAGCGATGATGCGGCAGATGGTGGAGCCGAGGAAAGAACAGTCGCATTTGATGAGAGGGTTGAAGGCTAAGTTGTCGATGCTCACGCTGTCTTCGATGGCCGCTCCGCTGCACAGCTCGCCGCTGATGTTCCATGCGTCCGTCGCTGTTATCTTCCAAGTCGCGAACATCTTGTTCAACGCCCGAGCTGGCTTTCATTTCCACACAATACAAATTACAAAGGTTATGTTAGCTTAGCTTACTTTCTTCTCCATCTTCTTCCTATTGTGAATAATAAGAGTCCGCTCTATATATGTATAACTTGTCATCATCATCATCGTCTTAACTCTCATCAATTAAGTCTTTTTGAACCTGAAAACTAATAAATATCAAAATTGCCAAAAATGGGTACATGATGTGATCTTGCTAATTTTGAAAAAACTAAGGGAAGTGAAGCACGATTTTGTTTTATTTTAGCAAGTATAATGGAGGACCTTCGTCGGGATCAGTAGTGGCTGTGGTCTGGTTCTGTGGTCGAACCAAATGAAAGAAACAAGACATGGACACGAACCAAACTGCGACTGAGAGATTCAGAGACCTCGGCATCGGCATCGTCGTCAGAGAGACGGATCCAGAAGCAGAGGCAGAGCAGACAAGCCAACTTGACTAAACTCGCCATCTCTGATTTTGGGCTTAACTTTTAAAACTAGCGTGCGTGGTCGTCTTGCTATTATTTTACTATACTAGTTCTTATTTATTTTCAAATAAAACTGTATGTGACCATGACCAATTCCACCATGTGGGTTTATCTTTTTGGCTATTTGGTCTTTTGTTAGAAAAAAAAAAAAAAAAAAAAAGTGTCTGAACGCTCTCCTTCAACCACGCTATTCATCATTAGTGGTTAAATCATATACTTTCTTAAACTAAAAAATAATTAATGGTGGATTGAAGTGTATGCCCCCATTTCAGAAAAGAAACAAAACTGCTAATTTGGAACCGGAACCGGCTTCAAACGAGGTGGATCAATTGAACCGTTGACCAAGACAGTTCTGCTAATTTGTCCTTTACTACTTATCCTCATGTCAGCAGCTGCTTCATTTTCAAAGCTGTTTATGTCACCGTTGAATACGAATACGAATACGAATACGATTAGCTAGTAGAAGAATAATATATCCACAAAACTTGATGCAATCAATATGAGTAGGTCAACGGATGTCTGACGAAAGCAATCTTTCTAAATATATGATTTATGTGCATGTCTTCTAGATTTGGCGGTATATGACTAGATTTGGTCGAAGATGACGATGAGCTAGCTAGCTTATCAACTCAAAAGGTTTCATCACACTCTTATTTACCAAAATACCCTCGAAGGTCCATGGGTGGAGTGGGCCCAAGTCCATTTTCTGTTCCACGCCTTGATCGTCCATATTGGGCTCTCTGTGCAAACAATGTTTCCTGATCCCTTTTAAACTGAAAAGCCCATTTTCCTGCTGCGCTATCGTACGTATCAAGTAACCAGTAGTATGTATATAGGTTGAATTGAAGATTCACCATACTAGTGAAGGTTCACTTTTTAACCTTTCCACTCTAATTTATTCATAGTTTGTTATTCTCAACTCATGGAAACAAGTCTTTTATGTTGTCTAAGTTTATCTATCTTGGGTTTGACGTAATCTTTAAGCTTCCACTTCTCAAGCTATTTGGTTCCACGGCTTCAGATTATTTTCCTCTGAACGGCACCTTCTTAATCCTTGATTCGTTGCTAAGTCTAACTGTAATTATTATAACTTCGTATCCTTTTCCTCTCTTGCTTGAATGCTTGATTATCGATTGTTCGGTGTTATTACAAATTTTTTTTCTTTGTAAACAGTATTCCGTGTAACCATTTCTAAAACATATTTCATTGTCAAAACAATAAAGTCGTCAGCTTTAAAACAAAAGTAAGTACGTAACACATATTTTTTATATAAAAAAACTACCACAATGAATATATTAGAGATTTAGAGGTATTCAAATAAGCTAAAGCTCGATTACTCTGATAATCTGATAAATCATTAGATAACGTTGGTGGTGGATATTTTTTAACGGACCAAAACACGTACGCGTGCAGAGTCGAAGGCCGGCTCGTGTAGAGTTGCACAAGTAACACGACGTCGCGAGGAACAAGTGCTAAACATTACAATTTACACACAAGCTCTTCATTTCCTCTATGTTTGTTTACTTATAATATTAATTACGTCATTGCAAGTTGACCACTCGAAAAAATATAATAAATTGTTATATACTATCTATTTATACGTAATTGCCAATCATTATAAGTTTCATGTTTATATTATTTATTATATATCTCTAGACCCACATGTTAGGTCACGTTTTTAGACTTAACTTTATGTCCAATCTTTAGTCTAATACTCCCTCCGTTTCAAATTAGGTGTCGTTTTGGCAAAATGTATCTGCAAATATTTGGACATATCTACAATGCAAAACATGTCCAGATACGTTCAAATATTTACAGATTCATTTTGCCAAAATGACAACTAATTTAAAACGGAGGGAATATATCAATAGATGTATGTATCCGTATGTACGTACGTACAAAAAAAGAAGTACGTATGCTGATTTTGATACGGAGGTGGGAGGCATGGATTATACTCGTACTTCAAGACAATTATTTAGTACTTAATTGCTAAGAAGATGACCTCATAACACATTTAACTCCACTTAATAAAATAAGACGACAAGAAATAGGAATTGCTATTTTAGTACATCATCATGCATAAAGCCTATATAATAAAATGACAATGCCTTTTTATTAAAAATATAAAATGACATACTTACGTGTTTAAATGAAGTAGATAAGTATATACGGATCGATGACAATGGGTTCTTGAACAATCTTGAATCAGAGCCTGGTGGCGTGGGTTTGAAGTCTAACCATGCCATGCCATATTTTAATTTATAAGAAAAACACCGCTTTATGATTTGATCAACTATATTATTATATTGATCAATGCACCATAATTTATTTTCTACGCAGTTACAGATTATTTATCATGTCAATGTCATTTTTTGGATGTGCAGCTTCGTGTCAAACTTTGAGTTCTAGAAGGAATTCTCATGCACATCGTCGACATCGATCTTTGATGTTATAAAATTTCAGGAAATGGGGTTTGGATTACAGGCGATGAGCCTTAAATGGGGTTTAACCAGATAAATAATCGTCATCTCATGTAGGTTTCACGGATGTTAATTAGTCAGAGAGCGAATCCCACAGTGTTAGCTTGAAATTAAACCCAATCTCACAACTGACTATAGGTCTATAGCTATATATATGTGTGGTTCGGATGGAGAAGCATTTAGTATAAGCATATAGATAAACAGATGATAACCTACAATGATGGATGTGAATTAAGTTAGAAATATTTACTATGTTTAAATTGGTGTTACTTTTTGTTTGTGCGGCGTGACCCTTGTGTACATGCTTTTTATACACACACGCAAACGTCAATTTCTCCGCTCTCAAATTTACAATACTAGACTTGTACTTGGTTTTGCGAAAACTAGTAGACTTGTTGTACTTGGCAAATGAAATTATAAACTCCAAAATGTTACTGCATATATTATTTATAAAATTGGATATAATCTAAAGAGTAAAGACATAAAGCTATTTAAATATTTCCGTGTTTATTCAAACTTTACACATGAATAACTAATTAAGAAAAAAGCGTAATCAGCTAGATTGCCGTTCACATCCGTACATTCCATGCTTTTTGGTGTGTCTCCGAGTGAAGTGCCTCAAATGATTAGCAAGAATTTTTCAATAATATTTTTCTTGAATGAAGTGAAAAAAAACTAATCTCTAATTGATAATTAGAAAACATATGACGTAAGGGTTATATCTATGACATATATACATATATATATATATAGGAGCTCGTACTAAGAATCAAGACACAATTGCACAAAGACCCAAAGATAGGAAAACTCAAGGCCAGCGAGAGAGAAAGAGAGCGATATTAAGAATGGGGAAAGGAAGAGCGCCATGCTGTGACAAGAGCAAAGTGAAGAGAGGGCCATGGAGCCCTCAAGAAGATCTCACACTCATCACTTTTATTCAGAAACATGGCCATCACAACTGGAGATCTCTTCCCAAGCTAGCTGGTCAGTGATCTTTGTCCCTCTCACTCTCTCTCTCTCTCGATGACATGCATGCATGCTCGTTTCAGTAAAAGTATACATATAGACATAGAGTATTATTAGTTCGGAATGTTGATGATTAAATGTAAATGAATGATATAGGACTGATGAGATGTGGCAAGAGTTGCCGGCTGAGATGGATAAACTATCTGAGACCGGACGTGAAGCGAGGCAACTTCACCAAAGAGGAGGAAGATGCCATCATCCACTTCCACCAAACCCTTGGAAACAAGTTTGTATACATATACCTTGGCCTAGCTAACATATATCTTCCTTGCAATTTGTAATAAGATAACATATATATAACGTACGTAGAGATTAATTTGATAAATCTGATCAGGTGGTCAAAGATCGCGTCTTTCTTGCCTGGAAGAACCGACAATGAGATCAAAAACGTGTGGAACACTCATCTCAAGAAACGAATCTCTCCCAATTCATCTCCCTCCTCCTCTTCTTCTTCTTCATCCATCTCTTGCACTCATGATCAAACCGATCACGACAAGAATTGTGCCATCGTTCACGAAGAAGAGAATTACGAGAGCCGAGACTCGCCGTCTTCGTCTCATCTTCACGACAAGTGCATGGACACAAAGCAAGAGCTTTGTGAGGAGGCTAATGAACTCCACGAGATCCAACTCCTTCTCGACCATGACGACTCTGATGATATAACCTCCGCATATCTTCAAAACAAGGAAATGCTGTTTCCACTAGACTCGCTTCTTCATCACCACGAGGCTCACATTTCAACGGAGTTGTTTCAGAATACAAGCGAAGATCTGGTGACCAAACCACAATCATTTGATCATCTCCAGCCATGCGAATTTGAAGAAATAAACGGAGAATTTGACTTGTGGACGCAGCTGGTTGAATCAAACTCGCCTGTGCCTAGTCATAACAATGAGGAGTACAAGGAGTGGTTCAACTTTATGGACAACCAAACTTACTTGGATGACTTTACTTTGGTCGGAGATGTATGTCTATGAATATGCATGGTCAGAAATCAGAATTAATGCATGATGAGTGTTGTATCCAGTTTTGAGTAAACTGATGCATAATATCTTCAACCATTACAATATGCCCAAATTAAATTATCCAGAGTAACATATTGTAAATGAGAATGACTAGTTTTTGCACCCAACAAAAAAAAGGTAAACGAATTGGAACTTTGGAAGCAAAAATTAATCAAGGCTATAGCCTATAGCTAATAAAACATTGCTTCGGGAAATCGGGAAACTGCGACAGAGACGACCATCCATCATGTTTCATGTGACATGTAGGCTGTAGCTTCCGCTTCTATAAATCTTTTACATATAATAAAATGACCTTACCCACGCGTACGTCACGTGTTCCCCCGACTTTTTCTAGAATTAAAAAAAAAAAAAGACATTTCTAGAATTAGCGATGATACCCAATGAAAAGGGCACAGGTGGCAGTGGGGTGCACTCCCCTTACCTCAGAACCCCGCATTGTCGACACGTGTCGGATACCACCAGAAACGCTTCTTCCATAATTAAATAAAAAGCTACCGGCGACTCCTTCCATCTTCTTACTTTTAGTTCTAAGTTCAAGAATTTCGGTTTCTTCAGAGAGAGAGAGTGAGAGCAAGAGATCTCACTCAGTCACTGGTGGTGGTAGGTCTCTCTTCCATTTTCTGTTTCTATGAGCCTAGTCCTCTGCTCTTCTCTTCTCTTCTCTCTCACCTTCTTCTTCTTCTTCTTCTTCTTCTTCTTCTTCTTCTTCTTCTTCTAATTTTGTTTCGTTGTTTCGATTGTTTCTTTCTCCTGTTTCTTTATTAGTAGCTCAATTTGCTTATGCTGCGTTGCTTCGCAAATTCCGTGTTTAACAAGCCGATGTGAAGCAGCATCATCCCTGAGTTTAATCCCGGCATGCATGCGCTTAGAGTCTTTCTTTCCAAGCTTTTTTTGATGCATAGTTAATCCCCAACTTTGGAATCTAGTAGTATATAATTGCTGCTCAAATGCACTCTTGGTTGTGTCTTTCTGTTGCAGTTGTGAAGAAGCATTCTTGATGGAGCAGTCAGAAGAAGCCCAGGCGCAACAGGGAGCGATGGACTATGCACCTCCTCGTGCAATCTCCTCTTCCAACGCAACTGCAACGCATATGGCCTTCCAGCAAGCCAACCACTTCCACCAGCAGCAGCAGCAACAACAGCAGCAGCAGCTCGGCATCTTCTGGGCTAACCGAATGCAAGAGATCGAGCAGACCACCGATTTCAAGAACCACACCCTTCCCCTTGCTCGCATCAAGAAGATCATGAAAGCCGATGAAGACGTGCGTATGATCTCAGCGGAGGCCCCTGTCATTTTCGCCAAGGCCTGTGAGATGTTCATCCTCGAGCTTACCCTGCGTGCTTGGATCCACACCGAGGAGAACAAGAGGAGGACCTTGCAGAAGAACGACATCGCCGCTGCCATTTCAAGGACTGACGTCTTTGATTTCTTGGTGGACATAATCCCCAGGGACGAGCTCAAAGAGGAAGGCTTAGGGGTCACCAAAGGCACCATGCCACTACCAGCGCCTTACTATTACTTGCAGCAGCAGCCGCAGTCGCAGAACCAGATGATGCCCTGGCCCCAGGGGAATCCACCAGACCAACACCATGAATGATTGTGAATCACATCACTCTTGAATATTTGTCCTTTTCTCAAATCTTAGTTAAATAATAGTCTGGCTGTATCGTAGAAAGGTAGCTCTGCTTTTCCTTTGATAGGGATTGTTGGGTTTGCAGTCTCAAGTAACCAACCCAACACTGCCTTCATCTTGTCTGCCATTTTCCATTTCTAGTGTGCTCTTTTGCAATGGTATATATTAATATATTCCATATGCTCTACATCTATCATCTATGGCAATGCAAGTTTCTCTTTTAATCAGCATTAAAACTAATCAACAACTAGAGTGAGTGATAGAGGTCACTGCTTGTAATAGCCAGACTTTATGCTTAGAATTTATACAAGAGTTAGACACAAGAATGCAACTATACAGCTTTTATGTGATCGCATCTTTAAGCTTGGCTCCTATTCCTCTAAAACCTTGAAACACGTATTAATAACGCAAAAGAAGTATACTATCTCGCCCTCAACATCTCCGTAAGTGAATAAATCCTTAACTTATTTGGAAATTGTTGGTGCTTCAATCATCTGCTTGGAGACATGGCTTCCTCAATCCTTCTTATCACAATGCTAAGAGGACTTCCCACTTGGAGAGCTTCTACAGCGGCCCGATGTGCCGCCTTGTGCCACTTGAGCAGATTGTAAGATTGTAGAAGGGACCACCTGGCTTGATTCGACATCTGTTTAATCAAACGTACAGAACCATAACGCTTAGCAATCTGTGCAAGAAAAACACTGACATGTCACATGAGATATAAGATGACCTGAGCCACGGATAACGGTGGTTCCAGAAGGACTGAGATGCTCCTGAAGAGATTTTCATCATTCTCCCCTCCTTCAGCCTCACCATAAACTAGCGCTTCAGCTGCAATACCAGCAAAAAGTACCATGCTATACCTAAGAGAAACTGAAGCACCATCAGGCATGTGAATCACAGGGAAAGTAGTACACCTTCATTACTGACAGTTACCTATCAAATGAGCTACCGCTAAGTCGCCCCTCGGCAATCTCACTCTCCATCTTTTGATCCCAGAACTGAGTTCCAGCCTAGAGAAACACAAGAGGATCCAACTCCGTTACTGTTCTTGGTTTCCTTTGTAGCTAAAAGGTGTATAGAATCATAGCACACTACAAGATACACTATCAAAATACTAGAGTGAATAGTGAATACTACCTGGCCTTGAACCCCCACTTGCATGGCAACGATCGGATCCAATATCACACCACGGATTGGGCAGCCCATGAGGTATGCTACACGACAGAGATGCTAGGACTGTTAGCCACAGAACGGGCAAGAAAGTTTATAAACATAGCAAAATCTTACCGACAAGAAGATGACCCGCTTCATGAACTATGATTCTACGCTTGTGTGGAGGCCAGTAGCATGATATTTGGGCTAAACAAGTACCACCAAGAAGAATGGAATCCACAAAAGCTAGACCCAAAATAACAGCAAGGTTTGGGCGCAGATCAATCTCCTGAGAAAGAAGATAGGAGATTCCACCCAGAAAAGCAGCCAGAGCAAGGCTAGAGCCACCGGAAAGACCCCACTTCTTGGGTGCAAGTTTAGTCACTAATCAAAATTGAGACTCAAAATAAGTTTCCACTTGAGTAATCAAAGCTGAGAAAAATTCAGCTGCAGACCTTCCAAGCCAGTTGCAGACTTGAGAAGAGTAGGTGTGACCTCTCTTGCGCCCTCCAAAACTGCAATACAGAAGAAAACGATTCAATTAGTTGAAAGAGTGAGGGAGGGAGACAATGGAGAATGGGCTAAAGCAGAGTACAAACCAATACTGCTCAATTTGCCAAAGTTGGGCAATAGACCTCTCTCCCTGAGAAACCTAAACGCACTCCCAACAAGTCTCATATCATCTGCATTCAAACACGCATCTAAAACCTGCCAATCCCTCTCCAATTCAAGTGCTCCCAAAACGCTTAACTGATCCGCCCTTATCGGAACGTCGCGCACTTCATCGGTTTCGATGGATTTGAGGAATCTGAGAGCTCCGGCGAGATCTTTTCTCTTGACAGCGTCGTCGTACTCCCGCCATTCCCTGAGCGCGCTCGGCCTTGGCAGCTGATGTCTGCGGAAGCCAGCGAATACTAAAGGCCGTAAGCGAGGAACGAGGATGTCGCTTTGCCGAGAAAAGGGATGAGGAGAAGGCGATAAAGAGAGATTACTCAGACATGGAGGAGACGACGGAGACAAGGCCATCATCATTCAGAGGTGGGTGATTATCTCACTGTCTCGCCGGGGAGGATGATGATATAATTATCTTATTTTGCAAATGAGCCTTATATATTGTCATATTTGTGATTTGAGTCGGGACATTTGTTTAATTATAAAACAAATCGAGGACCCGAAACTTAAAATGATGGAAATATTCCCACGTGGCGTTTCGTGATGGGATGCAAGTTGACAAAGGAGCTCTATGTAGGCGTGAGCTATCGGAACAATAAATCTATCTGCTTCTTCGCTTTCTCCTCTCCCGTCTAAGCTGCTTAGCCATGGCTATGGCGGCGTCTGTTCTCCGAGCTTCTCCGCTCTCGCTCTCGCTCAACAACAATAGTAAGTTTTCTCCTCAGCTCCTTGTTATTTTCTCCCTTTGTCCCGTTGGATTTTTCATAGTTAACCGAATCGAGAAAATTAACGTAGCTGATTGTTTTTCGTTTCAATATAGAAAATCTGCGGGTTCATAGCTCAGGATCGGTCGGTGGAATCAAAAGTCAAAATAGAGTCTCGGTGGGACTGGGGTACGGCCTTGGCAGGCGAAAGCCATCTCTGTTCATATGCCACTCCGCAATTGTAAGTCACCCAAAATTGATTTAGGGTTAAATGGAATTGAATCTATTCCTAGGCCAATGGAATTGATCCTCTCTTCCTTGCAGAACGCGAAATGCAGCGAGGGACAAACACAGACCGTTACTCGGGAGTCGCCAACAATAACTCAGGCTCCTGTCCATTGTAAGCCCTCAAATACGTTATTTGTAGCCTTATTTCTTCTCTCTGCTTCAAATCCATATTGCTTTACTGAAAAAGGGTTTAGCTATACGATTCAGGATAGTTGTTAGTTGTTAGGTTCGTATGTATGTGTATATCTTTATATCTGATGTGGCTTGTATTTCAGCCAAGGAGAAATCACCAGACCTGGATGATGGAGGAGCCGGTTTCCCACCGCGAGATGATGGAGATGGAGGTGGAGGAGGAGGGGGTGGAGGCAACTGGTCGGGTGGCTTCTTCTTCTTTGGTTTTCTGGCCTTCTTGGGTTTATTGAAGGATAAAGAGGGCGAGGAGGATTATCGAGGGAGAAGAAGGCGATGATGATGATATGGGTCATTGGATTAGTTTTGGTGCATACAACTTTTGAGAATCACACCATTTGGTTTCCATACATCTACAGGTCTCATTTTGCATCTGTTACGTTGAGTAGATGACTGGCTACATATGATATGTAAGAGACTGAAGATCTTGAGATAAAACATTGTATTAAACAAGTTTGAATCATCTTTAAGGAAAGCGAAGCAGCACATTGCCTTGTAATTTGACAACTCAGTCTGTATATCATCACGCAAACCTTTGCTTATATCACTTTGCCTCACTATTACAATCTCTCTATTTTCTCACCTGCCTCATTGTTACCCTTGGCCAGGTTCAGTTCAAGTTCGGTTCCGATCCAAACCATACACTTTACACAACCCCAAATATATTATGTACTCAAATCAATCAAAATCACTGATCAATAAAAACATATACTGTGTTGTTATGTTTGGTACTGAATTCTGTAGACCCAAAGTGATCTCCCTAATATTGGGCTAAACGAAGACGAGCAGTGAAATGAAAAAGCCCAATAAAGAGAACATAGGGCCCATTAGCGAGCGGGTAATGTGAATAAAAGCCTATCCACCCAAAGTTGCAGAGAAGAAATGGCGAGGATGGTAATGGTGGTCGTGGGTGTGCTCAAGCTACCCTTTCCCTCCCGCCTCCTCTCTTCTTGCCAAATTGCTTCTTCTTGCCGTACTCCTCAAGGTCTCTCTCTCACTCTCACTCTCTCGCTGTCTATAAACTATGCAAGCAATAAGTAGAAAATTACAATTGAATTCAGGTGTTGCTAAGGTGGTTCTTAAAAAGGGCAAGACACAGCTCTTCAAAGACGGAAGTCCAATGGTGTACAGTGGAGCCGTAGACAGGATCATTGGAAAACCGCCTCCTCAGACCGGAGATGTTGTCATTGTCGCCGATGGCACCGAGAATCCCATCGGCTGGGGTCTGTATAACTCTGTTTCTATGTTCTGTGTTCGCCTTATGCAGCTCCAACACGAATCCACCAGGTCTCCATTCTATCCTACTTTTTCATTTATATATTTATGCAATAAATTCTTGTTTCTTTATTGAATCTTGGGATCTTCTTTGGCTGGCTTTGGCTTTGTGGCAGAGACCCTTCTTGTGCACTCAACGTTGAGAAGCTTCTCCAAACTAGAATCGCTCAAGCAGTCGAGTTGCGAAAGAGTTTGGGAATTCCCTCGGCTAATACTAATGCTTATCGTCTTGTGAACAGTGAAGGAGATAGGTATCTAACTATCTATTCATATCCCTATCCTCTCTCACTCTTGTCACATTTCTGTTCGATAGAAAATCTTTTGTCACTGCAGACTATCTGGATTAGTTGTGGATGTATTTGGAGATATAGCTGTGGTCGCATCCTCTGCTGCCTGGCTTGAGAAGTACAGGAATCAAGTCGAGACTTGCTTGAGATCAATCCATGGCATTAATCATATCAACTGGAGACCGTCTCTTGATGTTCTTAAAGAAGATGGGTTTGATATCTCAAGTCTGTCACAAGCACAATCATCTAGTCTCCCCCAGAGATCAATGGTATGGTGGGTGCTCGGTCTTGCTCTCTTTGCTCGCCATCTTTGTGAATATGGAAGAAACCTATATTACAGTCTTCTTTCTTTCTTTCTTATGGCATTAGCAGGTCGTGGAAAATGGGATCTCTTTCGCAGTTTCGCTAGAGGGGCAGAAGACAGGGTTCTACACAGATCAACGCGAAAACCGCCACTTGATATCAACCATATCTGCAGGTAAAAGAGTTCTTGATCTTTGCTGCTATAGTGGTGGATTTGCACTAAATGCCGCGAGAGGAGGTGCTACCAGCGTCGTTGGTACATTTTTCTCTCTCTCCTCCTGAGTCCTGATCCCACCTTTATGCATTGTATTGTGAGTCGTCTGATCAAACAAACACTCTCAGGGATTGATTCATCTTTACCTGCTTTGGAGCTCGCCAGAGAGAATGTAATCCTCAACCATATGGATCCAGGGAAGGTTGTTTTCATCAAACAAGATTCGACAGAATTCATGAAGGCTGCTCTGTCAAGGGAAGAGTCATGGGACATCGTGATCCTAGACCCCCCTAAGCTAGCTCCCCGGAAAAAGGTGTTTTTCTTTTTTCCTTTCTCAAAATGTTGTTACAGATATTGAGATTGCATCAATGTGGATGCCAGGTTTTGCACAACGCGGCAGGAATGTACAGAAATCTCAACTCCTTGGCAATGCGATTGACGAGGAGCGGAGGTCTTATGATGACATGTTCATGTTCAGGGGCCATGACGCAGAGCGGCAAGTTCTTGGGGATTCTCCAGAGCGCTGCAGCAATGGCCGGAAGGAAGATCACTGTGGTGAGGGAGGCCGGAGCTGCCTCTGATCACCCACTCGACCCATCTTACCCTCAAGGCCAATATCTCTCCAATTTTCTGCTTCGGGTGCTTTGAGTTTTGGTTTGCCCAGATTTTAAGTTGTAGTTGCTAGAAAAAATAACATAAGATAGATTTGGGGACAAAAGTAACATGTTTGGAACATCAACAACAAAGTAAAATGTGGAGTTTAAGCTCTAGCCGAAAGAACCATTTTGCAACCAAAAGGATAACATCGTATGTATGTATGAATACATGGATGGATAAGATTTACACACGCAGAGTAGTGGAGTAGAGCTCTCTCTCTCTCTCTCTCTCTCTCTCTCTCTCTCCCTCTCTCTCTCTCTCGTTAACGACCTCCGGGATTTCTATTCCATGACAAGTAGGACGGATCTCCAAGTCGCCTGAAACAAAACAAAAAGTAGACATTCGCTGCTTAGTATGACACACTGTCTAAAGATTAGTGCCTGTATGCAAAAGAATACGTTATTATTATTATTATTATTATCAGCAAATATAAGACTGTCCAAACAACCAGGATTAAAGAAGCAATACCATCACGACAACAACTACATTTGAAGGATCTGCATACCTGGGTTTCACGAGGTACATGATGGTAAATGCAAGGGCCAAAAAGAAGCAGATCCCACCAACTGTCAGGTAAGCGATGCCGAGGAAATCGTTCTTCCCACCCAGCCAACTCGTCGTCGACAAAACAAGCTTCTTCTTCCCACTGAAACTGTAAGTGTTGTAGTTGTTCTGCAGCAAAACATCTATGGTGTCACCAATCTCAAGGTCAGTCTCTATCTTTCCGTACAGTTTTCTGAATGTTGGCAATGCCGCAGTTCTCATCCATACAATGAGATCTTCTTGTTCACTAAGCTGCACACAGGAAAAGAGGAAAAAGGATGTAGACAGTCAATTTGCTAAGCATCCGACATCAATGGGGACATGGACTGGTCTCTAGTACTAAGGGCTTTACCGATATATTTGGATCTAGAGTGGCACCACCTATGAGATTCCCCTTCTGGAAATTCTTGGGGAAGACTTTGTTCCCAAACTTGTGCTCCTTATCGCTCTTCCATGCAATGCCTTTTTTGTTTACAGCCAGGCGTGTATTGTTTCTTGATAAAGTGTATGTATCATTAAAAAGACTCCAAGCAATAAGACCACATGGCACAATTGGTTGCCCTCCAACATCATCCTCAGGCTTGCATGCGCTTATTTGATTCTCGTATTTTGGACTTCTCAACTGTGAATCACTTCGACTTTTGACGTACCTGTTCATAGACACTATTGATCGATTAGAGCTACAAAAACAATCTCAGTTAGATAAAAGAAGAAAAAATGTTGCCACCAACATGAATGTGACATAGCAATGCAAAAATTGCATAATGCTAAGGCAGAGTTGTCACAGGTGGTATATACTATATACCTTCGGTGATTCTGGTAGAAGTTCTCGAGCTGGTAATAAACATAGACAGGCTGTTTCATACGCTTTGTCACCTAAGAATGCCGATGGGGAAAAGTAAAAGTAAACAAGAGATCCAAAAACCTATCAAATTCCAAAGAGCAAAATAAGGTTTGTGCACAAGGGACTGACTCTAAGAGTTCGGTTACAAGCTTTATCTCCACCTCCTTGAATATATGCAACCTTGTTGGTCCTAGCAGGAGTCGGAATGCAATCGTTATCATACCGATCAACGATCTCCACAACCTACCAATGGGAGACGAAACACGTGAGATACGGAAGACGAAGACGATCTAATGAGCAGCAACGGGTCGATCGCACTTACATCCTGGGAAGCGAAAAGGGAGATAACTCCAAGGGGAATAAATATGACACTGACTATCAAAAATGTTGAAATGACCTGCAGAAAGATTGTAACAGGGACTTTTGATTGCGTTTCTACGGAAATCTCAAGTCTGAAAGATCAATAGAGACTACAAATATCTAACCCAACCAGGCGTAAGAATGGGCTTGCAAGCTGGAAGCTCCTGTTGGGTGAACTTGGAATCTGCAAGAAATCATTTGCAAACAAAATTCTCACCTATTAGCCATAGCTATTCCGACGATTGCCTAATCTCTAATAAAAGAAACAACAATAGAAATCAAAACCCTGACGGTGAATTTGTTAAATCTAGTAGAGAGTTTTGAGTCATTCCAAAGTTGATATCATATAGTGAAAGACGAATGTCTCTTTCGAGGGTCAGGTTCATTTATAGAAAAAAAAGTAAAACTAAAACAGCGATCACCAATAATCGATCCCGGAGAAAAAAGTGACCCAGAAACGAATTTTATACGATCAAACCAAAACAACCGAATCGAAGGGGAAAACAATCCAATTCGATTAAGACCCAAAGTCAACGATAAGCCATAGAAATAATCGGAAGGAAGTCGAAAAGGGAGGAGGGGAAATACACTTGGGCCGCTTCGAATTCTTCCTGGCGCCGGAAGAATCTCCCGATCCGGCTGTCGCCGCGCTGGACGACGCCGTATTGGTACTCATCGCGGAGAAAACGGGGATATTAAGCCTGGGGCTGTATCCGGAATCTAAGGAAACCGAGATCGACGGAAAAGGTGAGTCGGGCAGCGAGAAATCGGGAGGAGAAAGGAAATGAAGAAAAGTG